GAACTCAAATACCTGTACTTTCTACTTCTTACATGTTGAACCCAAATACCTGTACTTTCTACTTCTTACATGTTGAACACAAATACCTGTACTTTCTACTTCTTACATGTTGAACACAAATACCTGTACTTTCTACTTCTTACATGTTGAACACAAATACCTGTACTTTCTACTTCTTACATGTTGAACACAAATACCTGTACTTTCTACTTCTTACATGTTGAACTCAAATACCTGAACTTTCTACTTCTTACATGTTGAACACAAATACCTGTACTTTCTACTTCTTACACGTTGAACCCAATACCTGTACTTTCTACTTCTTACATGTTGAACTCAAATACCTGTACTTTCTACTTCTTACATGTTGAACTCAAATACCTGTACTTTCTACTTCTTACATGTTGAACCCAAATACCTGTACTTTCTACTTCTTACATGTTGAACACAAATACCTGTACTTTCTACTTCTTACATGTTGAACACAAATACCTGTACTTTCTACTTCCTACATGTTGAACACAAATACCTGTACTTTCTACTTCCTACATGTTGAACACAAATACCTGTACTTTCTACTTCTTACATGTTGAACACAAATACCTGTACTTTCTACTTCTTACATGTTGAACACAAATACCTGTACTTTCTACTTCTTACATGTTGAACACAAATACCTGTACTTTCTACTTCTTACATGTTGAACCCAAATACCTGTACTTTCTACTTCTTACATGTTGAACCCAAATACCTGTACTTTCTACTTCTTACACTTTGAACACAAATACCTGTACTTTCTACTTCTTACATGTTGAACACAAATACCTGTACTTTCTACTTCTTACATGTTGAACACAAATACCTGTACTTTCTACTTCTTACACGTTGAACCCAAATACCTGTACTTTCTACTTCTTACACTTTGAACACAAATACCTGTACTTTCTACTTCTTACATGTTGAACACAAATACCTGTACTTTCTACTTCTTACATGTTGAACACAAATACCTGTACTTTCTACTTCTTACATGTTGAACTCAAATACCTGTACTTTCTACTTCTTACATGTTGAACTCAAATACCTGTACTTTCTACTTCTTACATGTTGAACTCAAATACCTGTACTTTCTACTTCTTACATGTTGAACTCAAATACCTGTACTTTCTACTTCTTACATGTTGAACTCAAATACCTGTACTTTCTACTTCTTACATGTTGAACACAAATACCTGTACTTTCTACTTCTTACATGTTGAACTCAAATACCTGTACTTTCTACTTCTTACATGTTGAACTCAAATACCTGTACTTTCTACTTCTTACATGTTGAACACAAATACCTGTACTTTCTACTTCTTACATGTTGAACACAAATACCTGTACTTTCTACTTCTTACATGTTGAACTCAAATACCTGTACTTTCTACTTCTTACATGTTGAACTCAAATACCTGTACTTTCTACTTCTTACATGTTGAACTCAAATACCTGTACTTTCTACTTCTTACATGTTGAACTCAAATACCTGTACTTTCTACTTCCTACGGAAGGGTTACATTTCAAAGCCTCTTTACTTTGACTTGAGTAAAGAAGTTTAGTCAGTACTTCAACTTTCACCAGAGTATTTTTAAACACGAGTATCTGTACTTCTACTTGAGTAAAGGATCTGTGTACTTTTGCCATCTCTGCAGCAAGCAGACCGGACCAGTAAAATCATAGCAGCCTAATAACCTATAAATAACAGCAACTAAAACACAAGAATACAAACTAGTAGTTTTTACACTTTGAAAAGTCAATCTCGGGCGCACCGTTTGTTTGACACCCTGCATTGGAGTCTTCATGTTTTGTTTTTACACTAGTGTTCCCACTGAATAACCTTATTTCCCGCCACAGATTGAAGGCTTGGACCCCGATAACGCTCGTGTGGTGGTGAAGCTGGCCATCGGGGGTCGGTCTGCCACCATCAGCCAGCACGCTGTGAAGCTGGTGGGACGTACAGAATACGAGAAAAACTGCAAAGACCTCAGTGAGTCACTCTCTAAAAATACATTCTAACAAGTAAACATTTAAGGTAAATAGTCTTGATGCTGATATTAGATTACATTTCTCTGAATTCGGTTAGAGGTCATCAAAGGTCAACATTTTAATTCGATCCAATTAAGACAATTTCAGTTTTTTTAATTACACGTAATGGCCGTTGCAATCTGATTACGTTTTTTTTCTTTTTTTTTAATTATTGTTACAGTTTTTACAATGCAGCTTGTATATTATAATAATAATATAGCTTTAGTGTGAGGCTAAATATAATTAATATTTTCTTTAACATTTCTTGTATGTCCGCGGAGTCTTAAAAAGTATTAAAAGTTGATAAATCAATTTAGTGAAAATGAAGGCTATTAAAGGGCATTTTCCAAGGTGTTACATTTTGTAGCTTGTTTTCAATAAGTATCTAAATGGTCCAAAGAGGTTGTTAGAGGGTGCTAGTGGCGCACGCGCGTGAGCTGCGAGCACAGGAGCCTTGCAGCGGCAAAACTGAGGCTCCGTGGTAAACTGTGGTAAAAATGAAGAGCCGTTTGGGAGCCGAGCCAAATGATCCGTCTCACTAACGTAGAGAGATAGTATCTATAAGGGACGGCTCAATTCAAAATTCAAGCCGTAGACAGAGGGCTGCTGTGCCTCCTGTCATCATTAATGGCCGTCTCTTTAAAATGACCGCTCAGAGGAGAGGAGTTCTCATTTCTCTAACCGCCTGCTGCTTCCTCGGCTCCTCCGCTCGCATCTCCTGTGGGCGGCACGAGGATAGGAGTCGAGGATAGGAGTCGAGGAGGGGACATTAGAGAATTGAGAAGCCTTCTGTGTTTTCCACATTTGACATTTTTCTCCTGCTCTCCAGCTCGCCTCAGTCGAGCCCACAAAGAGAAGGAGAAGGAGAAGGAGCGAGAGAAGGAGAAGGAGAAGGAGAAGGAGAGACAGGAGGAGAAGGAGAGCCGGAGTAAAGACGAGAGGAAGAGGAAACACAGAGAATCCAGTCAGGACAGGTACACATTTGACCTCACTGCAATGTTTCTCATTTCCATCTATCGGCTAATAAAGCTTTCTCTGAGTAACCGTGTGTTTGATGTTCTCTCCACTGTAGAGACAAGCCTCCGGTGAAAGAGGCGAGGCGACCCCCGCCCCCCCCTTCCTGGCTCCAGAGGGATTTGAAGGTTCGCTTCATAGACAAATCCTTCAAAGGGGGCAAATACTACAACTCTAAGGTACTGATGTAACACCTGAGCATCTTGTATTAGTTCATGTACTCATTACACATATTACCATCAGGAGGTTTATCATTTAGCTCGTCCAGACCTTCACCAAGTTACTTTGACCTATATTCTTTCACTGAATGATGTTTGTCTGATTGGCTTTGATTTTCTGACACATAAAGAGTTAAAAACATACTATTCAAAAAAAGCAAGGTGCTCTCCAGTTGTAGTTGAATGTAAACACCTCTAAAAATGGTTGTTTCATATCCAGGGGTCTTCCCTATCTTGCACGATATCATGAGTTATAATGATTACAAATGAAGGGTTTCTGTCATAGTTCTTAACATCAGGTTTTCTTTATAGATGTGTGTGGAGGACGTCCTCTCAGCATCAACCTGTATCTGTCGAACTGACGAGGGGCGGCTGATAGACGGTGAGTCGTCAGCGATACTTTTAATAAAGACTACATTCATAATAAAACATGTCTCACATATGCTGCAGATGTGGCGGAAAAAATATATGAATAACCATTAAAAAAAAAGTCCAGATTTTGAGAGAAAAGTCAGTATTTTGTTCATGTATGGATCATGTATCATTTACCTTGAAGAACCGGTATTCCTCCATCTTGTGACTGTGTAACTCCCGGGGTGTTTCTCAATCTCGAGGATGCTGGCTTGGTAGTCGCGTACTTCCAAGTCACTTCCTTCAGAAACGAAGCAAGTATACTTCCAAGCCACGGCTTCGGAAAACGAAGAAGAATGGAACAGGCTAACAAGTGTGCCACTCTAACGGTTTCAACATAAACTGTACCGAAAATAAATACCTCACGATGTCTATCTAATTATGAACTTGCTTTACTTTCACGGAACACCTTTTTGGTGATAAAGTAACAAAGTAACATATTTACCAACATGTTCTACGCCACTACATACTTACATTTCAATGTGTGCTGCGTCGGTTCAGCCATTCTCCGCAAGGGTTTTTGAAATTGGTCCGTGTGCAAAGCATTGTGGGGATTTTAAGGACGCAAAGTCTACCCGTGTGCAGCCTCGAAATTTCCCCCAAACCAAGGACGCGGCCTCGGTGGAATTCCATGTATGCTGGAGATTGGAACAGTCCTTCGGCGGCACTCGATGACGTAGCATCCTTGAAATATTGGCTTGGAAGCCAGAATCCTCGAGATTGAGAAACGGCCCCTCTCTTGGACATCAGCATGTGAAGGACACTGTTCAGGAACTAGTTGATGCTCTGTATGTGATGACTACTTCCTTTCTGGAGAGGATCACAGATACATGGATCCTGAGATTGAAGATCAAGACGGGGACCAGGGAGATTTTTCTAACAAACCTGTTAATTCTTTTGGTTTCAGATGTGAAGCAGGGCATGCTGGAAACCATCATCCCCAAACTCGAGTCTGAGTCTATAATGGTTGTCCTGGGCGAGCACAGAGGACAGGTGAGCAGAGGGTCTTCTCTCTGTCTGTCTGTGTGTGTGTGGTTACTAATCTGTGTGTGTGTGGTTACTAATCTGTGTGTGTTCTTGTTTTTCCAGGTGGGCCGTATCCTCCAGCGGGACAAGAACAAGTGCCGTGCGATGGTGCAGCTCGACCGACACGAGGAGAAAGTGTTCATGCTGGATTATGACATCATCTGTCAGTACGTAGGAGAGACGGACCACTGACTCAAATATCCCCCATCGTCACACCTCTAATGTTATTTCTTGTCAACAAAAAAAAATCGTGAATTTTAAAGCAATTTTGTAATAAAACAGTGTCAAGAACTTTATTTGTACAGATGTTATTACAAGATGTATCACCAAACCAAAATAAGTCACAGTAATGTTTATTAGCAAATGAAGGGGCACTGTCACACAGGTCATATAAAACACATATTTACAAATGTTCTAACACGAGCGTCAATGCACTTTAACTCCAGACACAGGTTTAAGAATGAAAACTAAACGTCTGTAACGGCCAAAGGAAGACAAACTGTACACCGTAGATCTGTGCGTTGTTACTCTTTGGGGATTTGGTTAGCTGCGTTAGCTCGTAGCACGGCCCCTGGACTCGGGTACGGCCGCTGCTGGAACAGAGGCCCCGCCGCCGTGGTGTCGGCCCCCGTCTTCGCCTCATTACGCTTCGGCAGGCCAGTCGACCAATTGCCCCTGTAGAGAAAAATGCTTGTTTAAATTAAAGGTCCCCTATTATACTGTTTTTCATCAACATATTACAGGTCTCAGATATATCCAGAATCTGTCTCTGATTGGCTGAAACACCAAACTGATCATTGCAGCATTACCCATAATCCCCTCTGTTTCAGCCCTGTTTCCAAAGTGCTGATTCTCTGTCTGTTACTTTAGATGAAAATAAGGAGCCCCTCCCCACGCCCCTCTGAGAGAGATTTGGTTACAAAGAACTCAATGGTGCTCTAGGAGGAGATTCAGGTGATAAGGGGGGGGTTACCTTGGTTGGCTCCTGCCCCCCCTCCCTATGAGCCCAGTGGCCGTCTGCGAGACACAGCGAAACCCAGCCCGAACACACACACCCGCAGCCTGGCTGTGAGTCGGTGTGTGTGTGTTCACACACACCGACTCATAGCCTCGCCGCGTCCCGCCGTCTCAGGGAGGAGAAATCGGCGGAGCTGCTACTGAGAAAAGATTGAGTGTGTGTGAGGAAGTCCGTAACGGCTCCACGGATTGGTCCATTTGGATATGGGCACGTCACTACCCAGGAAGAAAAAGAGAAATCTCCAACGAGGCGTTCTGGGGCAGCACAGACAGGTCTTCTCTGTGTTAGAGTTTTACTCACTACAGGGTGTACTTTGAGGGTTTGTGACTCTGCAGACCGTTCACATGCAGAACAACCTTCATAACACAAGGGGACGGGTAATAACCAGAAAAGCATGACACGGGTGCTTTAAACGGAACAACAACTCCTGAGTTCTGCACGCTAAAATACTTTTTCTTAGACTCTGGAGAAGCTTGGTCAAAATAATTCATTTTGGCCCTGGAGACTATTTATCAGCAAAAGCCTGTGGAAGTAGAGTTTGAATCAAGATGACGTTTACCAGGCAGGAAGGGTTTAATGGGAAGACGTATTAAATTGCATTGTGGGAATAGTAGAGTTTTTCGAGCCTGAAAGTCACAATATTCCAGCCTCTAATGCTTTTATTGTATGCCATCTGTCTCTACCAATTACATGGAAGTGGCATAGTCATTTTGTGGAGTGCTCTAGGTTGTAAATATACTGTACCTCGGGGCATCAGAGTAAGCACTGGGATCCATGGGGTCCATCTCATCTTCTTTTCTCCCTGAAGGACAGTGAGTATGTTAGATCCATGTACGTAAGAAACATCACTTTGAAAGTGTTTGTGTTTTATGATAAAGATGTAAGCTTTACCTCTTTTGTTCTTGCTGTACGGAGCTATTTCCTCCCTCCTGGGCTTCCTCCGGTCTCTCTCCCTCACCTCCTCCCTGTCTCGGTCTCTCTCTCGTTCCCTCTCCCGCTCTTTCTCTTTCTCTCTCTCCCGTTCTCTCTCTATCTTCTCGAACGGCCTCTCCACTCTCTCCTCCACCACTTCGGCTGAAACACAGAAACACAATAAAGGCAAACGTCAGAAAATAAAACAAAATGCACTCTGAGATTATTTGCCAAAAGTGATTAATGATAACAATGATGTTAATAATGTTATTAGTTTATACAAAATATAAATCATTTATTAAATAGTCTTTCGCATATATTTATAGGTCAAGATATCCAGCAGCAGTATATAAAGTTATTCAAAGTAGCGTCAAAATCCTAAAAGTAACCCGGTAAATCAATATATAAAGGACTCTGAAATGGGCCACTAAGCATAAAGAGTACTTTTACTTTTGGTACTTTACATGGACGCGGGAAGGGGGGGTGCTGAGGGGGCTGCAGCACCCCCATCTGCGAGGATCCACTAGCACCCGAGTTTGAATGCAGGACTTTAACTTGTAACAAAGTACTTTTAAAATGCAATAATGCTACTTTTACTACTTACAACCAGTGGTGGAAGAAGTACTAATATTATATCAAAATCCTGCAAAACAAAATGCACTTAAAGGATGGAAAGTAAACTATTGATTGTGCTGTAAAATGTATCAGGTGTTTGGTTATTTTATATAGTTTGAAGGATTTGAAATGCCTTACCTCTTATTTTCTTGGCGGCTTTTGTCACCAATGTATTTGGGTCATTTGGAGACAGCCAGGCCACCAGATCGGTCTCTGCGTTCCAGTAATAAGGAAGACCACTGTGGTGTAAAGTAAAAACAAATTAAATTAGTTAATTTGCAGAGATAGCTTACCTTGGTTGCTGATTGGCTAATGGTTACACAAGCCAACACATCGTTATGACATCATAAAGTGGCCAAAATCTGATCAGCTCATTTTCAGACAGGTTTTTATATAAATGGATCAAAAAGAGAGAGAATCTTTGTTCCTGAAACTTTCAGAGTCTCTTTCCACAGAGGGGACACATGTTGATGTAGAAGAGACATGAAGAAGAGGGGACACATGTTGATGTAGAAGAGACATGAAGAAGAGGGGACACATGTTGATGTAGAAGAGACATGAAGAAGAGGGGACACATGTTGATGTAGAAGAGACATGAAGAAGAGGGGACACATGTTGATGTAGAAGAGACATGAAGAAGAGGGGACACATGTTGATGAAGAAGAGACATGAAGAAGAGGGGACACATGTTGATGTAGAAGAGACATGGAGAAGAGGGGACACATGTTGATGTAGAAGAGACATGAAGAAGAGGGGACACATGTTGATGTAGAAGAGACATGAAGAAGAGGGGACACAAGTTGATGTAGAAGAGACATGAAGAAGAGGGGACACATGTTGATGAAGAAGAGACATGAAGAAGAGGGGACACATGTTGATGTAGAAGAGACATGAAGAAGAGGGGACACATGTTGATGTAGAAGAGACATGGAGAAGAGGGGACACATGTTGATGTAGAAGAGACATGAAGAAGAGGGGACACATGTTGATGTAGAAGAGACATGAAGAAGAGGGGACACAAGTTGATATAGAAGAGACATGAAGAAGAGGGGACACAAGTTGATGAAGAAGAGACATGAAGAAGAGGGGACACATGTTGATGAAGAAGAGACATGAAGAAGAGGGGACACATGTTGATGTAGAAGAGACATGAAGAAGAGGGGACACATGTTGATGTAGAAGAGACATGAAGAAGAGGGGACACAAGTTGATGTAGAAGAGACATGAAGAAGAGGGGACACATGTTGATGAAGAAGAGACATGAAGAAGAGGGACACATGTTGATGTAGAAGAGACATGAAGAAGAGGGGACACATGTTGATGTAGAAGAGACATGGAGAAGAGGGGACACATGTTGATGTAGAAGAGACATGAAGAAGAGGGGACACATGTTGATGTAGAAGAGACATGAAGAAGAGGGGACACAAGTTGATGTAGAAGAGACATGAAGAAGAGGGGACACATGTTGATGTAGAAGAGACATGAAGAAGAGGGGACACATGTTGATGTAGAAGAGACATGAAGAAGAGGGGACACATGTTGATGTAGAAGAGACATGAAGAAGAGGGGACACATGTTGATGTAGAAGAGACATGAAGAAGAGGGGACACATGTTGATGTAGAAGAGACATGAAGAAGAGGGGACACAAGTTGATATAGAAGAGACATGAAGAAGAGGGGACACAAGTTGATGAAGAAGAGACATGAAGAAGAGGGGACACATGTTGATGAAGAAGAGACATGAAGAAGAGGGGACACATGTTGATGTAGAAGAGACATGAAGAAGAGGGGACACAAGTTGATGTAGAAGAGACATGAAGAAGAGGGGACACATGTTGATGAAGAAGAGACATGAAGAAGAGGGGACACATGTTGATGTAGAAGAGACATGAAGAAGAGGGGACACAAGTTGATGTAGAAGAGACATGAAGAAGAGGGGACACATGTTGATGAAGAAGAGACACGAAGAAGAGGGGACACATGTTGATGTAGAAGAGACATGAAGAAGAGGGGACACATGTTGATGTAGAAGAGACATGGAGAAGAGGGGACACATGTTGATGTAGAAGAGACATGAAGAAGAGGGGACACATGTTGATGTAGAAGAGACATGAAGAAGAGGGGACACAAGTTGATGTAGAAGAGACATGAAGAAGAGGGGACACCTGTTGATGTAGAAGAGACATGAAGAAGAGGGGACACATGTTGATGTAGAAGAGACATGAAGAAGAGGGGACACATGTTGATGTAGAAGAGACATGAAGAAGAGGGGACACATGTTGATGTAGAAGAGACATGAAGAAGAGGGGACACATGTTGATGTAGAAGAGACATGAAGAAGAGGGGACACATGTTGATGTAGAAGAGACATGAAGAAGAGGGGACACATGTTGATGTAGAAGAGACATGAAGAAGTGGGGACACATGTTGATGTAGAAGAGACATGAAGAAGAGGGGACACATGTTGATGTAGAAGAGACATGAAGAAGAGGGGACACATGTTGATGTAGAAGAGACATGAAGAAGAGGGGACACATGTTGATGGAGAAGAGACATGAAGAAGAGGGGACACATGTTGATGTAGAAGAGACATGAAGAAGAGGGGACACATGTTGATGTAGAAGACACATGAAGAAGAGGGGACACATGTTGATGTAGAAGAGACATGAAGAAGAGTGGGGACACATGTTGATGTAGAAGAGACATGAAGAAGAGGGGACACATGTTGATGGAGAAGAGACATGAAGAAGAGGGGACACATGTTGATGGAGAAGAGACATGAAGAAGAGGGGACACATGTTGATGGAGAAGAGACATGAAGAAGAGGGGACACATGTTGATGTAGAAGAGACATGAAGAAGAGGGACACATGTTGATGTAGAAGAGACATGAAGAAGTGGGGACACATGTTGATGTAGAAGAGACATGAAGAAGTGGGGACACATGTTGATGTAGAAGAGACATGAAGAAGAGGGGACACATGTTGATGTAGAAGAGACATGACGAAGAGGGGACACATGTTGATGTAGAAGAGACATGAAGAAGAGGGGACACATGTTGATGTAGAAGAGACATGAAGAAGAGGGGACACATGTTGATGGAGAAGAGACATGAAGAAGAGGGGACACATGTTGATGTAGAAGAGACATGAAGAAGAGGGGACACATGTTGATGTAGAAGAGACATGAAGAAGAGGGGACACATGTTGATGTAGAAGAGACATGGAGAAGAGGGGACACATGTTGATGTAGAAGAGACATGGAGAAGAGGGGACACATGTTGATGTAGAAGAGACATGAAGAAGAGGGGACACATGTTGATGTAGAAGAGACATGAAGAAGAGGGGACACATATTGATGTAGAAGAGACATGAAGAAGAGGGGACACATGTTGATTTAGAAGAGACATGAAGAAGAGGGGACACATGTTGATGTAGAAGAGACATGAAGAAGAGGGGACACATGTTGATGTAGAAGAGACATGAAGAAGAGGGGACACATGTTGATGTAGAAGAGACATGAAGAAGAGGGGACACATGTTGATGAAGAAGAGACATGAAGAAGAGGATTTTGAATAATAGGGGACCTTTAAAGAATACCAGCCATAAAGATGTCGAGATATGTAAATGCTTTTTAATGAACAATAGGAAATTGTTGAAATCATTAACAAACGTACCAGGCAGGGTCGAACACTTTGTACCAGTTTGTCGGCAGATTCTCCACTCTGGTGGATTCATAATCTACGTTGTTGTCGTCGTAATCTTCAGCAATAATCTCCTCATCTCCCTCTGGAGGAAATGGAGAAGAAAAGTTAGTTGAAAAATAAAAAAGATATATGAATGATAATACTCCCAAATGGTTTCTTCTAAAATGTTTTACCTTGGTCTGAAGGTTTGACAATCCCTCTCTTTGCCAGGCGGGCGAGCAGCGCTGCAGGAAGAGGCATCTGAAGAGAGGAGGAAGATGAGAGGGGTGCACCTGAACGAAATACCCCAAATGATGAAACCAACAGAGCTTTATTTGTATTAATATCTTATTTCTTGTGCCCTTGTTTTTTGATTAACCCGTTGTTTATGTATGCGGAAGGCTTATAGGTGCAGCATGAGTGGAAACCCAAAATAGTGCGAGACCAATGTGCAAGAAATGCAGATGAAGTCAACTATATACATGTCAGAAAGAAATACAATAAGCTTTATGTTGCAGATAATGTTGTAAGGGACCAAGTAAATGCAGGACTCTATATACATGCACATAGAAAAACATATACAAGAATAGCACGTAAATATTACAGTGAATTAAAATAACATACAGTTGGGTCATCCAGTGAAAAAGGTTTGCACACGCCACTAAGAGAGCAACAACAGAAATACAGCACGGTTCTTGTTCTGGTCCATGCTGCATGCTTTCGTACCTCTGTGAGCCCCCCATCTAACATGTTAGCTTGTGTCGCTTATCAGGTTTGGTCAAAGTCTTATTTATAAATTAAGGATGCATTCTCCATTTAAAAGCGACCCGCTTGGTGAGGCAGAAACTGGGAGGTTAAACCAACACACACCTGTTGTTTTCGTATATATAACCCTATACATACACTACCACTAAACACGTATACTGTGAGTTAAAGTGATGAAATAAGTCAAACATTACCTTTTATTTCGTATAAAATCGCCTCTGTGATCTCGAGGAGACTTCCCACAACAGCAAACAGCGCGCGCAGTGATGACGTAGCACCGTTGTTTCCCTGACGACAACAAATATGGAGGAGTATGCTCGTGAACCCTGGTGAGATTAGTTTTATTTTTAAAATACATGTCGTTTTCGATGTTCATTTAAATGTTTTAACATCGGATAATGTTTGGTCTTCTTGTATTCAGGTTGTAGATGTTGTTAGAGGCTCTCTGCGTGTTAGCCTGTTAGCTTAGTGGAGGCTAATGGGTATAAATAGATCAAGCTGTGGGCAGTTAAACAGAGAAACTGTAGCTACATTTTGATCTTGTACTTAATTAAAAGTACCAGAGTGTAGGACTCAAGTAAAGATAAAATATATATCTGCATTTACTCAGGTACAACTTCCCGTTTTATAAATACAACAAAGGTTTTTTACAAGGTCTCAATAATTGAATATGTTATTTATGTCACTTTCTGCTACTCATTGCTTTTACCTGCTATGCCCCTTTTGCTGTACATAGTAAATACTCGAATTACTAGTTTCAGGGTCATTCCAGAATATATAACAAATCTAATACTCCATGCCCAAAAAGCTAAAACATGCACTTGTTGTGTTAACCCTTTAACTGCCAGACCAAGAAAAAAGCTATTTTTTTGTTGCATTTTCTTATCAAATGGACCACAAATAAGCACAAACAATTTATTTGTTGTTGACTGACCACACAATTTTGTTTTTACGAGCCTCTACCAACTGGTCGAGCTGGCCTTCTATGGTAAAAGTACATTTTCAACAATCATTATATACAGTACAGTATGTGTATGCATCAAACTCAAATAAAACAAAAACTCAAATACATTTGTTTCTTTTATGGAAAATGAGCAATATATACAACCAGATATATTCATAAAAGATAATACATTATAATTGTAAAAATTGTTTTTCATGATAAAAAAAGACTTGCTCGTCATACTGTATTTGCTGAATCGGCCTAACAGGAAACCACTGGCCTAACAGCACATGTCTATATCCTGTGTTGGCCTAACTTGCTCATCTGTGTGCAACTTGGGGCTGAATGCCATGCATAAAAGGTGCTATAATAATTATTATCACTCTTTCACTCTGAGACTCATAAGGCAGTACTAGATGTAGTAATATTACCAGGAATCTAGCCATTTATTTACCATATTTTATTGGAAAACATCTGAAACTCTGAAAAAGTCATATTGCTAGCTTACCATAAAAGGCCAATTCGACCGATTGGTTGAGCATATTTTCCAAAAAATAATTACACCCCTGTTAAAACTTTTTTTGTGCATCAAGTTATCTAATTGTGTTCAGTCAGTGCCCTGCCACTAACATATGTCAACAATGATATCGTTACCTTACAAAAGTTGACCAAAAAGAGTGATTTTCTTCAGCAGTGATTTTTAGCATTGCCAACTTCCTCAGTGGAAGCTAGCTGAAGGGCTTTCTGTTCGAACCACAGTGACATCTAGAGGTTGTTTTGTGCATAACATGTCAACCAAAGGGTAGAGCTGGCTGAATCAGATGGAGTTACACTTTCTTTTTTTATAACAATATATCAAGACACACAATGTGCTCTACCAAATGGTGGTGCTGGCAGTTAAAGTGTTGTCTTGAGACAAAATGTATATAAAGTTATAGAAAAAGTGGTTTCAAAATAATATTTAAATGATCAAATAGCTCTCGAACATCCCCTAAAATTGCTTTTTTCTCTTGTCCCCGCTTCTTGGTGACCAACTTGCATGTCAAATATAACATTTAAAATAGGGATTTTATTTACTTTTTTTTGTATTATTCTATTGATGTCTCTTGTAATGGTCAAATCAATTTGTTAAATCATAAACATATTTTAAATAACAGTAATTTTGCACAGAAGGTGTGTCCCTCAACATGCGTTCAACCCTGTTACCCAAACCTTTTTAGATTGAGCAGAGGAAGTGAAACAACTGTTTGTCACATGACACAGTGGAAGTGACATCAGCAAGCCATGTGCTAGTGCCATGGGTCGACCAAAACTAAGTCCTCTCCTTTATTTTTGCTCGCCGCTGCTGCGAGGAGCGGACAGGTTTCCGGGTCAGCGAAACTCATCCTGAGCACACACAAACACTCACAGCTGAAGTAAAAACAATAAGTGTGGCTTGATAAGAAAAAGGTTTATAACGCTGTGAGAATGGGTCTGCGGAGAGCATTTCTCCGCCATCCCAGAACAACCTTCATAACACACAAGGGGACGGGTAATAACCGGAAAAGCATGACATGGGACCTTTAAAAGAGTGTGGCACTCTGACCCACTCTAACCTGTTACTGATATTATCAGAATAAAGCATATTCATTTCAAAGTTATCTTTCTTGCATTAGATATCCAAGTTTGTCCTTGCCTTGAAAGTAGCATTACATCTAGCAGTAATTCCTGAGGTTAAAGCTCAAATTAGCATTGATTTTCAACCCCGTTACAATAATTAGAATAACAGGGTTAATTCTTCATTGGAAAATATACATTTGATGGTTTATTATCTGTTTTTCCTAAATACATTAATACAATTATAAAATAAAAGGTTCATTTTTCAAAAAATTGGTGTCTAAATTGTCCTCCAATTCTGGAATGTCCCTTAAATGTATATATTGCACAGTGTTATAATACATTATTAGTATGTTTACGATGCATGTGTTCTGTAGCTTTGTCGCCGTCATGTGAGAACCATGTATCGCTATATTTGAAGAGTTTCTCAGAAAGACAGCCCATTTTCCAGCTGATCCGATAACATACTTCATCGTATCTTCCATTGTCTCCCCCTCTTCCTTAATGCAGTCCCTGGAGGGTAGTGGATGACTGTGGGGGGGCTTTCACTATGGGCACTATTGGAGGAGGGGTGTTCCAGGCCATCAAGGGCTTTCGTAATGCCCCCGCTGTGAGTACACCACAACATAATAACAATTATGACGAGCCTCATTGTGTTGTTTTAAAGGCGGTATTAAACATAGCTTTAATATTTCAGGGTGTCGGACACAGACTGAGAGGAAGTGCAAACGCAGTGAGAGTCAGAGCTCCGCAGATTGGAGGTGAGGAAGTCTTTTTTATGAATATGTTCTATAACTGTAGCTCTTGGAGTTTTGATAAACTTGAAGCAAACATATTAGCGTTAAGAATTTCTTACCTTTAATATAAGTTAAGGTCTATTGTCTTGTTTATTCAATATTCTATGAAATCCTGGTACGCACTATTTTTTTTATCTTTTTGGAAATTTAACAGCCCCTGATTTAAATAACTAATAAACTAGACTTAATACGCTGTCAGCTCGACTCAGGTTGACGTTCCTGTGTGTAAAAAATACTGTATATCATCTCTGTTTTAAACATATTTGAGCAAAATAACAAAGACCTTTAACCTTCTAGAAAATGATGAAAGAAAAAACCAGACTAAAAGATTATCTAGATAAAAAGAAATATCCCTCAACACAGTAAAAACTTAATGTAGAAATCATTAACAAACGAACCAGGCGGGGTCGAAAACTTTAAACCAGACAAAAACACATAAAAAGCTCACATTACTACAATAGAAGTTAAATGACAGGTGCATGCGTGCGTATTAAATGAAGACCTGTGAAAGAGTTGGTTATATTTGGATGCTACAGACCATGTTTGATATCATTGTGTCCTAAAACTAAAAACATACATTGAACCGGGTGTTTTTTGGTTGTTTTTCAGGTAGCTTTGCTGTATGGGGGGGTCTCTTCTCCACCATCGACTGTGGTTTGGTTCGTCTGAGAGGGAAAGAGGATCCGTGGAACTCGATAACCAGCGGCGCGCTGACCGGAGCCATCCTGGCCGCTCGCAGTAAGAGGGAGTTCAGAGAAAGCTAAATGATCTGACCACATCAACACGTTAAAGGTCCCATGTCATGGCCACTTCTACTGATCATAGTTCCATTGTTGAGGTCTACTAGAATAGATTTACATTGTTCAATGTTCCAAACTCACATTGGTTTCTCAAACAGCATCTCTGTATAGTATGTGTATTCACTCTCTGTCCTATACGCCTTGTTGGAGCTCCTCCCCCCCCCCCTGTGAGCCCACTGGTCTCGGATTGGTCAGCTCGCCCACTCTGTTCTGATGAGTCCACCACCGTTACAGCGGAACATCAGCGATTATGTTTTAAAATGGCGTTTGTTAGCAACCAGAAAATGACACCAGTAATGACAAACAGATGAGAATGCTGCGTGGGGTCTGGGAGCCGTGTTGGCGGGACGTTGCGAGGCTCGCTGCTGCGAGGAGCGGACAGTGTGAGCTGGGTTACTGGTGTCGTTTCCTGGTTGCTGCGTGGGGTCTGCGGGACGGCGAAACTCAGCCTGAGTACGAAGATCCGCGGAGTAAAGATAAGGCTGAATGAGTGTGTGTGTGTGCGCGGAGCTCCGCAGATTGGTCCATTTGGTCCATTTGGTCGGCGTTACGCCACTATGACCAGAAACAAATAGAAAAAGAGACCTCTCCAACGAGGCGTTCTGGGGCAGCACAGACAGGTCTTTTCTGTGTTAGTTTTACTCGCTACAGGGTGTACTTTGAGGGTTTGTGACTCTGCAGACCGTTTACATGCAGAACAACCTTCATAACACAAGGGAACGGGTAATAACCAGAAAAGCATGACATGGGCCCTTTAAGATAATCTATAATAAACAATGTGTTATTCATTTAGTTTACAGGAAAAAGGCCCATCTCTATCAGCTGAAGTCTTCACCAGCAGTTGTACACATTAGCATTAGCATGTGTGCTAGCTGCTAAATAAGGTCATGAAATCTGGGATCATGTAAAACTCAGAGGAGACGGAGGATGCAACATATATGACTGTATACGGTTTGAACATCTCGGCCACGTATGCTGTTTCAAGTGTTTAATGTTCGTGTGTGTTTTACGTGTATAAAACATACGAGACCTTTCTGGTCTGGGGGCATTACGCGTGTGGCTGCTGTTGAAGCAAGGTGATGTACTCATTCTTATTGTACACCTCATGCTGTTGAATGTGTTTCTCTGCAGGTGGGCCGTTGACCATGGTGGGCTCGGCCATGATGGGGGGGATTCTGCTCGCCCTCATTGAAGGATTTGGGATCCTCCTCACCAGATATTCAGCGCAGCAGTTTCAGAACCGTGAGTGAGACAGAATCAGAATTCCTTTAGTCGTCCCACTGAGGGGACATTTGCATTTGTTAGAGCTAGAAAAGAGCCAAAGATTAATGTTAACCAAGAAGCTTAAAACATATTAAAGATACAAAAGAAAAATTACACAATTTACAAAATACACATCCTGTAACAATTCTGAGATATAGCAGCCAGGTATATATATTGCACAGTTATTAACGGTATATATATATATATATATATATATATATATATGCACATAATTGGTATTGCACAAGCTGATTGAGTTTTGCATTCATATTATTGGTTGTTATAGTGTTCAGCAGTGTTGAAGTATTTCTGTTTCCCAACCCAGGACGTTATCATAACCCTGGTTTTCCTCAACAAAGTGAAAATGTATTACTTTTTTACTTACTAAAAAACAAGCTCTGTGACAAAACAAATTAATGATTCAACAAGACAAATTTAAAAATCATAATTTCTAAAAATAAAAAATAATTTCTAAAAATATTACTTACTGAAGGAAATAAACCAACTTCACCACCAGACATGTAAAAGCTTCAAAATGTACGGGTTAAAATGGAACTGTAAGCTCGCTGTTTTGCACCGAACAGCAGAAAGACAAATATGTTTACTAGCTGCTGAACACAGTCAGTGTAGGGCAAAGTAGAGGCTAAAAGAAGACGTGAAAATTGGACTTACATTCTGCAAGTGCACCGAAATGTGACTGATTTAATGCTAATGTTGCTCTGTACCTGCTGGATGTGTACATGTTCAGAGTATTTTAGTGATGTTACTGCTGCCCCTTAAGGTCCTTACACACCAAGCCAATTTCGACCGTCGATAGATGTCTGGCCGTCGATGAGCGTCGTGTCGCCCTACTCAGATTGGTGTGTCCCTCCCCGTCATGTCTTTTCGGCCGCGCCGACACCTTCCGGCTAAAGGCCGTCGGCTAAAGGCAAGCCCCCAGGAAGTGCGCCGGACTCTGAGGAAAATATTCGTTGTGGCCAAACGGCGGTACTACACTTCCGTATCAGTCGCTGGGCCCGGAAACACTTTTTCCCATTGACTAACATTGGGAAAGAGACGTCTGTAAATCGTTGGATAATTGTTTTTAGGGCCGGGACTCGATTAAAAAAATTAATCTAATTAATTAGAGGCTTTGTAATTAATTAATCGAAATTAATCGCATTTTTAATCGCATATACATATTTGACCTAAGAACAGTGAGAAGCAATTTTTTTTCACATGGATTTTAGTATACCATTAGGCGTATTCACACCGCAGTACTTTTCCCACAAAGGTTCATGAGAACTTAGTTCATGAGAACTCTTTGAACCTGGGGGTGGATTAGGCAAATTAAGCCGCTGACGTCACTTCTTCTTCTTCTGCTTTGGGTTTACTGGCAGGCCGCAAACCACTTCACGGCGTATACTGCCGCCCAAAGTCCCCGGCCGGAAGTCCCCGGAGTTGGGGAAGGCTTCAGTAGAAGCTGCTGGGAGTCCCAGCAGCTTCTACTGAAGCCTTCCGAGTAAATCGCCAGAACGCCGACACCTCCTCATCTCCACCGCTCCCATGTTTTATTTTGTGTTGCCATAAGTTAGTCTCTCTGCGTTTCTGCGCTGGGCTAATGCTAATAAAACTAATGCTAATAATGCTAATGCGAGGATAATAAAATGGCGGCTTCACAAAACTTTTTGGGAGTTTTACGGGGCGTGGTTTGCAATCCGCCCAGCCAATCAGAAATATAGCTCTTTTCTCACAAGAGAGCCGCACGAAAGTCCCTGCTCTCTAGCAGCTCTCTGCTCTCTAGCAGGGACTTTCGTGGGGGTAAAAAGGTTCTCATGAACTAATTTTAGTACCGGCTCTTTTTGGTGTGAACGCGATAAAAGAGGCTAACGTCCACGCTAGCTTCCACGCTAGCTGCTATATGTTTGCATTGAGGTGATACTTGAGGCTTGATGTGCTGCGGTGATATGCGAATTCCTTTTTGCATAATTTGCACACAACCGTGCTCTTATCGACGCTTCCATCCGTCCGTTTTTTAAAACAACATTTCCCACTGTTGTTCACTGTGGTTTGTTGTTGTCTGAAGTCATGAACGTTAGTTGGTGCTCCAGTATAATCGGTACGCCTGAAACTCATCCAGTGAGAAACGTTCCGCGGTGCAAAAATAAGTGCGATTAAAATGCGTTAATTTTTTTAACGCGTTAATTTTTGTGTAATTAATTAATCTTAATTAACGCGTTAAAGTCCCGGCCCTATTTTTAAACTAAATAAACTACTTAGTATGAACGTTTGTATAGCCCTTATTAAAAACATTCGGTCCTCAAGTTGTAAAATGTGCTAATAACGTTATTCTGAGTTATTTTCCTCGGCATTATGAACGCGGATCCAACCCACGGGACCGCGCCGCCCGGCACGTTCATGTGACGTGTTCAGTACTACATGAGTTTCACCTTTACCCATGGATGCACAATAAGAACGGATTACATGATTATATGAATACTTTCGTGACGTTTCGCTCTCTCAAAAGTTGGGCCATTTTGTCTTCATGCGCCAATGAGCAACTCTCATAGGAATGAATGAGGCCCCGCCTCCCACGCTGTATCCAGTTCTTATTATACATCCATGGCTAAAGGCCGTCGGCCAAATAAATCACTCTGATTGGCTGTTCAGCTAGCGAATCAGTGCATGAGAAGCAAAACGGAAGTGAGGGACCCACACAAACTATTAAGAAGGCAAATGTGAGATTTCATTTAACTCCAGCTCTCGACACAGGTTCGGGAAAGCCCCGTGAGCTTCTCGCTGAGTGAAAATGGAACGCACACGCTATTTGTTGTTTGTTTATATCACGCAGTCTGTTCTTCTTCTCTCGGTTATCACGCAGTCTGTCTTCCGGTAGTTGCCTCTTTTGAATGACGAATACACACTACCGCCGCCTGCTGGTAAGGAGTTATTGCCACTCACGCATGCGCAGTTCGTACGTGCTTCTTGGCCGTCGGCTGAAGTCTATGCGGTGTGTTCCAGTGCGACTGTTGGCCAAGACGCAGAGACGTGAGGCCACGCAATAGTCGTGTTCTTTGGTGTCAGTTTGATGTGTAGGCCCCTTTAGAGCCCAATCTGTTTAAATGAAAGTCTTTCAGTCCCTCAAAGTGCCAATGCAATGTAATTTAGAGTCCCGAACACAAATCTTCTCACTGCAGTCGGACTAATAGCCCACTTGTGCAAAGTGAAACCCATTAGAGAATGACCGCAGTGTGTTACTTTGTCAGCAAAGTCCTTTCTGTATTCAGAGAAAGGCCTCTTGAAACAGACAGGGATCAGTTAGTTCTGTGTTCCTGTGAATATCTGGACGAATCAGAAACCCTTTAACTGTCCTGCGGCGGGGACATTACAGTGTTGAGGGACATGTTGCAGATATAGGCAAAGGGACAAAGAGTACACTTGCATATGGAATAGAAATGCACACATACGTTACTAAAAACGTTAAAATATAAAAGTATTGAAGGAGCCAGTAACGTTAACAAAATGTAAGGAAATAAAGCGTACATTGAGTAGTATGATGGTAAAAGAGATGTGGCTACAATGGTCTATATTAAATTAAAATCAGGTTTTAGTGTCCAGAAATGTAATAAAATTAGTAAAAAACACCTTTTAAGTTTATTTAACTTATTTTGCATGATGTGATTTGTATGAGACGCTTGTCTGTTGTCTGGCAAACTAATAATAAGTATTGCATGTATGTTTAAAACAAACAAATAATACATTCACTTTATTAATATTATTTACACCTGTGTTTTTTTCAGCTCTTCCCTTTGCAGAGGATCCGAGTCAGTTGCCTCAGAAGAACTGAGGCCACTACTGTGGGGACAAGTAGCTGCACTTTATTCTTATACCTCAGGGAGTTTACTGTGAGTTTTAGTTATTTATCATTTGAATGTTGTGACATGTTTGCACCTCCAGCATCTCACGTTCTGTATTATCTGTTCACGTCGATATGTTTGGGTCAAATGTGCAAATCTGATATGTGTTTTAAATTAACCAACATCTATTTATAAGCCCTTGTGATGCTCCTTCTAAACAGTTTTCCGATTTCTTAAAGCACCCATGTCATGCTTTTCCGGTTATCACCCGTCCCCTTGTGTTATGAAGGTTGTTCTGCATGTAAACGGTCTGCAGAGTCACAAACCCTCAAAGTACACCCTGTAGCGAGTAAAACTCTAACACAGAGAAGACCTGTCTGCTGCCCCAGAACGCCTCGTTGGAGATTTCTCTTTTTCCATTGTTTGCTTCCTGGGTTCTGTGAAGTGTGAACACCCAGATCAACAACAAATGACCGGATTGGCTCAAATGGACCAATCCTCGGAGCACCTCACACACCAGGATCCCTTGGCTAACTAACAGGGAGTCCATTGACTTGCATAGAGCTCCCTGAACGCTGGTAATAGACTAGTTGGGATGGCGGAGAAATGCTCTCCGCAGACCCATTCTCACAGCGCTATAAACCTTTTTCTTTCTCAATATCAAGCCACACTTATTGTCTTTACTTCGGCTGTGAGTGTTTGTGTGTGCTCAGGATGAGTTTCTCTTGTTCTCGCTGTATCGCCGACCCGGAAACCTGCCCGCTCCTCGCAGCAGCCTGACCAATCAGAGCACACTGGGCTCACAGGGAGGGGAGGGCAGGAGCTCCAACAAGCCGTGTAGGACAGAGAGTGAATACACATACTATACAGAGATGCTGTGAGAAACCAATGTGAGTTTGGAACATTGAACAATTTAAATCTATTCTAGTAGACCTCAACAATGGAACTATGATCAGTAGAAATGGCCATGACATGGGACCTTTAAGAGGACAAAAAGAAACGGTTATAAAATGATTTATTAACATTATTTCCCAATTTCACTTTACCAAAATCATTCCTGGTCAAAATGACTAAATATTCCTTTTATGTTGGAGTTGTTTTCCCTTTTAATGCCGTTTGTTAACAAAGGCTCTACTTTTTAATGGGAACAAACACAAAACATGACTAATATTCTGTATCCTAAATGCTAGTTTATTTTCATTCTTTTCCACTCTCTTGGTTAGGTCGATGATTAGCAACAACATTGATTTTAGGGCATCAAACACTGAAATGCACTATATTACAGCAGCAAGTGGAAACTAAGAAATGACATTTCCCCCCAAAAATGTATTATTTAAACACCAAAAATGCTGGTAATGCCCACGGGTGAATGGAGTAGTTTTACATTTTGGGAAACATGCTTGTATGGTTCAATGCTAGGAGTTAGAAGATAGATCACCTGCTCAAAGGTAAGAAAGTCCGTCTAGCTACGCCTCGAAATCAACATTATCAACACGTCGTATGTTGTTTGTTTAATCCGTACAAAAGTAAAAGTGTAAAAACTGATCCGTCATTTGCATTTATTTTGAGAGACTTGGATTCATATTTTGCTACATTTTATAAACCAAACGACTAATTCAGAAAATATTCTCCAGGTTATTCAATACTAAAAATGACCGTTGCAGCTCTGAAGCATATTTTCCCAAAACATGAAACTATTCCTTGAAGCTACCAAAGATGTTCTACTTGAAATCACAGATTCAGTTTGCGGGGTCTTAAAAAGTATTAAAAGTTCATAAATCAATTTAGTGAAAATTAAGGCTATTAAAAGTATTAAACGGGCATTTTCCAAGGTTTTACATTTTGTATCTTGTTTTCAATAAGTATATGAATGGTCCAAAGAGGTTGTGTTCTACAGTCTGCCTGAATGTAATCATTGCGTAGGTGTGTAGTGTGATTCTGTGAAGTTTATTGATGGCATCCCGTTGGGTTTGACGTCATCTGAACAGGACATCGCGCGCTCACTGCTTGATAGCGCGGAGGTCCGTTTGCGCCGGTTGTTAAACAGCATCGTTATGGGGAAATGCAAGTCTGCGTCCAAATGGTTGGAAGATAAGGAGGAAGGACAATCAATACTGTGTATAGTCAATGTGAGGTAAAGTGTGTCGTCAAGGCAACCGGTTAGAACTTGAAGTGTTGATGAGGTCTTAGAATGTATGGAAAGGGTCCCAAGATCCAAAAATACTTAAAGGTCCAAAAATACAGTAAATTCCAAAAATACTTAAAGTTCCAAAAATACCGTAAATTCCAAAAATACTTAAAGTTCCAAAAATACTTAAAGTTCCAAAAATACCGTAAATTCCAAAAATACTTAAAGTTCCAAATATACTTAAAGTTCCAAAAATACCGTAAATTCCAAAAATACTTAAAGTTCCAAATATACTTAAAGTTCCAAAAAACCCTAAATTCCAAACATACTTAAAGTTCCAAAAATACTTAAAGTTCCAAATATACTTAAAGTTCCAAAAATACTTAAAGTTCCAAAAATACCGTAAATTCCAAAAATACTTAAAGTTCCAAAAATACCGTAAATTCCAAAAATACTTAAAGTTCCAAATATACTTAAAGTTCCAAAAAACCCTAAATTCCAAACATACTTAAAGTTCCAAATATACTTAAAGTTCCAAAAATACCGTAAATTCCAAAAATACTTAAAGTTCCAAAAATACCGTAAATTCCAAAAATACTTAAAGTTCCAAATATACTTAAAGTTCCAAAAAACCCTAAATTCCAAACATACTTAAAGTTCCAAAAATACTTAAAGTTCCAAATATACTTAAAGTTCCAAAAATACCGTAAATTCCAAAAATACTTAAGTTCCAAAAATACTTAAAGTTCCAAATATACTTAAAGTTCCAAAAATACTTAAAGTTCCAAAAATACCGTAAATTCCAAAAAACCCTAAATTCCAAACATACTTAAAGTTCCAAAAATACTTAAAGTTCCAAATATACTTAAAGTTCCAAAAAACCCTAAATTCCAAACATACTTAAAGTTCCAAATATACTTAAAGTTCCAAAAATACCGTAAATTCCAAAAATACTTAAAGTTCCAAAAATACCGTAAATTCCAAAAATACTTAAAGTTCCAAATATACTTAAAGTTCCAAAAAACCCTAAATTCCAAACATACTTAAAGTTCCAAAAATACTTAAAGTTCCAAAAATACCGTAAATTCCAAAAATACTTAAAGTTCCAAAAATACTTAAAGTTCCAAATATACTTAAAGTTCCAAATATACTTAAAGTTCCAAAAATACCGTAAATTCCAAAAATACACACAGTAACAGACAACAACAGTACAACAATAAATAGGAACAGACAAACATGCAAACAGATGCAATACTATCATACTATGATACAGTTAAAAGTGTTCACATTTTTGATTGCTTAAAAGCCAGTTCTTAAGATAGTGTTGAAATGTATGATATGAGGTGTTATTCCTTATCTGTATTGGTGTTGTGTTCCAAAGTGTTGATGCCCTCACAGAGAAACACTGTTTACCAAAGGAACTGGACCTAAGAGGGACTGCACAGTCCCCTCTTAGGGCAGACCTTGTGGTTCTGCTGTTTGAATTGTTCTGCTGTATAAAAGTGCAGAGTGGTGGTGGGGGTGCCTTGCCGTTTATAATCTTAAAAATGAGACATGCATCAGTGTGTTTTTAAAAGATAAAAAACACAGTAAACAGTGAAGTCAGTGACTGAGGCAGAACAGTAGAATAGAATAATGAGTCGATTAGATATCAGTGAGGTTTTACTATGGAGAGTCTTGTGTTTTTAATTATGAGTCAGCTGGGATTGTTTTTCATTGAAAATGTGTCTCGTCTCTAATTTCAATCTTTGTTTTGCCGTTGCTCTTCAGAAGGTCTTGCCTCACCCGGCAGCTTTTGTCATTTTAAATCTGTATCGTTATGTATGATAAGGAAGATCACAAATACTACTGAGTTTTTCGATTAAATGATGGTTAAATTACTGATACATATTTGCACCTTTCAACGCTTGAATTGCTCCATTAAGCAACAAAGCACTTTAAACTCACCTGTGTTTTCTTAAAGTCATCAGTCACAGTAGAGATGGTGCTTTGTGTGTTTTACAGTTGAACTGTAGAGAAATAATGTTTATGTAATGTATTGTAATATATTTATCTTATCAAGAGCTGATATAAAAGAAACAATAAAGGCATAAAATGTTCTTAAAGACTTGGAGTTTTTTTTTACTTTACAATAGTTTTCTACTTGTTATGCATATTTATACTGGAGATAATTATAATGCTCATTATTGTGAGAGAATCTGGGGGTTTTATTAAGCATTTTAAAAACTATTTTTAAACACCCTAACTTTGCTTTGTTGTTTTTTATTAATATTTTCTTTGGACTTATTTGGATTTGTATTTATTTTAATTTTATTCTTAACATTTTCGATAAGATTTCTTATTTGTTCTGGGTTTTTGGGTGCCTTTTTCATTATTGTACTCAATAACTACTTACTTATTTCTTTATTCCTTATTTTCTTACTTTTGCAAATGATGTATCTACCTCTAACCTATTTACAAGTTACGATAAAGTTTGAATGAATGAACATGACCCTATGCCTGTTTTTACTTAGTTGGTCATTGTGCACAGCAACATGGAATAACAAGCTGAGTCACATTTAAGCTTGTTGCAATATCATTTATTTCATGCTTCCACATAACCTTTAGTTAGTTAGTTTAGTTAATTAATTCTCCTTAACTATATTTTAAGTAATCCTATCTATTATTCCTATATTCGAATAATGTATAAACTATTTAAAAAATACTTTATGAAATCCTATGTTATGTTATAAATATTAAAATAAAGAACTAAATGAATAAATAGATAATTAAACAAAAGCCAAAGAGAAAAAGTGAGTTTTAAGTGTAAATTAAAAAAACCCCAGGGTCTGGGCCGACCTCACATGGAGGGGCAAAGTGTTCCAGAGCCTAGGGCCAGCGGCTGCGAAAGCTCGATGCCCTCTGGTTTTAAGCCTGGTCTTAGGCACTATCAACAGCAGCTGATCAGCCGACCTTAAGGCTCTGCCTGGGGTGTAGCGATGGAGGAGTTTGGCTATATAGGCAGGAGCCAGCCCATTTAGGGCTTTAAAAACAAATAAAAGGAGTTTAAAATCTATTCTGAACTGAACTGGAAGCCAATCCAATGAAGCCAGAATTAGGGTGATATGGTCACGCTTTTTATGGCCAGTGAGAAGACGTGCAGCTGCATTCTGAACTAGCTGGAGGCGTCTAATTGAGGCCTGGTCCATACCCACATACAGCGCATTGCAGTAATCCAGTCTCGAGGTAACAAAGGCGTTAATAACCCTTTCTAGGTCTTTAAAAGATAAAAACGACTTAGCCAATAGTCGTATTTTGAAAAAGCAGGTCTTGACTAGAGTGCTAACCTGCTTATCAAATTTAAAGGCGCTGTTGAAGGTCACTCCAAGGTTCATAACAGAGGGGAGGATATTTTTATTGAGGGAGCCCAGAATATCAACCGGGGAGACTGTTGGTTGGGGTCCAAAAAAATGTACCTCGATCTTGCTCTCATTGAGGGTGAGGAAGTTGTGGCTCAGCCAGGATTTAATCTCTATTAAGCAGTCCTTCAACTGCTGTAGTGAGTTGGCATTTTGATTGAGAGGCAGATAAATCTGTACATCATCAGCGTAACAATGGAAGGGGATATTATGTGTTGTGAGAATTGAACCTAGGGGCAGTATGTACAATAGAAAAAGGATGGGGCCCAGAATCGAGCCTTGGGGAACCCCACAGGTAAGAGGGGCTTTGGCAGAGGAGAAGACACCTAACTGCACTGAGAAGCTACGGTCCGTCAAATAAGACCTGAACCATGCAAGAGCAGAGCCTGTAATGCCTGCGGACTGTTCAAGCAGTGACAACAGGATACTATGATCCACAGTGTCAAAGGCAGCAGTTAAATCTAACAGCACCAAGACAGCTGGGCTGCCTGAGTCGGCGGCTAAGAGCAGATCATTAAAAAACTCTTAAAAGGGCTGTTTCAGTACTGTGCATAGATTTAAAGCCAGACTGACATTTTTCATGGATGCCATGCGTGGTTAAAAATGCAATGCCCTTGCTGATGGAAGGAGGTTGTCACTCAAAATCTCACGATACATGGCCCCATTCATTCTTTCCTTTACACGGATCAGTCGTCCTGGTCCCTTTGCAGAAAAACAGCCCCAAAGCATGATGTTTCCACCCCCATGTTTCACAGTAGGTATGGTGTTCTTTGGATGCAACTCAGCATTCTTTCTCCTCCAAACACGTCTAGTTGAGTTTTTACCAAAAAGTTCTATTTTGGTTTCATCTGACCATATGACATTCTCCCAATCCTCTTCTGGATCATCTAAATGCTCTCTAGCAAACTTCAGACGGGCCTGGACATGTACTGGTTTAAGCAGGGGACACGTCTGGCACTGCAGGATTTGAGTCCCTGGCGGCGTAGTGTGTTACTGATGGTAGCCTTTGTTACTTTGGTCCCAGCTCTCTGCAGGTCATTGACTAGGTCCCCCCCGTGTGGTTCTGGGATGTTTGCTCACTGTTCTTGTGATCATTTTGACCCCACGGGGTGAGATATTGCGTGGAGCCCCAGATCGAGGGAGATTATCAGTGGTCTTGTATGTCTTCCATTTTCTAATAATTGCTCCCACAGTTGATTTCTTCACACCAAGCTGCTTACCTATTGCAGATTCAGTCTTCCCAGCCTGGTGCAGGTCTACCATTTTGTTTCTGGTGTCCTTTGACAGCTCTTTGGTCTTGGCCATAGTGGAGTTTGGAGTGTGACTGTTTGAGGTTGTGGACAGGTGTCTTTTATACTGATAACGAGTTCAAACAGGTGCCATTAATACAGTTAACGAGTGGAGGACAGAGTAGGCTCTTAAAGAAGAAGTTACAGGTCTGTGAGAGCCAGAAATCTTGTTTGTTTGTAGGTGACCAAATACTTATTTTACCGAGGAATTTACCAATTAATTCATTAAAAATCCTACGATGTGATTTCCTGGATTCTTTCCCCCCATTCTGTCTCTCATAGTTGAAGTGTACCTAGGATGACAATTACAGGCCTCTCTCATTTTTTTAAGTGGGAGAACTTGCACAATTGGTGGCTGACTAAATACTTTTTTGCCCCACTGTAAGAGCGGGAAATGTGTCAAATTGTTCTGTGTGTGTGTGTGTGTGTGTGTGTGTGTGTGTGTGTGTGTGTGTGTGTGTGTGTGTGTGTGTGTGTGTGTGTGTGTGTGTGTGTGTGTGTGTGTGTGTGTGTGTGTGTGTGTGCCAGGTGTGATTCACATGGGGGGATTGGGCACATAAAGGGGGGACACACACATCTAGTGTGGGTGTTTGTGTATGTCTTATATGATCCGGATGGTTACTAATTCCTTTTCTTTATGGCGGTCATGTTTGAGCGGAAACACCATGGGTGTTACAAAGTTGACTAAATCATCCAAAATTCAATGAAAGTGGTGATCAGCAATTGTATATGTTCAAATGTCTACTGTGAAGGATATCATAAAGCCTTAATGCAATCAAATCTACAGTAAAACTAAAAAGTTATGATTGATGAAAGTAGTAAATCGGTCAGATTTGACCCGAAGACAACAGGAGAGATAAATGTTGATTACCTTATTTGTTATTCATGCTTATATTTGTGCCAAGGATTTTCTGTTTTATTTATTTATGTTGAGGGTAGTACCTTTAATGCATTTCCGAGTTAAAACTAAAAGTACATGAACATGGCTCTAGCTTAAAGTAGCCTAAAGTAATGCAGTGGGTTCAGATAATACGCGGTGTCCCTCCTGTAATCACAGTGCGTGTGTTCCCTGTGAGGCAGCGCCCTCTGTGGCCCTCAGCCGGTACTGCACCCCCTGCTGCTTCTCTGAAACCATCTCTTATTCCCGCTAAACCATCCTTATTCATTAAATATCCTGGCACTACTTCTTAATATTATTTTATTCAACTTATATATAACTTTCCCCACATTGTGCCCACACCTCCTCCACACGGTGTTCCTCCACCTTCCCCTGCTCAGATCCTCATCCCGTTAACCGGCTCAACTCCTCTAATCCTCCCGGGTGAAAACCGAGGATCTGAGGACGCGTTAGTTTCATCTCCCCTTCACCGTTATGTGCCTGCGTGGATATAAACAAAGCAATTGCAGTTTTCATTAATACGCGTTATCAGTTAAATCAGCTTTAATTGGATGTGTGCGCAGAGCTGAGCAGCATGGCCTGCAGCTGAGATGACAGACTGCACATGGTGCTTCTTTTTTTTACTTTTACGCTGAGAAAGTTCTCTTTTTTCGGGGTTGAAGTGAATACATGTGATCCATACCGCATCGCAGATCCCCTGAGGAGTTGATGGTGGGTTTCCTGAGGTGATTTCGTGGTTAAACGGCGGACATGGACGCGAAGAAAGGTAGGAACTGCTCACTAAGTCTCTGAGTGACAACATTATACCGTCAAAGTCATGCAAAAATCAAGTAGTCATGGCCCACAGTGCTGTAGTTTACTGCAGGTGGCATGGGGGCACATTCAATCCTTTAACTGATGATAATAGACGTGTAAAAACTGTGAGGTTGCTCCTGCAGGCTTACTGTGTGAGGGCCTCCTCAGGTGATCCTGGGCCTCAGTACCTGGAGAAGTAGGTCACATCTGGTCTAATAATGAGGCCTCAGGACAGATACCTGCAATTACTACAATTACTTAATACTAATAATATAACACTACTGTACCTGGTGATTAAACTATGATATGGTGAGAGTAAGTGTTACGCCTACCACCAACACACCAGACCCTCCCCTGTATAAGAAAATACATTCACCTGCTCAGACTATAATATTTAGCAGAATACATTCTCATCGGACATGCATTACTCATATTTCTCTTTCAATTTAATGTATTATATTGACAAAAATACAACCATGAGACAGAATAGAGTGATTTAATAGACACTAGCCCAGATACTAAAAAGAAAGTAGTTTGAATATATCTTACTAAGACAGTTTGAATAGAGAGTTCATGTGTCATACAGAAACATTTACAAGGTAAAAAAACACCAAATACCTTCAAATCTAAACTACCCCTGACTACTTAATGCTCCCAAAACATTTATTAACCAGTCCAAACATTGGTTTGACGTAAGTACGATATAATAAATACAGATATGACAAAGGGACAGTGGTGTTAAGTAGATAAGTACATCTACTCTAGTCAATTTTGAGGTCAATGTTTTGCTACTTCTACTCCACTACAGTTCAGAGGTACATGGTGTACTTCTCCTCCACTACATGTATTTAATCCCTTTAGTTACTTCACAGATCTGGATGAATGATGTGAAATATAATCAAGTGTTGAATCAGACTTTAGTTCCACCTGGAGTAAATCCACCAGCTACCCTGCAGTATACAAAGTCATTCAAACTAGCTGCTCCTTTACCAGCTTTGAGAACACTTTCATGATCAATCATTATAAAACATATCATATATATTATTCTGAAATGGACCAATCTGCACAACGACTACTTTTACTGTCGCTACTCTAACTATAATTTGATGAGAATACTTTTCTACTTTCACTTGAGGAACATTTTGAATGCAGGACTTTTACTGTAACAGGGTATTCCTACACTCTGGTACTTCTACTTTTACTCAAGTACAAGATCTGAGTACTTCTATCTTTACTCAAGCACAAGATCTGAGTACTTCTACTTTTACTCAAACACAAGATCTGAGTACTTCTACTTTTACTCAAGTACAATATCTGAGAATAACTAACTGTATGTGTTTTTTCGTTGTATTTTCCACAGATGAGGGGGATGGAGGGAAAGCCGAGGGGTCCGCTGGCTCGGCCAGGAAGAGAGGCGGGGGGGCGAAGAAGGCGATGCAGGCCAACAAGTCTGCGATGCGAGCCCCCCGAGCGCTCTGCTGCCTCACGCTCAGCAACCCCATCCGCATGGCCGCCCTCGCCCTGGTGGAGTGGAAGTATCCTTCAGAGAGGGAAGGGGATACGGAGAGTTTACTTATTTTAAAATAGTTTTTTATAATATAAAAAAAGAAATTGGTTGTGGAGTACCTGCAATTACTACAGTTACCTACTTAAAGGTCCCCTATTATACAAAATCCTCTTCTTCATGTCTCTCCTACATCAACATGTGTCCTCTCTTCTTCATGTCTCTTCTACATCAACATGTGTCCCCTCTTCTCCATGTCTCTTCTACATCACCATGTGTCCCCTCTTCTTCATGTCTCTTGTACATCAACATGTGTCCCCTCTTCTTCATGTCTCTTCTACATCAACATGTGTCCCCTCTTCTCCATTTCTCTTCTACATCACCATGTGTCCCCTCTTCTTCATGTCTCTTGTACATCAACATGTGTCCCCTCTTCTTCATGTCTCTTCTACATCAACATGTGTCCCCTCTTCTCCATGTCTCTTCTACATCAACATGTGTCCCCTCTTCTCCATGTCTCTTCTACATCACTATGTGTCCCCTCTTCTTCATGTCTCTTCTACATCAACATGTGTCCCCTCTTCTCCATGTCTCTTCTACATCAACATGTGTCCCCTCTTCTCCATGTCTCTTCTACATCACTATGTGTCCCCTCTTCTTCATATCTCTTCTACATCAACATGTGTCCCCTCTTCTTCATGTCTCTTCTACATCAACATGTGTCCCCTCTTCTTCATGTCTCTTCTACATCAACATGTGTCCCCTCTTCTTCATGTCTCTTCTACATCAACATGTGTCCCCTCTTCTTCATGTCTCTTCTACATCAACATGTGTCCCCTCTTCTTCATGTCTCTTCTACATCAACATGTGTCCCCTCTTCTTCATGTCTCTTCTACATCAACATGTGTCCCCTCTGTGGAAAGAGACTCTGAAAGTTTCAGGAACAAAGATTCTCTCTCTTTTTGATCCATTGCTATAAAAACCTGTCTGAAAATGAGCTGATCAGATTGTGGCCACTTTATGATGTCATAACGATTTTATTGGCTTGTGTAACCATTAGCCAATCAGCAACCAAGGTAACCCCCCCCCTTATCACCTGAATCTCCTCCTAGAGCACCATTAGCCGCTTTCACACCAAGTACTTTGACGTACTTAGTTCCCAGCACTTATGGCACATTTCCACTGCAGCGGGTAGCCCCGTTTAAGCGTCCTTAACCGTCCTCAAGCGGCCAGGCCGGTTTTTGGTGGCGTTTCCATATAGCCTAGTACCGGCCAGCGGGTACTTTTTCCCTCTTTTTCCGGCCTCATAAAATCGTGGTTCCCTCAGACCAGGGCCAGGGCTGAACTAGTGACGTCAACACTCTCGACTGCTGATTGGTCAGAGAGAATCGTCACAAGATTGCGCGCGAGTTCATCCCTAGCGTCGCATATATATTTAGAAGCAAGCTTGCAGCATTTTTATACACAACATTTTGTAAACGGAGGAGCTACAAAAATGGCTACGTCTAATAAAAAAAGCACACCGTGGTCGACCGAGGAGGTGACGACGTTCCTACATCTCATTGGGGATGATCAAATCCAGCGGGAGCTCGACGGAACAACTCGAAATGTGAACAAAAACAAAGCTGATCGCCCCGCCTACACTGCGTTGCTACCCCAGGTCCTAAACTGTAATGGAAATGCGCCATGGCCTGGGACGGCCAGCGAGGCAGCCCGAGGCCAGAGCGAGGACGCTTAGGGACGCTTAAACGGGGCTACCCCGCTGCAGTGGAAACGCGCCATAAGCGTCCTCGCTCAGGCCTCGGGCTGCCTCGCTGGCCGTCCGAGGCCGTGGCGCATTTCCATTACAGTTTAGGACCTGGGGTAGCAACGCAGTGTAGGCGGGGCGATCGTTTTTTTTTTTTTTTCACATTTCGAGTTGTTCCGTCGAGCTCCCGCTGGATTGTATCATCCCCAATGAGATGTAGGAACGTCGTCACCTCCTCGGTCGACCACGGTGTGCTTTTCTTTGACGTTGCCAGGCCGCAAACAACTTCACGGCGTATACTGCCGCCCAAAGTCCCCGGCCGGAAGTCCCCGGAGTTGGGGACTGGCTTCAGTAGAAGCTGCTGGGACTCCCAGCAGCTTCTACTGAAGCCTTCCGAGTAAATCGCCAGAACGCCGACACCTCCTCATCTCCACCGCTCCCATGTTTTTTTTTTGTGTTGCCATAAATTAGTCTCTCTGCGTTTGTGCGCAGGGCTAATGCTAATGCTAATAATGCTAATGCCAGCAAATACAATGGCGGCTTCACAAAACTTTTCAGAGTTTTACGGGGCGTGGTTTGCAATTCGCCCAGCCAATCAGAAATTGGAACTTTTTTCTCCCCAGGAAAGTACCTGCTCTCTAGCAGGGACTGAAAAGGGGGTAAAAGTTCTCATGAACTAAGTTCTCTTTTTGGTGTGAACGCAAAATCCCAGGAACTATCGGAACTAAACGGGAAAAGTACTCCGGTGTGAAAGCGCCTATTGAGTTCTTTGTAACCAAATATCTCTCAGAGGGGCGTGGGGAGTGGAAACACGTTTGAAACAGAGGGGAATTATGTGTAATGCTGCAATGATCTGTTTGGTATATGGAGCCAAACAGATCAGAGACTTGTTTGTATATATCTGAGACCTGCTGTAATACATTGATGACAAACAGTATAATAGGGGACCTTTAATAATAATAATGTAATCCTACTGTACCTGTGATTAAACTATGATATGGTGAGAGTACGTGTTACGCCTACCACCAACACACAGACCCTCTCCTGTATAAGAAAATACATTCACCTTAGCAGAAATAATATCCTTCAGAGAAGGCAGGGAATACGGAGAGTTTTCTTATTTTAAATAGTTTTGATTTTTTGCTTGTTTTTCTTACAATTTATCTTCTTTAACTGTGTTTAGGAAAGTTCCTCGTGTGTGTAAACTTACTTTGGCAAGAAACCTGTTTCTGATTCAGAGGCATGAAGAAATGAGAAGAGGATTGAACTTTCTGAGGATATTGTCAAAATGTCAAACTTTTAGTTGATCAGAATCAGAGTTACTTTATGAATCCCACAGGATTTACAGTGTTGCAGCTAAAGTGGCAAAACAAGTAAGGTATGCAATAATAAAGAGTAAACTAACTAATTAAATATAGAGAAGAAAAGCACACAATAATAGAATAAAATAAAGACAACTAAGTACACAGCCATGGCTAAAAATGAGTAGCAGCATAAGTAACATATTCAGGTGTCGAGTCAATATAAAAATGTATGTTTATTTCACATTACAACTAATTATTGCAAAGTACATTTGCAAAAAGTTTCTGTATTCCACATTGCAGGTTTGCTGCACAAGATTGCACTGGAAGTTTTCTAAAACAAGTTTGACTTTTCCTTTCGACATTTCCACTTTATACTCAACATTAATCCTTAAAAACTGACTTTACTTTCAACGTATTACATTTCTTCTGAACGTTTTTACTTTACTTTCAACGCTTATATCTTATCCGCCAGAGATATAATGTATTCTTCAAATCATGACTTTATTTTCAGTAACCGTACCACATTTTCAACCTTTAAACCTTATTCTTAAAAGGTTCTTTTTATTCTCAACATTTTCTCAACATGTCTACTTTATTTGCAACATGTATAACTTATTCTGAACAGTTATAATTCTCAACATTTTAACCTTATCTTTGAAATGCAAAGCAACATCAACTATTTCTCTTCTCATGTTTTTTCCTATACTCTATCACACATTGGGTTATATAAATATATATATAAATATATATATATATTTATATATATATAAATATATATATTGTTAGGGAATAATTTTCTTAGGTATTCAACCTTCGACCCAGTTCATCATGTTCTCCTCTCACTGTCTCCTTTCCCACGGCTTAGGTCTACGGCCTTGGGTGTTGCTGCTATCTCTCTTAAGGGGGAGCAGCTTGGGCGCATTGTTGTTGCCAGTCTATGACAGAGCACAAGCCGCCATGAGGTAGTTCACTGTTCAGGGACGTAGGCTCCCTGGCGCTCATTCTTTCCTACGGACGAGAGTTAGATTCAGGGTCCATAATGTTTAGTCTCGCTGATGAAGAATGTTGATTATTACACTCTGAACTAGTTAAAACCTCGAGCTACAGAAGAGTTCTTCAGAATTGGTTTGGCAACCGCTGTGTCAGCTCGTGACACACCACCTGTCTTCTCAATTCGCCGTAACTCCAAATAAACCATGAGTGTTTGCCATCAAAGCTCCAGCTCTCCTCGTGCCTCTCCGAGTCCTGTTTCCAATTGCTTCAGAAGTTTCCCCAACATATATGTATGCAGACAGTTCTGCATGTGCTGATGTGAATATGTTGGGAAGGATGTAGCTTGGGTAGAAGTTGTATTATGTTGTTGTTGTTGTTGTTGTTGTTGTTGTTGTTGTTGTGTGTATTTCCTGTGAAGATGCATCTCCTGTTGAACCTTAACTCCGCTCCTCAGGCCCTTTGATATTTTTATTCTCCTTGCCATCTTTGCCAACTGTGTGGCCATGGGAGTGACCAAACCGTACCCCGACGACGACTCCAACGTCACCAACCACCAACTGGTGAGTTATACAGCTGACAAATATACACTATATATTCATTATGCATTAAATAAAGTTTAACTTGTTGTCTTAACTAATTTAAACGTTTGAGATTGGTATTAGGAAAGTTAAGTAAGGCTCCTTTTTCTAAAAATGGAAAGAAAAACACTGATTGCAGCTAAAGCATAATTATTTTAATAGCTTTGTACTGTAAGCACCAAGACATTGTTTGTTTATAATGTTAAACAGGGTTTACACGCTGTGATAGGCCCAGTTTAATATGTAACTTAACCTGTAAAACATTTAGGACCCCTGCTGTTAGGGCAATAAATGAAGCTTTCAAGGCTAACTACTCTCTATGTGAGTCTATGTGTAAGAGCCATTTTAAGAATATAAATGAAAGAATGTAAAAGTATTATTTCTTTATTTAGCTTGCATTGCTGTGTAACATTATCCAGCAACAATAGGGAGTTGTGTGCTTAATGTGTTTAAATAAATGGACCGTACTTATATAGCGCTTTATCCAGTACACACACACACACACACACACACACACACACACACACACACACATACATACATACATACATACATACATACATACATATGCACACACACACACATTGACTTACATGCATTTCCTGGAGACTTATCCTTACCCTAAACCTAACCAAGTCTTCACCCTAAAATTAATGATTCCCCTCATGGGGACCTCCATAGAGAACTGCAGTGACGCGTCCTAAAACCCGGAAGTGAGTCAGCATTTCACCACTTCCTGTTCCCTCGTCTCAGAGCCAATGGGATCTCTCCATAGGGTTTAGGAAACTATCTGAACTAAGGTCTGTGGTTGACACAAATTGAAGAGACGGATCACGTTTTATTCTACGACATTAAATCCATCAGCAGTGACCCCACTGGTGATTTCTGAAGAGTTGACGTGTCTGAGAAACGATGGTTGTTACCAAGTGGCTGAATAGGACTACAGAAGTTGTGGAGGCCGTTGTACGTCATTACGCCGAACACGTAAACACTGCTCTAAGTTAGTTCCTGTTCTGCTTGAAAGCAAGTCCCTGCTTCCTGCAAACTGTTCAAACAAACGCTTCAACTTGAACCATTTAGAGTCTGTGTGTTTGAATATCGATCTTAAGTCGGCGTGACGTTGAAGCAGCGACCCTGCTGTAGTTCCTTTATAGCATAACGTTAGCATTTTGCTTCTGGCGACTAGATTTATGATTCGAAAATTATAAAAATAGGGTAGACATGTGGAGATTATCCGGCTGAACAAAACGTGACCCGTCTCTTCAATGTGTTTCAACCACAGACCTTATTTCCAGCTGTTTTCCTAAATCTTATGGAGAAATCGCTTTGCTTTTTGTGAAAGGAACCGGAAGGAGTTTACTTCCGGGTTTTAGGACGCGTCACTGCGGTTCTCTATTATGTCCCCATAAGGGAGGCGAGTCCCCACACGTGACTGTGTGAACAGATTTAGGTCCCCACAAGGATAGTAATGCTAGGCCACACACACACACACACACACACACACACACACACACACACACACACACACACACACACACACACACACACACACACACACACACACACACACACACACTCCCTCTCTCTCAGCCACAGTCGCCTTTTGTGTTTTTGATGTTATTTTGGTCCTGTTTCAAAGCCTTAAGAGCATCTTGTGGGATTCTCCTGAGTTCCTCTTCCATCTGAAGTCCTCTGAGTCCTTTGAGGACACTGATAGAGGCAGTCGTGATTCATGACTAACGTGTACAGATGTTTATAAAGAGGAACAGTGGTCAGGAGGTATTGAGCTGAAGGCAGTAACACTAACAGAGGTTAACAAAGGAGGGTCTCTGACCGGCTGAGGTGACCGACCAACCCTCCTCCTCCTCCTCCTCCTCCTCCTCCTCCTCCTCCTCCTCCTCCTCCTCCTCCTCCTCCTCCTCCTCCTCCTCCTCCTCCTCCTCCTCCTCCTCCTCCTCCTCCTCCTCCTCTCTTTGTCACGTCTCCCCATTAAAACACATGTATTAGCGATCAAACTGAAAACGAGCCTGTTGATCTTTTGCATTTTGGAAATATGAGCCATAAGATTTAAATATTTATAAAAAAACTTAAGTCCAATTGTTGTTGTTTCATTGGAAACGATCCTAATTTAAAAGCTTTGTTTGCATAAAGCAAACGTGATCAGTATTTGAACAACATGTTAGGTATTTAAGTGAAATAAGTAGCTTAAAATATTCACATTGTTGGAAATAAACCTGTAAATATTTTAAATATATTTTATTTGATCTTTTATTTTAAACATAATTTCAAGTTTTTATTTAAATAATTAATTCCATTTTATTTGGTATAATTTAACATGTTATTATTTTTTTCACATTGTAATTAGATTTTATTTCATGTTTTATTGCAATGATTTACTATAAAAGCTAATTTTATATAATTGTATTCTTTTATTGCACATTTTTGCTATAACGCCCAATTTTTACACACACCTCTTTATTTAATTTAATATTTTATTGCACATTTGTACTTGAACTTATTATGTTATTGTAAATATTTTATTGAGTTGTATTAAAAAAATGGAGCAACAAACCCAATATCCCCCCTTGGATGAATAAGGTATGTTCATTCTGCTTCTCTCAGGACATACAGCAGCTCTTGCATCAGGATACATGTCAGTAGATTTCTTTAATGCATTGCACAAAGGAGATTTGAACATGTTCTTCCCTTCAGTGACGTTTAGCATTATCCCCTAAGATCTCAGTTTTTTGCACGAGGCGATTGTTTGGTGCTTTCTGTGGGCTGCAGTCGGTTTCAGTTAAACGTCAGTGGCTGGATTATTGCGTCAGCCGGGGTAAGAGGCCTAGTGACAGTGGCTGCTGTGATTAGAGGCATTAAGCTGCAGGTTACAGAGAGGGATCTGGTGACAGGCTTACAGTTAGGCACTGGGTTAAGAGGTTAGAGAGCCACTGCTAACTCTAATGATAACAACACACGTGGTGCAGAGAACATGCTAGAAAATGTCTCCTAATGCTTCGACGAGAAGGCAGTTTATAGACGTCTTTACTTTTCACTTCTTTTTCTGCAGCAGTTATTGCTTTCAGACACACGTGCTGACTGACACTTATTTATTGTTCACATGGGAAAGTGAACATGAATCAAAGCTGATTAGTGTTTAATTTAACATGCAACTAAGATGTAAACTCACATGCCTTGTGTTATGATCGGCTCGTAGGCAAAAGACAGAGAGACGTTCGAGGGTTCCAAAAACCACGGTACATTTATTGTGGCGATTCCAAAACAACACCAAAAACATGAGAGGATGGGCGAGGGGAAAGGATCCCGGCGAGAGTCTTCCCACAGCGGTCCTAGAGAGAGTCACGAAGGCCATGTGACTCCGGGCAGCAGGGCTTAAGTAGCACCTCGGCTCCGGCCAGGTGTCCCCAGTCACGCTGATTGGCCTCCTCAGCAGTGGCGGTTCTAGACCAATTTGACTGGGGGGGCCAGTTATTTTCTGAGGGGGGCACAATAAATGCAGGACGAAAAAGAGAACTAGACAGTATGAAGTAATTGCGCATAAGAAAACAATGCAATACAGTTATTGGTATTTATTTATTTCAGATAGATCTTATAGTTATTACTGTTAGCCTCAGCTTAAGTTATTGTGCAATGTTTGCTCTCACACCATATTTATATAAAAATAAAGGCAATGAACAGTTACATCTCTACTTTACATAAGGGTGTCTGCACAATCTCACATTACAGCAACAAAATCCTGCGGTTTTTGGCAAACCGAGTACCAGAAAATATACATTTTTAAAAAAAAAATGGCCCCCCCTAGAACTGCCCCTGCTCCTCAGCTCTGTCAAGTTGTGATTTGGTTGGTTTTATTGACTCCTGCCTAAACTTTTTTCTCTTTATTTGAGTGATTGCAGATTCCTTATTGCTTCATTCAGCCTCTTGTTGGCCACTTGATGCTCATTGAAAACCTTTAACACAAAACATTACTTTCGTTCACTTTAGGTACATAAACATTTTCAACTAAAAGCATGCCATCTTTTAACAAGCACTTTCATTTCACCCCCATCACAGGACCTGCAACACACCCGCACACTCACAGGCTCTGGGACTATGTTTTTATCAGGTTTACAACTGTGTTCTCATATCTTTAAGGGTTATTAAAGCTGATGATGGTTCAATACCGTATACCGTGAAACTGTTAGATAGGAATACTGTTAAAATCGCGGCCATCACCCTTACGATCAACTCACGGTACACTTTCACAAACAAAATACAAGCAAATGTTCAAACTCATTGGAAAAACTTGCAGTATCAACTACAGAGTCCCAGGTAGAGGAGACAGACAAGCTATCAATACATGCTTAAAAGGACACTGCAATACAACACAATATTTTAAGATAAGATAAGAAGTACTTCATTGAAATGTTTGCGTGGCAGCAGCATAAAAGACAAGGTATTTCCCATAAGAGCAATTCAAAGGGTAGAAAGATACTATAAAATACAATAAATAACATGAAGACATTGAAGAAATATCAGAAATAGTTTGTCACAATAATGAGAGATGTTTATAAATGTTTGCAGCACTTGGTTTGGCTCATTTGAAGCTGGTGTACCTGCAGGATCTTCATGGTAAAAGCTTCAGCTAAATGTTAATTAACATTTTATATGTTGCCTTTTTCCTCTGTTTCCAGGAACAAGTAGAGTACGTGTTCCTCGTCATCTTCACCATCGAGACCTTCACTAAGATCCTGGCTTACGGTCTGGTGATGCACCCGAGCGCCTACATCCGCAGCGGCTGGAATTTACTGGATTTCGTCATCGTTATTGTCGGGTAAGCTGCTGCTTTACGTCGTCTGCAAACATTCTTCCATCGCTGTACTGAAAGATCTAACACAGCGGTTCCCAACCCACTAGGGGGCTGCGAAGGCATTACAAGTGGGCCGCCAAATAATTTGCAAAACATTATGATTTGTGTGGAACCATTTCATTTTTAAGATTTTCTTTGACATTTGAACCTCTTTTCCTTTGTCTTTCTTGATCCTCCTTAGCAACGGTCATTATAGTCCTTGACAGCGGTCTGTTCTACTGGATTAACAACGTGTCACATGTTCTGAATTGACCAATCAGAGTCGAGTATTCAACTAAACCGTGTAATAAAAATGAATAGCTATTATTAATTAATTATTCATCTGCCTATTGCAGACACAGTTTCTCATGTCGGTTTGTTACTGATGGCCAGTTCCTTTTCTAATTCAAAAGTGCTCTGAGAACTTTATTTAGCCTCCATATTGTTTATGGTTGAATGTGGGGCGTGAACATTTTATAGATTCTTAAGCGGGCCCTGGGTTGAAAAAGGTTGGGTACCGCTGATCTAACATATATCATTTGTGTGTGTGTGTGTGTGTGTGTGTGTGTGTGTGTGTGTGTGTGTGTGTGTGTGTGTGTGTGTGTGTGTGTGTGTGTGTGTGTGTGTGTGTGTGTGTGTGTGTGTGTGTGTGTGTGTGTGTGTGTGTGTGTGTGTGTGTGTGTGTGTGTGTGTGTGTGTGTGTGTGTGTGTGTGTGTGGTGTGTGTGTGTGTGTGTGTGTGTGTGTGCAGGTTGTTCAGTGTGGCAGCGGAGGGCATGACGGACCATAAGCCCGGAGAGGCTCACCACGCGGCGGGGAAGCCTGGAGGTCTGGATGTGAAAGCTCTGAGAGCCTTCAGGGTGCTGCGACCGCTACGACTGGTGTCCGGGGTGCCAAGTACGTCTCTGTTTCATGTGTGGGAACAATTTATACGACTCCTCTGTCTATAGTTCATAATAAACATATTTAAAATGTGCTTTAAAATTGAATAATTAGAACTAAAACGATATGATACAATACTATATACTTTATTGTCCTCGTAAGGAAATGTGTTCTGCAGTTCCACACACATGTACATATACAAACATAGCAAACATTAAAATGCATACACGTAGAGCTAAAACCACTCCTAGATACTCATTATAACAATGATGAGCGCGTAGGTTAGATTTGTCATGACACATAACTGGACAAAATGTAATACATTTCTACTTCATTATGTAATAACATTTGCATTTAGTAGGCTAATAATCTGAAGCATCTTGTAGCCAGTGTGTGTGCTGGTTCAACTTATGTTTGAATACATATGAATGTGATTATCTGAACTGAATGTGGTGCAACTATCACAACACCTGATTCCCCCACTGGGACTAATGAAGTATTTTGATGGATTGAATGCAATGTGTTATTATTTCCCTGGATTTCACATGACATATTGCCGTGGTTATTACAAATGATTAGGGTTTCTAATACATGCATTGTGTAATAATGAAATAGTACACAGTGTATATATAACGTGAGTAATACAATATATAGTACGTTTTAGTTGATTAGTGTATAATGCAACATAAAGGTCATAGAAAATGCTTCTATCTGTTCCTGTGCTTCATGCATGCCGTACTAAAGAGTGTGTGTTCCTGCGGTCAGGTCTACAGATCGTGTTGAACTCCATCATGAAGGCCATGGTTCCTCTGCTGCACATCGGCATGCTGGTGATGTTCGTCATCATCATCTACGCCATCATCGGCCTGGAGCTCTTCATCGGGCGGATGCACAAGACCTGCTACTCCTCGGGCTCAGGTCTCTGACTAAAACACACATTGTTATTTACATATTTACTGTGTGTGTGTGTGTGTGTGTGTGTGTGTGTGTGTGTGTGTGTGTGTGTGTGTGTGTGTGTGTGTGTGTGTGTGTGTGTGTGTGTGTGTGTGTGTGTGTGTGTGTGTGTGTGTGTGTGTGTGTGTGTGTGTGTGTGTGTGTGTGTGTGTGTGTGTGTGTGTGTGTGTGTGTGTTGTGTGTGTGTGTGTGTTTGTGTGGGCTAGAGATGGCAAAAGTACACATATCCTTTACTCAAGTAGAAGTACAGATACTCGTGTTTAAAAATACTCTGGTAAAAATAGAAGTACTGACTAAACTTCTTTACTCAAGTCAAAGTAAAGAGGCTTTGAAATGTACTTCAGTAAAAAGTACCCATAGCTAGCAGCTGTTTTAAAGAGTACCTGACCTCCCTTTATATTAATAGAACAATAATGTCATTGTTAGCTAATGAATGTTTCCATGCTGAACAACGGCAACATGACAACGTTTCTATTGGTCCCTCTTCTTTAGAGAAGACCAGGAAATGATGGATACACAGATCGTGTTCAAATCAATAGGCACGCAATGACTCTAAAGAATAATGATCACGCATCAAACACACATTCAGACTAAAGGAACCAGCTGTTTGGAAAATGAGAGAAGTAGAAAGTACAAGTATTTGGGTTCAACATGTAAGAAGTAGAAAGTACAGGTATTTGAGTTCAACATGTAAGAAGTAGAAAGTACAGGTATTTGAGTTCAACATGTAAGAAGTAGAAAGTACAGGTATTTGAGTTCAACATGTAAGAAGTAGAAAGTACAGGTATTTGTGTTCAACATGTAAGAAGTAGAAAGTACAGGTATTTGAGTTCAACATGTAAGAAGTAGAAAGTACAGGTATTTGTGTTCAACATGTAAGAAGTAGAAAGTACAGGTATTTGGGTTCAACATGTAAGGAGTAGAAAGTACAGGTATTTGAGTTCAACATGTAAGAAGTAGAAAGTACAGGTATTTGGGTTCAACATGTAAGAAGTAGAAAGTACAGGTATTTGGGTTCAAAATGTAAGAAGTAGAAAGTACAGGTATTTGGGTTCAACATGTAAGAAGTAGAAAGTACAGGTATTTGGGTTCAACATGTAAGAAGTAGAAAGTACAGGTATTTGAGTTCAACATGTAAGAAGTAGAAAGTACAGGTATTTGGGTTCAAAATGTAAGAAGTAGAAAGTACAGGTATTTGGGTTCAACATGTAAGAAGTAGAAAGTACAGGTATTTGGGTTCAACATGTAAGAAGTAGAAAGTACAGGTATTTGAGTTCAACATGTGAGAAGTAGAAAGTACAGGTATTTGAGTTCAACATGTAAGAAGTAGAAAGTACAGGTATTTGGGTTCAAAATGTAAGAAGTAGAAAGTACATGTATTAGTGTTCAACATGTAAGAAGTAGAAAGTTCAGGTATTTGGGTTCAACATGTAAGAAGTAGAAAGTACAGGTATTTGAGTTCAACATGTAAGAAGTAGAAAGTACAGGTATTTGAGTTCAACATGTAAGAAGTAGAAAGTACAGGTATTTGGGTTCAAAATGTAAGAAGTAGAAAGTACATGTATTAGTGTTCAACATGTAAGAAGTAGAAAGTTCAGGTATTTGGGTTCAACATGTAAGAAGTAGAAAGTACAGGTATTTGAGTTCAACATGTAAGAAGTAGAAAGTACAGGTATTTGTGTTCAACATGTAAGAAGTAGAAAGTACAGGTATTTGAGTTCAACATGTGAGAAGTAGAAAGTACAGGTATTAGTGTTCATCATGTGAGAAGTAGAAAGTACAGATATTTGAGTTCAACATGTGAGAAGTAGAAAGTACAGGTATTTGAGTTCAACATGTAAGAAGTAGAAAGTACAGGTATTTGGGTTCAACATGTAAGAAGTAGAAAGTACAGGTATTTGAGTTCAACATGTAAGAAGTAGAAAGTACAGGTATTTGTGTTCAACATGTAAGAAGTAGAAAGTACAGGTATTTGAGTTCAACATGTGAGAAGTAGAAAGTACAGGTATTAGTGTTCATCATGTGAGAAGTAGAAAGTACAGATATTTGAGTTCAACATGTGAGAAGTAGAAAGTACAGATATTTGAGTTCAACATGTAAGAAGTAGAAAGTACAGGTATTTGAGTTCAACATGTAAGAAGTAGAAAGTACAGGTATTTGAGTTCAACATGTAAGAAGTAGAAAGTACAGGTATTTGAGTTCAACATGTAAGAAGTAGAAAGTACAGGTATTAGAGTTCAACATGTAAGAAGTAGAAAGTACAGGTATTTGTGTTCAACATGTAAGAAGTAGAAAGTACAGGTATTAGAGTTCAACATGTAAGAAGTAGAAAGTACAGGTATTTGGGTTCAACATGTAAGAAGTAGAAAGTACAGGTATTTGTGTTCAACATGTAAGAAGTAGAAAGTACAGGTATTTGGGTTCAACATGTAAGAAGTAGAAAGTACAGGTATTTGTGTTCAACATGTAAGAAGTAGAAAGTACAGGTATTTGGGTTCAACATGTAAGAAGTAGAAAGTACAGGTATTTGTGTTCAACATGTAAGAAGTAGAAAGTACAGGTATTTGAGTTCAAAATGTAAGAAGTAGAAAGTACAGGTATTTGTGTTCAACATGTAAGAAGTAGAAAGTACAGGTATTTGTGTTCAACATGTAAGAAGTAGAAAGTACAGGTATTTGTGTTCAACAGGTAAGAAGTAGAAAGTACAGGTATTTGGGTTCAACATGTGAGAAGTAGAAAGTACAGGTATTTGGGTTCAAAATGTAAGAAGTAGAAAGTACAGGTATTTGTGTTCAACATGTAAGAAGTAGAAAGTACAGGTATTTGTGTTCAACATGTAAGAAGTAGAAAGTACAGGTATTTGGGTTCAACATGTGAGAAGTAGAAAGTACAGGTATTTGTGTTCAACATGTAAGAAGTAGAAAGTACAGGTATTTGTGTTCAACATGTAAGAAGTAGAAAGTACAGGTATTTGGGTTCAACGTGTAAGAAGTAGAAAGTACAGGTATTTGGGTTCAACATGTAAGAAGTAGAAAGTACAGGTATTTGGGTTCAACATGTAAGAAGTAGAAAGTACAGGTATTTGGTTCAACATGTAAGAAGTAGAAAGTACAGGTATTTGGGTTCAACATGTAAGAAGTAGAAAGTACAGGTATTTGGGTTCAACATGTAAGAAGTAGAAAGTACAGGTATTAGAGTTCAACATGTAAGAAGTAGAAAGTTCAGGTATTTGTGTTCAACATGTAAGAAGTAGAAAGTACAGGTATTTGTGTTTAACATGTAAGAAGTAGAAAGTACAGATATTAGAGTTCAACATGTAAGAAGTAGAAAGTACAGATATTTGGGTTCAACATGTAAGAAGTAGAAAGTTCAGGTATTTGAGTTCAACATGTAAGAAGTAGAAAGTACAGGTATTTGTGTTCAACATGTAAGAAGTAGAAAGTTCAGGTATTTGAGTTCAACATGTAAGAAGTAGAAAGTACAGGTATTTGAGTTCAACATGTAAGAAGTAGAAAGTTCAGGTATTTGAGTTCAACATGTAAGAAGTAGAAAGTTCAGGTATTTGTGTTCAACATGTAAGAAGTAGAAAGTACAGGTATTTGAGTTCAACATGTAAGAAGTAGAAAGTTCAGGTATTTGAGTTCAACATGTAAGAAGTAGAAAGTACAGGTATTTGTGTTCAACATGTAAGAAGTAGAAAGTACAGGTATTTGTGTTCAACATGTGAGAAGTAGAAAGTACAGGTATTTGAGTTCAACATGTAAGAAGTAGAAAGTACAGGTATTTGAGTTCAACATGTAAGAAGTAGAAAGTACAGGTATTTGAGTTCAACATGTAAGAAGTAGAAAGTACAGGTATTTGAGTTCAACATGTAAGAAGTAGAAAGTACAGGTATTTGGGTTCAACATGTAAGAAGTAGAAAGTACAGGTATTTGTGTTCAACATGTAAGAAGTAGAAAGTACAGGTATTTGTGTTCAACATGTAAGAAGTAGAAAGTACAGGTATTTGTGGTAAAAAGATAAGAAGTAAAAGTATAAAGTCGTCAGAAAACAAGTAGTAGAGTAAAGTACTGATACCAAGTAGTAGTAGTAGAACCTTTATTTATCCAGGAAAATCAATTAAGAACAAATTCTTATTTACAATGATGACCTGACAGGAGGCAAAGGCTTCCTGAGGGGATGGGGCACTACAGAACACAGGAGACAACACAAACACATAGAGCAAAGATGACAGGCATAGCAGTTAAACATGTAAAAACTCTAAAACAATATTGCTGTGGTTCAATCAGTCATTAAAATCAGCATCAGGCAAAGCAGCTACATGTGTGTACCAGGGTGTCAATAATAGTGACATTGAAGGTGCGGGGGGAGACAAAGGTTTTCATTTTCAACGTTTTTTGAATGACATTCCAGCTATCTGCTGCTGCAAATTGAAAGGCGGAGCGGCCAAAGGATGTATGGGCTTTGGGGATCTTTAACAGGATGCTTGTAGCTGACTTAAGTACAGTAACGAAGTATTTGTACTCCACTACTTCCCACCTCTGGTGTGTGCTCATTGCTTTGTCTCTCTGCTGCAGGCCTCGTAGTGGAGGACGATCCTTCGCCGTGTGCGTTCGCCGGCAGCGGACGCTTCTGTGACGATAACGGTACGGAGTGCAGAGGGAAGTGGGAGGGGCCTAACGGAGGAATCACCAACTTCGACAACATCTTCTTCGCCATGCTGACGGTGTTCCAGTGCATCACTATGGAGGGATGGACAGACGTTCTCTACTGGGTACACACACATGCTCCTGGGCAACATCTCAAAATTCTGACTTTTTCTCAAAATCTAAAAAAAAAATGGAATACTTAACATTTTTAATAATCACTGGTCCCCGGCTTGATCTTCAATCTCAGGATCCATGTATTTGTGATCCTCTCCAGAATGGAAGTAGTCATCACATACAGAGCATCAACTAGTTCCTGAACAGTGTCCTTCACATGCTGATATCCAAGAGAGGGAGTCACACAGTCACAAGATGGAGGAACAGAAAGCAGTATTCAATGTTTACTTCAGATTAGCTCCACGTCAGAAATGAGCATGCTTGATGTCTATCTCCATAGAGGCTGAATCATCATGTTAATCACATAGCTATCATATGCCTCAAACAGTCCTGATGCTCTTCTAGGTAATCCACATCATGTTCACAGCTACAGTTGGGATACCTTTGTTATCATGTTACTCTCATGTTGGAAGAGGACATTCAGTGTTTTCCCAACAGTTGTTAAAATGACTGACCTTTATGTTGTTGTTTACCTACCTCTCTGCTCAGATGAACGATGCCATCGGGATGCAAATCCCCTGGATCTACTTTGTCTCTCTGGTCATCTTCGGATCTTTCTTCATCATCAACCTCGTTTTGGGTGTGTTGAGCGGGTGAGTCGCTGCAGCTTTTAACCCAACTGTGTTTTTATTGTTTTATTTACTGTGGGTTGTGGGAAATAAAATGAATCCCTTACCTTCAGGGTTCACACCGATCCCTAAAAAGTCTTAAAATAAATTACATTAATTCATCTAGAAAAGGGGTGCCCAATACGTCGATCTCGATCGACCACAAGGGTAGTGTGGGTAGATCGCAACAGTTTATCCGCCGTTTAGTCCACTAAACACTCCTAAACGGCTTGTTGGAGCTCCTGCCCCCCCCCCCTCCCTATGAGCCCACTGTGCTCTGATTGGTCAGCTCGCCCACTCTGCTCTCATGAGTCCACCACCGTTACAGCGGAACGATTATGTTTTACAATGGCGTTTGTTAGCAACCAGAAAATGACACCAGTAATGACAAACAGATGAGAATGCTGCGTGGGGTCTGGGTGCCGTGTTGGCGGGACGTTGCGGGGCTCGCTGCTCCGCCCTTTGAGGCTCGAGGAGCGGACAGTGTGAGCTGGGTTACTGGTGTCGTTTCCTGGTTGCTTCCTGGAACTCAGCCTGAACTCAGCCTGAACTCAGCCTGAACTCAGCCTGAGCACACACACGTGAGTGTGTGGCAAACTCTGAGTGGAGATCCACGCAGCTGCGGCTGAGAAAAGATAAGGTTGAGTGAGTGTGTGTGTGTGTGAGGAGCTCCACGGATTGGTCCATTTGGATAGTCGTTACATCACTTAGACCAGGAAGAAAACAATGGAAAAAGAGAAATCTCCAACGAGGCGTTTTGGGGCAGCACAGACAGGTCTTCTCTGTGTTAGAGTTTTACTCACTACAGGGTGTACTTTGAGGGTTTGTGACTCTGCACCATTTACATGCAGAAAAAGCTTCATAACACACAAGGGGACGGGTAATAACCAGAAAAGCATGACATGGGACCTTTAAGTTTAACTTGCATTAGGACCCCTGTGCATTCACTAACTTTTGTCATGCTATTTATTTCATTAAAAATACAAATTAATGCGTGCACTGTCCCTTTAGTGCAGGTGTGCCCAAACTACGGCCCGGGGCCAACTGTGGCCCGTTGTCAATTTTGAAATGGCCACAGTTTCTAAAAGTACAATGGAATATGGCTCACACATGAAAACTTGTGCTTGTCTTATATTGTACTTCTTAAATATATATGTACAAATATATTACACAGTATTCATGTGTTAATAAGCGTAGTCTTTCAAATAAATTCAGTGAATCTTAATTGATAAAAAAAAGCCCAATAACATAGTAAGCTTGAAATATACCTTTCATATTTCCCCTTATTATAATCACTTTCAGGCTTCTGTTTTAAGGAATAAGCTTTGTGACAAAATAAATGAAACCCTATATATTGAAAGCTGTGCTGAAGGCTGTTTTTTTCTTAAAGCATTTTCAAGTATCAAGCATAATTTGCCTACATTTGATTGATTTGGCTAGCTTATAACTTAAAGGTCACCCTATCATGCTATTTGTAGGCAATAGCATAGGTCTCAGATATACAAATATATAAAAAACATGACTATGAAGTGTTTTGCTCAAAATACCAAACAGATCACCCATTCTAGCCACGCCTCATATCCCTCTATTTCACTTCCTGTTTCAAAAGTGCTGATTTTGGGTATAAAGCTTAACAAAATGTTAATAAAATAAAAGAGGAGGGGTCTAAGCTCATGCGGGACCCGGCAGCTACTGTCTAAACTAAATGCTGCCGTGATGAAACGCCATATCATGGATTATCAAGGATTATCTCTGAAACCAACACATCCTCACTCCCAGGTCGGCCTATGTTGACGTTATGTCAAGTCCTGTGTCGGCTTTTTCCAACGCAAGGGGGGGGCCTTAGCGTCCATTTTCAACGCAAGGGGGGGGGCCCTTAGCGTCCATTTTCAGCTTTCCGGGATGTCCATATGCTTCTATGGACGCTCATGGAAGCACGGCATTCGTTTGTGTCGGCTGCCCTTAAAGGCAATGTGAGCGTCCATTCTCATTGGATAACGGAGAATTGTACACCCGGAAGTAAGTATTCCCCTTACTGTCGATTGAGTTTACAGTGATATCTGCACTACTCATCGACTAAAAAACACCAGATTATCCTTGTTAATTACACAACATTGATTGGTTTAAATTGTGTGCAATGCTTTTGTATTTTTCCCCTTCGATTCGGAGAAACAAATATTTTTTCGGAGTAAAGGATGGCAGAAGACACTACACTACCCAGAATCCCCAGCTATCGTTTGGACTACACCATGTGCTCTGTTTGACAAACCCTGTGATAGTCCTCAAGCTCTGTGATTGGAGAGTGTGCTCCGAGGGTTACGCCGAGCCTCGAACAGCAGACTGTCCAAAACTGGATTTGAAAGGGTCCACCGCGTCCCCCCTCCCCCACCCCGTCCCCAGAACTACACATGCTGGCTATTCTGTTTCGCAACATGTTCTGTATCTATGGCACGTCTCTACTGGGAGTTGTAGTTTTAAAAGACGTTTTCGTATTTCCCATAATAAGAAGTTGCCAGTATTAAACTGTGTACATCCCTGGAGGTGTAGGGGATAGGAAACACTCAAATTTAAAACATATAATTAATAAATGGGTAAAAATTGCTTGTGCCCATAATGGGCAGCATTAATATATATATACACATGCCAGCTAAGATCAGAAGAGCTTTATTTAACAGCTGGTCTTATGTTTGTGACCCCTGTTGTTAATTGATAACATTACATTACATTAATTGATAAGCCTGAAACATGCACTTGTCAAGGTTCAGAGGCAAATTTTGCAAATATGGCAGTAGCCATCGATCAGCTTAAGATAAGATATACTTTATTGATCCCAAGTTGGAACATTTGCGTTACTTCAGCATGTGTAACAGTTAAATATGCAGTGGTGTTTATTTGTAAATCATTTAGTATAATCACACAAATTCTGTGTTTTATATTCAACAATTCTGTGTTCTTTATTTATTGATTGTTCAATACCTGACAAGGCCGGAGATGAAATATCTACATACATCTTATCAGAGTATAATACATTATGTATAATATCAGTTAAAATAAGTGCTTCAACATAGTTAACATTGCTGGAGGTATGCACAAATATTGATAGATGTCTTGTAATGCACTATTGAGGAACCTGCGACCCAAGTTTTTCATTCAATGCATAACTACACCATAGTTGTGTAGGCCTACATGATATGTCAATAAACCTTAGAAAATCTTGAAATCTTGAAAGGGATGTGCAAAATAGTCATTATACACAGTCTTTAATTAACTATTAGTAGAGAATAACGAGTAATTAATATACTTTATAGAGATCCTATTAATATCTAATAATAAAAATAATGAAATTCAATAACATGCTTTAACCACTAGGTGTCCCTTTATATCAGCTGTGCACCTTTATGGTGTAAATACAGCCTATCTACCAATTGGATCAAATATAAAAGTCAGCCGAATTAGTGTTGATACCGCAAGGAGACGTATTGTGTGAAAAGAAATGTAAGAAGTTGTTTAACTGGCTGATATATTTATGATCCACGTCACGTTTTCAGTTCCTCATGTTTGTCTAGAAGTCTTCTCATCAGGGCTCTATAAATACAGAACTACGGCAGATATGTAATATTTAATGCAGCCGAACCGTGTATTACAATGCCGTTATGTGATGACTTCCAAAGAGAAAAGCAAGCACATTCGGAATAAAGTATTATTTTATTTAAAAAAAATGTTTTCGGTCTGTTTCCGGTATTTGTTAATGACGATGTGCTGTGAGATGTGAGACTGGAATTGCACAGGGGAAAATAACGTATCTTTAGATGCGGATTTTGTTAAACTAATACGTTTGCTCTGTGGACCAACACTATACATTGACGGGGAAGGGGGTAGCAATAAAGATAACACCATTAAACAGTTACACAACATAACAGAAATAATATCGATAGCAGCGTCCCTAGCAACCACCTTGGTAACAATGAAAACTTCCTGAAGTAATCTTCGTAATAACTAGCAAACTAAAGATCATGTACATCCACTGCACACATAATCTGAAATAACAACTCATATTTCTCGCATCAAATTACATCAAAACGCATTTTAATGGCCAAACTAACTTTAAAATAGGCATTTTCCATCGAGAATAAAACGAAGTTCGGCCATGTTTTTTTTTTCTTCAGGGAGAAATTTGAAGATCACGTGACGTCAAACAGAGCACATGGTGTAGTCCAAACGATAGCTGGGGATTCTGGGTAGTGTAGTGTCTTCTGCCATCCTTTACTCCGAAAAAATATTTGTTTCTCCGAATCGAAGGGGAAAAATACAAAAGCATTGCACACAATTTAAACCAATCAATGTTGTGTAATTAACAAGGATAATCTGGTGTTTTTTAGTCGATGAGTAGTGCAGATATCACTGTAAACTCAATCGACAGTAAGGGGAATACTTACTTCCGGGTGTACAATTCTCCGTTATCCAATGAGAATGGACGCTCACATTGCCTTTAAGGGCAGCCGACACAAACGAATGCCGTGCTTCCATGAGCGTCCATAGAAGCATATGGACATCCCGGAAAGCTGAAAATGGACGCTAAGGGCCCCCCTCTTGCGTTGAAAATGGACGCTAAGGCCCCCCCCTTGCGTTGGAAAAAGCCGACACAGGACTTGACATAACGTCAACATAGGCCGACCTGGGAGTAAGGATGTGTTGCTGAAACAGTATGGAGCTCAAAGGCTTTCTCTCTTGCCGGTTATACCACAAGGTGAGTTCCTTTTTACTTCCTGCTTCTTCACACACATGCTCTCCAGTACAGGTTAGCTCTGAGTGTTAGCGATGCTAATGTAAACACCGACCATATTACGTCCAAAACAGTCGGGCATTGTTTCTGATAGCAGCGTTTCTGATTGGGCCGTGGGTCCACATTTCAGATATTACGTCATATCGGACGCAAACCTGGATCAGCTCCGTTGTTCCCCGTTTTTAGAGATTTGGGTACGGAGGAAAAGAGAGAGGGTTTTATTTTCTGACGCTGCGTGAGTTCCCCGACACACCGGGAACACTTGATTATGTATAAAATACATCAAAACGTGCATTTTGCATGATAGGTCCCCTTTAATTAATGAGGCAATTCACCTCTAGTGAGTGGCCCAGCTATTCGTAAATGTTTCTGAATGCGGCCTTCAGTAAAAAAAGTTTTGACACCCCTGCTTTAGTGTAATAATGGATATTCTGCGACTTTTGGAAAAATAGGGTTTGTGACTGTGATACTGATTTGTGTGCACAGAGAGTTCTCCAAGGAGAGAGAGAAGGCGGTGGCTCGGGGCGACCTGCAGCAAGCTCAGGAGAGCAAACAGATGGAGGAGGACATGATCGGATACATGGACTGGCTGATCGAGGCCGAGGACGTGGACGAGGAGGGGAACAAACGTGAGACAAAACATCTACACATTCATTCATTCACTATACATATGCATAAGCTATAAAGTGCAATTATACAAACATTTTATATTTTAATTTACATATTCAGTTCCTATTCCTTTAAAAAATGTAAAAAAATAACATAAAAAAACAATTAAAAGTGAGGATATAAATAAACATACAGTATACATGTATGAAGATACAGTATATATATGTAAAATCAATTAATATTTAAATTAATATACTTCAATAATAATGTTTTAAATACATTTAAATAAACTGAAAAAATCATCAAAATTGTTTTGAAAAATTAGAAATTAAATTCTACTAGAAATATTTATTCAGCTGTTCTTTGTGATCCACTTTTAACTAACCTTTACATACAAAATTGTACAGAAGGTACCATAATTGAGGATTATCGTCAAATGCAGGGCCGGTCCTTAGCATTGGCGTTATAGATGTTCGCCTAGGGCGCCAGATCTGGGGGGGCGCTGCGCTGGCAGCTCTGGGAGGGGGAAACATTTTTGTGACCGTTGGTGCTCATCCTAATTTTCGGCCTTGATGTAACAACATTCATAATTAAGTCAAGGTAACACCCTTTTCACCCCGGTTACAATTTTCATTTGCCCTGTACGATGGGCGCTGTAAGTGATGAACGTGGGGGGTGTTGGCTTATCTGGCGCCCGCAGCTCACAGCCAAAGTGCGAGTGAGCGTGGAAGCGAGGTACCGGCGCTGTTGTTATTAGTACCTGGTACTAGCTGCGCTAACGGATATAAGAAGAAGATGTTTCTACAACAAAGGTGGAGGAGAGCTCTCTCCTGACAGACTGAGAGGCTGATAACGTCAGCTCAGTGAGGTAAAGGACTATCTCAGTGTTTAGATAGTTAACTTTAGTCTAAGTTATCATAGTGGGTCTCAAACGTTTTGATCACAAAACTGGGGGGGGGGCGTCAGCTAAAATCTCGCCTAGGGCATCAAATTGGCTAGAACCGGCCCTGATCAAATGCATAATCTATCAAGTGATTTTAATTTACATATTCAGTTCCTATTTCTTTAAAAAAAAATAGTGAGGATGTAAATAAACATACATTATAAATATACAGTATATATATATATAATATATATTTATATTTAGATCAATATACTTCAATAAAAAAGTTTTAAGTACATTTAAATAAACAGAAAAAAATCGTTGTTGTTTTGAAAAATTTGAAATTAAATTCCACTGGAAATATTTATTAAGCTGTTCTTTGTGATCCACTTTTTAATAAACATACAAATTGTACACAAGATACCATAATTGAGGATTATCGTAGTACAAAATGTCCACGTTGAAACTAATCATCCTCTGTTTGTCTCTATAGGTGCTGCGATCGCGAAGAAGAAGATGATGAAGAAGTTCGGCTGGTACAAGCACAGTGAGGACGGAGGAGGTACGTCAGATCTCTTTGTTTCTTCCATGTTAGTTTAGTACATTTCATTTGACAGGATTTCTCAAACAGCCGGTTGTTTCCTCTGTGTTCCTCAGAGTCAGACTCAGACGATGACATCGCGTACCTCGACGACGACAACGGCTTCTGTGCGTCTCTCATGTAAGGAAACTGAGAAAAAACACATTTCTATTCATTCATGATTAATAAAGTCAATAATACTTTAACATGTTCTTGTTTCCTCAGGGCGAAGATGATGGCCAATAGCTTCTGGTAAGATCAATTTATTTATTTCTCACATGCAATCATAAGAGGTACTCTGACATCCTGAAGTTCCTTACATGTATGTCTCATTTAATGTGAGACTTTATAGGCAAAAACATGTACTGGTCCATTTTGATAGGTCTTCTTTCAGACTAGGGGAAAGAAAACGTCCAAAATCCACTTTCAGAAGATGGACTTTTATTAATCCCTCGTGGGGAAATTGTTTCTCTGCATTTGACCCATCCTAGTGTTAGGAACAGTGTGCTGCCATTTTGAACGGCGCCCGGGGAGCAGTGTGGGGAACGGTGCCTTGCTCAGGGACACCTCGGTAGCACTTGGTCTTGCCGGGACTTTAACTGGTGACCTTCCAGTTGCCAGGCCAACTCCCTATCGACTTCGCCACCACCGCCCCTGAAGTGTTAACCTGTTAAGCCCCAAGCCTGTTTTCCAGGTCTCAGACTCGAAAATGACATGCCCAGAACAAATGACTATAACTTCACTTCTAAAAGGGATACATTAATAATCTTTTCTGAAAGCAATGACAAACCTGTGAGTTGGATGTAGAAAAGTCAGAATCAATATAGATATTGTTATTTTAAAGTAAATTCAGATTGAACATAGTAAAAAAATCCGTCCACAAAAAAAACATTACTTATAGTGAAAACCCTTGAATGATGGGATGGTAGACTAAAAGCTTTAGGAATCCACACTATAACATATAATAAGTACCCTGTATCAAGATTGATGCAAAACAAGTGACATTTGACCTTTTTAGAGAGATTTAGAAGAAAAAAACCCACTTCTGGGGTTATTTGGGTGCATTTTCCATATCTCTGGAACCCATCGGTCGATTTTGATGATTGACACCTATTTTTAACCGTCAGAGCCAATAGAATCGAGGGGAGGTTCTTAAAATCCACTTACACATTACCATTGAGGAGTGAGAGTGATGCGCACACAGCTTGCCCAAACCGAAAGCTATGTTAGGCTTTGAAAACTGAAAACTAGGTTATTGTCATAAAGTGATGATGGATTATCAGTAATCATTTCAAAGTGACACAGAGACATTGGATTAACCTTCAGCAGCGTTTTTATCGTTTTAATGCCATTGAACACAACTTTTGATCAGAAAACAGCAAAGGTAAGACGTATTTGCCGTTTTGGCTCCGTAAAGCTACGTGGTGTGTTGTCTGGGTTTGCCTTTCTCCATGTCTCTTCTACATCAACACGTGTCCCCTCTTCTTCATGTCTCTCCTACATCAACATGTGTCCCCTCTTCTTTAGGTCTCTCCTACATCAACATGTGTCCCCTCTTCTTCATGTCTCTTCTACATCAACATGTGTCCCCTCTTCTTCATGTCTCTTCTACATCAACATGTGTCCCCTCTTCTTCATGTCTCTCCTACATCAACATGTGTCCCCTCTTCTTCATGTCTCTTCTACATCAACATGTGTCCCCTCTTCTTCATGTCTCTCCTACATCAACATGTGTCCCCTCTTCTTCATGTCTCTTTTACATCAACATGTGTCCCCTCTTCTTCATGTCTCTTCTACATCAACATGTGTCCCCTCTTCTTCATGTCTCTCCTACATCAACATGTGTCCCCTCTTCTTCATGTCTCTACTACATCAACATGTTACATTATTACATTACATTGCATTTAGCTGACGCTTTTATCCAAAGCGAATTACAATAAGTGCGTTCGACCAACAAAATACAAACTTGAAGAAAACAGAATCATATAAGTACATCAGGTTTCATAGAGCAAAAACATTTCAAGTGCTACTCAACTGGCTTTAGATAAGCCAGTCCTTTATTAGTATATAAGTGCTTTGTTAATAGTTCTATCGCTCGAAGTGGAGTCGAAAGAGATGAGTTTTCAGTCTGCGCCGGAAGGTGTGTAAGCTATCTGCTGTCCTGATGTCAATGGGGAGCTCATTCCACCATCTTGGAGCCAGGATAGCAAACCCACGTGTTTTTGCTGATGGGAACTTGGGTCCCCCTCGCAGCGAGGGTGCAGCGAGCCGTTTGGTTGATGCAGAGCGGAGTGCACGTGCTGGGGTGTACGGTTTAACCATGTCCTGGATGTAGGAAGGGCCAGATCCATTCGCAGCATGGTACGCAAGTACCATTGTCTTGAAGTGGATTCTAGCAGTTATCGGAAGCCAGTGAAGGCAGCGGAGGAGCGGAGTGGTGTGGGAGAATTTAGGAAGGTTGAAGACCAGACGAGCCGCTGCATTCTGGATGAGCTGCAGAGATCGGATGGCACATGCAGGTAGACCAGCCAGGAAGGAGTTGCAGTAGTCTAGGCATGAGATGACGAGAGCCTGGACCAGAACCTGAGTCGCTTTCTGTGTCAGCTGGGGACGTATCTTCCTGATGTTGTAAAGCGTGTATCTGCAGCAACGGGTTGTAGCAGCGATGTTTGCAGTGAAGGACAGGTTGTTATCTAGGGTCACACCCAGATTCCTTGCAGTCTGAGTCGGGGAAACAACAGAGGTGCCAATGTTGATTGTTAGGTCAAGAGTGGGACAATCTTTTCCCGGAAGGAAGAGCAGTTCAGTCTTGTCAAGGTTGAGCTTGAGGTGATGATCAGACATCCACTGAGAGATGTCAGCTAGACAAGCAGAGATGCGTGCGACGACCTGGGTCTCTGAGCGGGGAAAGGACAGAATTAATTGGGTGTCGTCAGCGTAGCAGTGGTATGAAAAACCATGCGGGCTAATGACAGATCCGAGCGAGTTTGTGTACAAGGAGAAGAGGAGGGGACCAAGAACAGAGCCCTGAGGGACCCCTGTAGTTAATTGACAAGGGTCGGACTCGGACCCTCTCCAAGTTACCCTGTAGGTGCGGTCTTTGAGGTATGAGGTGATGAGGGAAAGTGCAGAGCCTGAAACTCCAAGTTCTTGGAGAGTGCGAAGGAGGATCTGATGATTCACTGTGTCGAATGCAGCAGACAGGTCCAAAAGGATGATGACAGAGGAGAGGGAGGCTGCTTTAGCCGTGTGCAGTTCCTCCGTGACAGCAATGAGGGCAGTTTCTGTGGAGTGACCTGCCTTGAAACCAGACTGGTGCGGATCCAGAAGGTTGTTCTGATGGAGATAGCAGGAGAGTTGTTTAAAGACAGCGCGTTCAAGTGTCTTAGACAGGAACGGGAGGAGAGAGACAGGCCTGTAGTTTATAACATCAGACGGGTTGAGAGTGGGTTTCTTTAGGAGAGGGTTTACTCTTGCCTCCTTGAGACTGTTTGGAAAGTGACCAGAAGTTAGAGAAGTGTTGATGAAATGGGAGAGAAACGGTAGAATATCAGGAGCGATAGTCTGAAGGAGGTTTGAAGGGATAGGGTCCAGAGGACAGGTGGTAGGGCGGGCAGAGGTAATGAGGGTAAGAACCTCACTTGGAGAGAGAGGGGAAAAGGAGGTCAGTGTGTTGGTGGAAGGAGGGTCTGGTGACCCAGCGATGAGTAAAGGTGAGTCAGAAAAAGAAGAGCGAATATCATCAACCTTTTTTTCAAAGTGGTTAACAAAGTCGCTTGACAGAAGGGAGGAGGGGGGAGGGGCTTTGGGGGGGTCCAGGAGGGAGGAGAAGATGGAAAATAGTTTTTTGGGATTGGAATAGGAAGATTGGATCTTATCTTGAAAGAAAGTGCTTTTTGCCTGAGAGATTGAAGCAGAGAAAGAGGAGAGGAGAGCCTGATAGGTTAGGAGGTCGTCACGGTGTTTGGATTTCCACCGTTTCCGCTCTGCTGGCCTAAGGACGGTTCTATTAGCACTTCGTGCATCATTTAGCCAGGGAGCAGGAGGGGACTGACGAGCCTGCCGAGATGTGAGAGGACAGAGAGAGTCCAGAGTGGATGAGAGAGTAGAGAGGAGAGTTTCTGCAGCAAAGTTTGGAGGCAGGAGATGGAACGAATCAGAGGAAGGGAGGGCTGAGAGGACCGACGAGGCAAATGTAGAGGGGGAGAGGGAACGAAGGTTACGGCGGACAGGTGCAGGATGAGAAGAGATTAGTTTCTTATGTTTGGAAAGGGGTAGAGAGAATGAAATGAAGAAGTGATCGGATGTGTGGAGCGGGTTTACAGAGAGGTTAGAAGTAGTACAGTTCCTTGAGAATATGAGATCAAGGACATTGCCAGCTTTATGAGTCGGTGGGGACGGAGACAGTGAGAAAGCAAAGGCGGTTAACAGAGATGTTAGTTCGTCTATCTTCTCTTTCTGGAGGTTGAAGTCTCCGAGAAGTACAGCGGGAGGGCCAGTTTCAGGGATGTGTGAGAGGAGATGATCTAATTCCTCCAAGAAGTCCCCCAAGGCTCCTGGTGGACGGTAGAGAACAACAATGGTTAATTGTATAGGATGGGTTACTGTGACGGCATGGAATTCAAAGGTGGAAGGAGTGAAGTTAGGTAGCTTGAAGAGGGAAAAGCTCCATTTGGGAGAGAGCAGGAGACCAGTGCCACCTCCTCTGCCAGTTGGTCTGGGTGTATGGGAGAAGGAATATGCTGTGGAGAGAGCTGCTGGGGTGGATGTGTTGGATGGAGTAATCCACGTCTCAGTGAGAGCAAGGAAATCTAGAGACTGCAGGGAAGCGTAGCCAGAGATGAAGTCAGCCTTGGGAACAGCTGACTGGCAATTCCACAGGCCACCAGAAACTAGATGTTGGATCTCAGTGGAGCATGTGGGATAGACGAGAGCAGGCCGGTTATATCGATTACGAGATACACGGGGCCAGTGATAATTGCGAGAAGACACATGAACAGGAATGGAGAAAATACACATGATTATAGCATGAGGGGATAAACAACCAAATAAAATAAAACACCAGCGATACTTTAGCTCAATCAAAGTAGGATTTGCCTCCTCTTTGCCTCCCTCGTGACTCCCGCAGGACTCCAATGTCTTTGTCAGTCTTACTCCCGCAGGACTCCAATGTCTTTGTCAGTCTTACTCCAGCAGGACTCCAATGTCTTTGTCAGTCTTAGCCTGTCTGACGCTGAAGCTGACGCTCCAGGAAAGTGCTACCTAAAATGGACACCTGATTGCTGAGTTCTCACAGCTGTGGGGCCACGTCCCTTTAATTAGTTAACTCTCTGCAGCTGGTGGCCCTCAAAGGAAATCGAGACTGGCTCCCTCCTGACTTGTTATTGTATTTTAAGTGGCCCAATGGTTTTACAATTACATTAAACCCTAAGTTATAAAGTTATGAGTTTAACCCGTAATACAGTTACACCTACTCAATAAAGCTCTTAGTATTCTACAAATGTTTAAATCAAAGTTAACCCTAGCAGTCAGTTAGTTCAGTTTTAAGGTTTCAGTCAAATTACTTGTCCCAAGTTTCTGCCTGACAGATACTGTAGCGGTTTTGAGATTTAAAATCACAATTTCAGTCAGATCAACTACAGAGCATTGATACAGAGTACACACACTGAAACAGAGAAGTCTAAAAACAGAATGTTACTCACACAATTCTAGAAGTCTCCAGTTGCTTTCCTGTCAAAATCGAGTTGTACACATGTGTCCCCTCTTCTTCATGTCTCTTCTACATCAACATGTGTCCTCTCTTCTTCATGTCTCTTCTACATCAACATGTGTCCCCTCTTCTTCATGTCTCTTCTACATCAACATGTGTCCCTCTTCTTCATGTCTCTTCAACATCAACATGTGTCCCCTCTTCTTCATGTCTCTTCTACATCAACATGTGTCCCCCCTCTTCTTCATGTCTCTTCTACTTCAACATGTGTCCCTCTTCTTCATGTCTCTTCTACATCAACATGTGTCCCCTCTTCTTCATGTCTCTTCTACATCAACATGTGTCCCTCTTCTTCATGTCTCTTCTACATCAACATGTGTCCCCTCTTCTTCGTGTCTCTTCTACATCAACATGTGTCCCTCTTCTTCATGTCTCTTCTACATCAACATGTGTCCCCTCTTCTTCATGTCTCTTCTACATCAACATGTGTCCCCTCTTCTTCATGTCTCTTCTACATCAACATGTGTCCCTTCTCCTTCATGTCTCTTCTACATCAACATGTGTCCCCTCTGTGGAAAGCAGTGGCGAACCGTGGCTATCACAACTGGACCTTCTGTAGACACACCCACACCCCGCCACCGCCCCCCCCCCCCCCTCCCCTCCGCGGCATTATAATGTCCGTCTTTTCACTTAATTGTCGTCTTGAAAAGGGTACTCACAACGATTCCGCAACAACTTCATCTTCACCTGTTGCACTTGTCATTTCAACGTTAAAAACAATAAAACGGCATGAATTGCTTCGTCGCATTCGTTCTAGATCCTCTGTCTCGAGCCAGTGAACTAGCGGGCCTTCTAGAATACCCTGGAACCGAGGGAAACTCTGAAAGAACACGCCCATTGGCTACAAATCAATATATGATTGGTTGATCAAACTGTCAGTCCAAACGTACGCTCTCATTCAGTGCAACGGCCAGGGCATTCGATCAAGGATGTAGAATACCTTGGTGACGGATATTCTACCCAGAGACCCAGAACAAGATCTGATTGGTTGCTTTCTTTTCTAACAAAAAAACACTGAAATGCGCAGAGCGTGGTCCGAGAAGGACAAACAAATCAACGTAACACTGTAATATTACAGATCAATAACACAGATGCGATTCTCATTTATTCATTTTATATACATTTTATTACATTTTATTACATTTTATTTATATAATTAAATCGATTTTTTTGTTTGTTTTATCTGAGTGTTCCAGGGTCTTCTCTGAATACCTTGAAGGCCCTGACGGTTCGCCACTGGTGGAAACAGACTCTGAAAGTTTCAGGAACAAAGATTCTCTCTCTTTTTGATCCATTTCTATAAAAACCTGTCTGAAAATGAGCTGATCAGATTTTGGCCACTTTGTGATGTCATAACGATGTTTTGTCTTGTGTAGCCATTAGCCAATCAGCAACCAAGGTAACCCCCCCCCCCCCCCCCTTATCACCTGAATCTCCTCCTAGAGCACCATTGTGTTCTTCTTAACCAAATGTCTCATGGGGAGGGGCTCCTTATTTTCATCTAAAGTAACAGACAGAGAATCAGCACTTTGGAAACAGGGCTGAAACAGAGGGGATTATGGGTAATGCTGCAATTATCTGTTTGGTGTTTCAGCCAATCAGAGACATGTTTTGTATATATCTGAGACCTATAATATATTGATGAAAAACAGTATAATAGGGGACCTTTAAACTCAAATATGTCTCCTCTCTTGTTCCAGTGACCAGTTGTGCCAGCTGAACCACACGATGAGGAAGAACTGCCGAGTCGCGGTGAAGACGAGCAACTTCTACTGGCTGGTGCTGCTGCTCGTCTTCCTCAACACGGTGGCCAGCGCCTCTGAGCACTACGGGCAGCCCAAGTGGCTCACAGAGATGCAGGGTGAGAATCTGTTCTTCATTTTACATTACACTTATATAAATAATAGGTGTAATGTATTTGATTCAAGACAACAATTATTTCGTCTTTTTAAGATAAAAAGAAAATCTGTCATGCCAGAAGCAATAACCCAGAGAACTCCCAGATTCCATTTTCTTGCCTTTAAAAAAAAAAAACCTTCACATTTCTTAGTTCAACATTTTTTATATAAAAATGTGTTTTTATTTTTAGGAATTTTAATGAAATGTTAATATTTTACTTTTTTCAAAATATTATTATTTCTTATTTCAACTTTTTAATTTTAATAAAAAAATTTTAGAAATAAAAAATGTTGAACTAAGACATTTGAAGTTTGTGTCTGTGAAGCTGACAATTGAGCGGCCCGACCAAGCAAGGAGGCAGAGGCAGAACGTCCAAAAATACAACCCAGTGTGGGCATTTATTAACTCATACGATATGACAGCCTCAATCTGCTGCTGCTCCTGTGCGCACAGTCACCAGCCACCACACTACCAGCCTCCAAACAGACAGGGCAACAGAGCCTAAATACACACCCACACTAATCAAACCAACAGGTGAGGGGGGAGGAGACAACACAGGGCACCACAATCAGCAGCAACATGGGGAAAGGGGACACTTTTCAAAACAAAACTGTAGCAAACAGACAGACAAACTAAAACACATACAGATGCACACACTCCCTACATTTCGCCACCAACAAAGCTACACAATCCGTAACGGAGGCCGAGATCTATGGCCCCAAAGATCGAGGTGATCTTTGTTTTGATTTTGGTTTGGTTTTGGTTTGATTTTTGATCGTTACAATGTCATTTAAAATTGTTTTCATTTTTTCCTCCCATCTATTTTAATACAATTGTTTTTATTTATACTACTTTAATTGTTTGCATTTCTTTATTTATCATCACACTCCATACATACAAAACACTGCAACTACTCTGCGCTCTTGTGTAATGTACATAGTGTCCTATGTGTCCTATACTTTGTATTTCTTTAGCAGCAGTGTGGTATTCCAACTTAATCTGTATATTAACTGACTCCCCCCCCCCCCCTCTTCCTCAGAGCGGGCGAACAAGGTCCTGCTGCTCCTCTTCACTCTGGAGATGCTGTTGAAGATGTACGCCTTCGGCCTGCAGATCTACTTCATCGCGCTCTTCAACCGCTTCGACTGCATCGTGGTGTTTGGGGGGATCCTGGAGACGCTGCTGGTGGAGATGGAGTTCATCCCCCCCATCGGCATCTCCGTGCTGCGCTGCATCCGCCTGCTGCGCGTCTTCAAGATGACCCGGTAACTAGGGCTGGGTTTAAGGGGACCTATCATGCAAAATGCACTTTTTGATGTATGTTATACGTAAACATGTGTCCTCGGTGTGTCAGGGAACTCACGCAGCGTCAGAAAATAAAACCCTCTCTCTTTTCCTCCGTACCCAAATCTCTAAAAACGGGGAACAACGGAGCTGATCCAGATGTGCATCCGATATGACGTAATATCTGAAATGTGGACCCACGGGCCAATCAGAAACGTTGCTATCAGAAACAATGCCCGACTGTTTTGGACGTAATATGGTCGGTGTTTACGTTAGCATCGCTAACACTCAGAGCTAACCTGTACTGGAGAGCATGTGTGTGAAGAAGCAGGAAGTAAAAAGGAACTCACCTTGTGGTATAACCGGCAAGAGAGAAAGCCTTTGAGCTCCATACTGTTTCAGAGAGAATCCTTGATGATCCATGATATGGCGTTTCATCACGGCAGCATTTAGTTTAGACAGTAGCTGCCGGGTCCCGCATGAGCTCAGACCCCTCCTTTTTATTTTTATCAAAATATTTAAAAAAAAAGCTTTATACCCAAAATCAGCACATTTGAAACAGGAAGTGAAACAGAGGCGTGGCTAGAATGGGTGATCTGTTTGGTATTTTGAGCAAAACACTTCATAGACATGTTTTTTATATGTTTTTATATATCTGAGACCTATGCTATTGCCTAAAAATAGCATGATAGGTGACCTTTAAATAAAAAAACAAGATTTAAAACTATACCTGATCTTCAAGATGACCCGGTAACTGGGGCTGAGATTAGGGGCGAAACATCTGGGGGACGGATTCAAAAAACATACTTAGAGAAAGAGTTGCTTGTAGTGATGAAAGACTAGATCCTGGTAGAGATCAAAGTTATTAACCTCCTAAGGTTAAAAAAAGCTAATGGCGGAAGGACAAACAGGCACAATGAATCTAAACTTTATTGAAATGGCAATACAATATCAAAGTTGCAATATGCATAATATTTGGTAAATGCAAAATGTGTATATGTAGGCTATGTGTAAAATATAATTCAAAATTAAATAATTCAAATAAATAATGAGTTTGTATCCACTTGTTACATTTAACAAGAACAATTTAAATGCAGGGTTATTACGGTCATTAAAAACCTGGAAAAGTCATGGAAATTCTAAATGCTAATTCCAGGCCCTGGAAAAGTTATGGAAAACAATATTTTTCCCAAAGTTTTGGAAAGTGATGGAAATGTAACTAAAGTTGCATCAAATATAATTTATATTTTATCTAATCGCCGAAATAGTAATACTATAATGATAATAAATACTGTATCGTATCGTAATGAAACGTAAAATGACATTTAACTGACGAGGTATTTTGCTGGTGAGAGATTTGAGTTGCTTTAGCGTGTAGAAGCTAGTAAGCCTACTATTTAATTTAATTTAGATAGGCACATGTTTCAGATGCTGACCTTATTTTCCTGTTCCATGTTAAAATAAACAGTGGTACGCTGAGAGAGTAATGTTTTTGGTCATGGAAAATTAGGTAAAGGTCCTGGAGAAGTCATGGAAAGTCATTGAGAATCATTGGTGAAAAAGTGTATGAACCCTGTAAATGTAAAATTCAAATAAGAAAAAATAACAATACAATTTTTATAAATGTACATTAAAAGTAAAAAGCAAAAAAGGATTAAAATAAGTAACATTTAAAAAGTAAAAAATAGAGGTAAATCAAAACAGGTAATACAAATAAAAACGGTCAAAGATCACCATGTGAACACTGAGCAAGTAGTTCTTGTTTCAGTTTATCCTATAAATATATTCAAGAAATGAAATCATGTTATTATTTCTATTTAGTCACACCATGTCTTAATAGCGATAGGTTTCCACTCAGCTGCATGAAAAACTGATATAGACCTTTGTGTTGTTTCCAGGCACTGGGCTGCTCTGTCCGACCTGGTGAACTCTCTGCTGAACTCCATGAAAGCCATCTTGTCTCTGCTGCTGCTGCTCTTCCTCTTCCTCATCATCTTCGCTCTGCTCGGCATGCAGCTGTTCGGAGGAAAGTTCAACTTCGACGAGACGCAGATGAAGAGGAGCACCTTCGACTCGTTCCCTCAGGCTCTGCTCACCTGCTTCCAGGTCATTAACACCTCCTTAACACTAGAACTTCCAGTCCGTGACTTTTCCTGAAAGTCTGTTATGTACTTTTCCTGAAAGTCTGTTATGTACTTTTCCTGAAAGTCTGTTATGTACTTTTCCTGAAAGTCTGTTATGTAGCACCCTCTGTTGTTAACAATTGTCAATATGAAGTCTGATTGAAAAAATTGCCAAAGATATTGCCATTTATACCCATCAGCGATCAGCGGGTAATATTTAGAGAGAGAGAGAGAGAGAGAGAGAGAGATATCGAGAAGAGATAGAGCGAGAGCGATATAGAGCGAGAGAGCTAGATATAGAGAGAGATGAGATACTAATAGATCGTAGAGATCAGCGCTCTATATCTCTCTCTCTCCGCTCTCTCTCTCTCTCTCTCCTCGCTCTCGCTCTCTCCGCCTCCTATTCTTATTGGTATAAGTTGAGGCCCTATTGTTTTTCCCTCTCAGTCATTAGTTGTGGTATATATTAAAGGTCTGTCCCTCTGTCTTTAGATCCTGACCGGAGAGGACTGGAACGCTGTGATGTACGACGGCATCATGGCGTACGGAGGACCCATCTTCCCCAACATGGTGGTCTGCATTTACTTCGTCATCCTCTTCGTCTGCGGTAACTGTATCCTTTAAAGAGCTGTCTGATGTTTCCCAAAGATTAGCACTCATTGAGGAGTAAAGAAACCAGAATATATTCACATTTAAACATATAATATGTCAAATGTTCACCTTGCAATATCTAAAAATGACTAGCCCTTTGTTAAATATTGAATAGATTGTGTAGTTCTAGAACAATGTGTAGTTTTAATTAAGGTAATGTGTCCTGCGATGGCGTTGTATCTCCTTTGAGCTCGCTTCGGCAGCCAAAAAACTGACTTTTTATCCAGTTTCGATCCACAATTTTACCAAACTATTTTTACTTGATGGTGCTTTTTTGACCGGTTGAAGGATTTTAGTGATTGGGACATCTGGATCTAAAGGTATCAGAGAAACAAGCTGTAGGGAGAACACAGATATATAAAGTCAAACTGAAACTTTATTCACTATTTTTACTGCGTTATATCAGAGCGGACGAGACACTAAAAACCCTCCTGAATCATGACCACTGAGAGAAGCTGAAAACTACAACTCCCATGATCCCACGCTGCTGCACTTTGACAACAAACTCTAGATTGTACCTTTGTTTTCATTCAGAGACCCCCTTGAAGAAGACAATTACAGATGTGCTTTTAAAGGATTTTCTCAAATGGAACAAATTGAACTCCTTCACTCTGAGATCAGACATCCTGCTGAACGTCTTCTTGGCTATCGCTGTGGACAACTTGGCAACAGGAGGCGGCGGGAAAGCAGTAGTGGAGTACGTTTTAACACAGAGATGATAATAACTATGGTCTCACACACATTTTCTACTGACTCCTACTTGATGCGATGTCAGTATAACACACACACACACACACACACACACACACACACACACACACACACACACAGCTATAAACACATTATAGACGGAGAGTGAAATAATACTATCTTTTTCATATTTTCATTAATCCAATACCAAACAAAATCTCACACATTAGGTATCCTATTTACAAGTGATATATTTTTAATAAGATCATTTGCTATAGTTGGGACCTTTTTTAATTTTGTATTCTTTCTTTAGGGAGAAAAAGGACGACGAGGAAGATTGGGATGATGATGAAGAGAAAGAGGAAGAAGACACAGGGGTAGATTCTCTTTTTTATAATTTTTCTGCACCAAATTGGACATCTTTTGTAAATAAAGGGTGGTGTATGGAAGTACTGTCTATCCTTTTTCTTTGAGGAATTTGTTTTATTTTGCAATATATATGAACATGAGGATTGTGGATCTGTTCACACAGATAATACTGAGACAGATCTACCTCCACAGTTTTGCTAAACAGCTGATGTTTTTGTCTCAGGCTGAAGAGGACGACTGGCAGGAGAACGAGGAGCTGAGGGCGATCGAGGGTCTGGAGGGTGAGTGTGAATCCTGCAGGACAAGCTTACAATATGATGATTAAATATGTAAAAATGTCTCTTATATTTCTCTTGTTTTTCTTTATTTTTTTGCAGGAGTTGCTCCGATAAAGCCTGAGTTCTCGGGGCCAAAAGAGAAGATCGTCCCGATCCCGGACGGAAGCTCCTTCTTCATTATGGGAAAGAAAAACTGGTAATCTAACATCATACATACATCAAATTAAATATTATACAATGCAAGTTTTAGAAAAGTATTATATGTTACTCTTTAATTCCACTGTTCTTAAAACAGTTCAAAATAAGAAGCTGCTCCAAAGTCCTCAGAGTTAAAAGATGTCTGTCAATACACTGTATATCTTATTAATATCATTTTTGAAGTTCAAACTATAATATACTGAAATCATCAATTATTCATTCATTTACATTTCAGGTTTGTTTAAATAACACCACAGTTGTTTCATAAAGACATTTTTATTTTTATTTTTGTTATACTTCCGTAAAGTATTTTTATATATTACCGGTATATTTTTTTCCACCTTCACTTTCAATATTTTAAAAAGATTTCTGATAATGAATACCAAATATTTGTTGATTACATAATGCCACTGGTGTTATTTCTTAACTGGTTTTATTATACTAAACGCTAGGTTAGAATAGATTTTTTCAACAACCCTGAAACTGACCCTCTTCAAAATGTATGCCATGCTTCCTGCTTTCTTACAGACGCTTTTCTGCTTGCTCTTGCCTCTGCTTACTTTTTATGCTGATGATGTTTTCTGAAAACTTCGAGCAGCGGCTCCTTAACTTATCACTGGGACAGTTATTCTTCGTAAATAGATGGAGGGTTTCAGCCATATTTCAATATTTTTACGACGACCTCAGCCTTACAGTAGCGTGGCCTAGCAACAGCTAAAGCCTTGTACTGCATGTTATTTAGCTTAAGCTAGTTAGCAGAAAAATGCCTCCGTTCTCTACAGACAGTGGCGGACTGGCCATCGGGACGTTCGAGGACGATATGGGCCCGTCAAATAAGTCACTAGCACCCCAGCACCCCCCCCCCCCCACCCACCCGTCGACAATTTACAAGCGGTATTTCCATGCGGTACCGAGGTGGGCCAGCGGTACCGAAGTGGGCCGGTCGAGAGTCCCGGGCTGATTTATAGTCCCAGTCCGCCGTTGTCTACAGATGACTTCCACAAACTTCTACAGAAGATGGCCGTGTCGGAAATGAAAATGCAACGGTTGGAAGTTAACGTGGAAGTGAATGGACTAGGTTGGAATGACACCACTTTACCAGTGTTGCAAAATAATGGACAAAGGCATGCTAACTCACAGCTAGTTAGCAGCTACAAGGATTCCAATGAACAGGGGGGCTGTGTACCGGGTAATACATCTACAGGTTATAAATCTACAAGTGGTAGTCCTCCCTGGAACTCTCTGGGTCCAAAGCCTAAGAGTAAATCATTTCCATGGGATTTTGGAGGACGAATAACAGGCAGAGCCCAGCGCTCTGAAATCTGTGATGCGACCGGCTGGCCTGCATCGTTATCACCCAGGAAGAGCGCCTCTTCAACCCCTGTTCCTACTAGGAAACAGCCGTGGACAGCTGCTAAAGGGAGAACTACAAACAATCCTCCTAAACCACCAAGTGTGCCAATCCAGAACAGATACGCTCCGCTGACCGAGAGCCGGAGATCTCTTTCTGATGACCTGGATAACCTGTCCTCTTCACACAGCAGGGTAAGGACCAATAGCTGCTCCAAAAGTAAAAGGCTAGAGGGAAAGCTAACGACTGGGCCTGAAACTCTGATTGTGGGTGACTCTGCTGTAAGAGATGTAAAAGGTCTGTGTAGTAAGAACAACACCAAAGTACTCTGTTTTCCCAAGGATAAGGTCTCTGACTTGGCTGAGAAGATCCTGCATATTGGGGCTGAACATCAGACTGTGAAGAATGTGGTACTGCACATTGGAACAAATGATGTTGTGAAACAACAGTCAGAAGTGCTGAAAGAAGACTTTAAATGTCTGTTGGAAACTGTCAGCTCTCTAAATGCAGAGGTGTTCATCAGTGGCCCTCTACCGCCAGTCAGAAGAGGAGTGGAGAGATTCAGCAGATTGTTTGCACTGAACACCTGGCTTTCAACTGCCTGTACTGACCATTCTGTCCATTTTATTGACAACTTTAACTTTTTCTGGGATCGCAGACATCTTTTCAAGGCAAATGGAGTTTGCCTGAACAAGTCAGGCAATGTGTGTGTACAAAACGCAGCAAACTCTAACTGATATGTCCAGGATCAAGGGCGTATGGCACTCTCAACTCTTTCCAGGACATGCCGGGGCCCTGCCTGCCTGTAGGTTTGCCAATATCTGTGTTGATAGGTAATAGATTGAGAGCGGTGAATCAGCTTAGAAACAGGAAGCGCTCAAACTTTTGTGTGAGTTTATCAAATGTAGCAGTGACTCCATGTCAGCCACAGCTTGTCACAAAAAACCTGACTGATAGTGTGTTTAACAAACTTAAACTAGCTTTATTAAATGTCAGGTCTTTGGCAGGAAAAACGTTTTTAATCAATGATTTTATCACTGAGCACAATCTCGATTTTATGTTTTTAACAGAAACTTGGATTGAACAAAATAACAGTGCAGCTGTTCTTATCGAATCAACCCCTCCCAACTTTAGTTTTATGAGTCAGGAAAGAATGCATAAGAAAGGGGGTGGAGTTGCTATTCTGTTCAATGATTCCCTTCAATGCAGGAAGACATCGTATGGAAACTTTGCTTCTTTTGAATATGTGGCCCTTCAGCTGAAATGCTCCTCTCGAGCTCTGTTCCTAAATATCTATAGACCACCCAAATAATGTGCAAGCTTTTTTGATGACTTTACTGAACTGCTGTCTATAGTGTGTATTGACTTTGACCGTCTAGTCATCGTTGGTGATTTTAACATCCATGTTGACAACCCCCAGGACAGAGGGGCTAAAGAACTGTTTTGTGTTCTTGATAGCTATGGACTGACTCAGCATGTGACGGAGCCCACGCACAATAAGGGGCACACTCTGGACTTAATTATCTCAAAGGGTCTGAATATCTCTAAGGTTGTGGTGACTGATGTTGCACTCTCTGACCATTCCTGTGTTTTCTTTGAGAGCTCTATTTCTGTTCACAAAAATGTTCAAAAAGAGGTAACCACAAAGCGATATTTAACTGAAAATACTCGGGAAATGTTCACTCAATTTTTCTTCCACACTTGCCCATGCTAACATCTCCAGGTTCATTTTGAAATCTATAAAGAGAGACTTGGCTTTTATAATTTGGAATTGAAAATTGCAAGGTATTTGCCTCCTTCTTCACTGACAACATTCAGAAAATCAGACAAGCAGTCAGTGCCTCTGCATCAGGTACAGCAAATGTGTTCTCCCTATGTCCACCTAATATCAATTCAGACATCATGACACAATTCCATCAGATTAATGATAAAAACCTAGAGGACATTATTCAACTTCTGAAAACCTCCTCCTGCTGCCTTGGTATTATTCCAACAGGATTTTTCAAAGATGTTTTTCGTTGCATGGCCTCAGATCTACTTCATATAGTAAACAAATCTCTTCACTCAGGTGTTTTTCCACAGGCCCTGAAAACTGCAGTCATTAAACCGCTCTTAAAAAAGAATAATCTAGATGCTTCAGTAATGAACAATTACAGGCCCATATCAAACCTGCCATTTCTAGGTAAAATCATTGAAAAAGTTGTTTTTCAACAGTTGAGTAATTTCTTGCATTTAAATAGTTGTTTTGATGTGTTCCATTCAGGCTTTCGTCCAAACCACAGCACTGAGACTGCTCTTGTAAAGGTCTTCAATGATATTCACTTAAACACAGACAGTGGCAGAACTTCAGTGTTAGTATTATTAGATCTCAGTGCTGCGTTTGACACTGTTGACCACAACATATTACTAGACCGACTGGAAAACTGGGTGGGACTTTCGGAAACAGTTCTAAATGGGTTTGAATCCTACTTAAAGGACAGAAACAACTTTGTTTCTATAGGTAAATACACATCTGAGTTGACAAATATGACATGTGGGGTACCTCAAGGCTCCATCTTGGGGCCTCTTCTCTTTAACATCTACATGCTACCACTGGCTCAGATAATGAAGAACAACAAAATAAGCTACCATACTGTAGCTTGACACACACATTCACATAACCATTTCACCAGGAGACTATGCTCCAATTAAAACACTGAGTAAGTGCATTGAACAAATCAATGACTGGATGTGTCAGAACTTTCTCCAATTAAACAAAGATAAAACTGAGGTAATGGTCTTTGGAGCCAAGGCAGAACGTTTAAAAGTTAGCGCTGAGCTTCAGTCTGCAATGTTCAAAACAACAGATAAAGCCAGAAATCTAGGTGTAGTCATGGACTCTGACCTGAGTTTCAACAGTCACATTAAAACTGTTACTAAATCAGACTATCACCTAAAGAATATATCTAGGATTAGAAGACTAATGTCACAGCAGGATTTGGAAAAACTTGTCCATGCTTTTATCTTCAGTAGACTGGACTACTGCAATGGTGTCTTCACAGGTCTCACTAAAAAATCTATTAGAAAGCTGCAGCTGATTCAGAACGCCGCTGCTCGAGTCCTCACTAACACTAAGAAAGTGGATCACATCACTCCAGTTCTGAAGTCTTTACACTGGCTTCCTGTGTGTCAAAGAATAGATTTCTAAATACTGCTGCTGGTTTATAAAGCACTGAATGGTTTAGGCCCAAAATACATTTCTGACCTCCTGCTAAATTATGAACCATCCAGATCTCTCAGGTCTTCAGGGACTGGTCAGCTTTCTGTCCCCAGAGTCAGAACTAAACATGGAGAAGTAACTAAAGGACAAGTTAAACAAGAAAGTAGAAGGAAAGGGAGGTCATAGAAAACTATTTCTGCTAAGAAGTTAGCAATGATTGAGAGTCAGACCTAAACATTTCAGATGTGTGTATCTCACACTGCACTGTAACTTGTATTCATGTATCTTTGCTTTTAAATGAGTGTTTTTAGATATCATTTTATAATATGTTTCTTAATGCTCTTAATGTCTTTCATTTTTGTAACGCACTTTGAATTGTCTTGTGTTGAAATGTGCTATATAAATAAACTTGCCTTGCCTTGACTTGCCTTATAAAATCAACAAACCAAAATAATGGAAATGTAAAAAATACAAAAATGTTCCTAGTGAGGCTCAAGGATGTGAATGGTAATGCATTTTAACACCAATAGATAAAAACTAAAATAATCCAGTTAATTTTTGTAATTTCCCTCCCATTTTTAGTTTACGTGTCGCCTGCCACAACCTCATCCATCATCCGTACTTCACCAACTTAATCCTCGTCTTCATCATCCTCAGCAGCATCTCTCTGGCTGCTGAGGATCCCATCAAGTCTCACTCATTCAGGAACATCGTAAGAGAGACCACGTTCAGATTCATGCAGTTAAAACACATCCATCTGATCATTACTCACCTTCAAAACAAACGATATCCAGAGCTGATGTCCGTCTCTCTTCCTCAGGTGCTCGGCTACGCTGATTATGTTTTCACTTCAGTCTTCACCGTGGAGATCCTCCTCAAGGTAACACTGCAGTGGCTGAAACTAAGAATATTGGGATGTGCTAAAATGTCAATTCAAAAACTAATTGTGGAAAAACAATAAGGATATTTAACCTGAGCAAAAGTGATAATACCATGATTTAAAACTCTCTCTTACAAGTTAAGTCTTGCATTTCAAGTCTTACTTAGGTAAACATATGTATAAAGAAAGTTTAAGTACTCCCTGACCTTGTTCTATTTTAAACTATTGAATTTAAATAGGATGCTTACATTGCTGCATGTTATTTTTTTTGTTTCATTTATGTATTATAACAAAATGAAGAACACTAACACTATGGACGAAATGTGTGAAGAAAAAAAGAAATATACAAATATGTTGATGCAGAAACATGTAGGATGCATTTAAAAGGTGTAGCTGGTTGCAATAGAGCTAAAATGTTTATCCTGATTTCAGTTTAATTTAACGATGCTTTGTGTTTCATAAACTCAAAGTAACTACAACTTTTGGATCATTTCGTGAAGTAAAAAGTACAATACTTCCCTCTGAAATGTAGTGTAACACCAACAACATCCCACCACTGCAGTGTGGACAGTAAAGCCTAAATATCTGTATTTCCCCTGCTCTCTTTCTCCAGATGATGGTGTACGGCATGCTCCTGCACACCGGAGCTTTCTGCAGGAACGCCTTCAACCTCCTGGACCTGGTGGTGGTCGGAGTGTCGCTCGCCTCCTTCTTCCTACAGTGAGTACACACACACATACACACACACATACACACACACGCACGCACGCACGCACGCACGCACGCACGCACGCACACACGCACACACACAGTCAGAGCGTTTGAAGCCAATATTATAATGGTGGTATTGTAGTCAGTGTCATAAAGGGGGGCAAGCGGCAAAAATGCCCCAATATAAATCTAAAAGTGTCCTAAAACCCATAGAAATACAACTTAAGGCAACTATCCGTGTCGTACATTAAGCCTCATATATGTATATTATAAAACACATAATTGTGTACTATGTGCATATTGTATGTTTACATAAGTATTTTTGTGTTAATATTTTTATTTCATTTTTATTTCATTTAATCTTTTATTGGATATTTTATTCTTACTTCCTTTTTTTTATAAAAATATCATTATTTTATTTTAATATCTGTCTTATTTTAACAAACTACAAATGGAGTCACCCTGAGCTTCTTCTTATTAGCCTCTAGGCTTCTTTTAATTTAAATCCAGAGTTGGACAAAGTACTCAGACACTTATAGAGTAGGGAGGCTGTGGCTCAGTGGATAGTGTGCTGGACTTCGAATCAGGGGATAGCTAGTCTGAGTCCTACTGCAGTCAGCATGCCGTTGTGTCCCTGGGAAAGACACTTCACCCCAAATTGCTCCTGTGGGGATTGTCCACAATACCGAATAGTAAGTAAGTCGCTTTGGATAAAAGCGTCTAACATGTAATGTAATGTATTTCTACGCTGTGGTATACTGCTACAAATGAAGGTCAGGCTTTCAAAACTTACAAAAAAAAGTAAAAGCATTAGCATCAAAATATACTTAAGGTGCCAAAAGTAAAAGGAGTAAAGTACCTCATGTACATTAGGGTGGTCCTTAAAATTGAAAGTGGGAAAGTCTAAGCTCCAACCCCCAGAATTCATTCTATTAGTCAGGAAAACTCTCCTGGTGAATGTTTTCCTCAATCTGAAAACATTTACCCCTCCCTCATCGACCTGGAAGTGTAGCCTCAGTTGCAGCACCGTGGCTGCTGGTGTGGCAGCCCAGGTCGACTTTCAATGTTAAGGACCACCCTACGTGAGGCTAAACTTCAAGGTTGATGAGGGAGGGGTAAATGTGGTTGGAATTTGAATACAAATCACCAGGAGAGTTTTCTTGACTATCATAACGAATTCCGGTGGTTGGAGCTTAACATAAATGAATTCGAAAATGTACATGGCACTAAGGACCACCCTAATGTACATGTCCTTAAAGGTGGGGTAGGTCATTTTGGAGAAACCAGCTCGAGTGCGCTAGAATTTGAAAATACACAGGCGGAACAAATCTGCCACTTCCTTACAGAGCCCCTCCTCCAACACACACGAACGCGCACATGACCAATGAGGGCACGAGGTAAGTTTGTGCCCAGATGGAAGGCTGACAGGCAGGTAGGCCATCCAGTTACTTTAGCCGGGCCGGCTCAGATGATTGGTCGTGCTTTTTACAGTACTACGGCTTCCACAGATGACGTTTTTTTATGGATTTTTTGTCAAAGCACTTAAGATATTCATTGCTATCGGGATGTTAAGAGCATTCCATGGAATATAACAAAAAGTATATCTCGAGCCGGTTTCTCAAACTTACCTACCCCACCTTTAAGTCAATGTACTTCCCAGCTAAATCTGCCTTATTTTGAATCCTTTATCAGGTTAATATGTTAATTTGTCTTCCTTCAGTTCGAGTGCGATCTCTGTGGTAAAGATCCTCCGAGTTCTCCGAGTGCTCCGACCTCTCCGAGCCATCAACAGAGCCAAAGGACTGAAGGTAAACTCCTGTTAAATCCAAATTAAATATGAAGTAAGTAGATTGAAGATTCAAAGGTTTTATTGTCATATGCACATTAGCTACAGTGTAATGGCAATGAAATTCTTCTGACCTGAGCTCCTCCAACAATGCAACATATATCATAAAATACAAAAATACAAAGTAGTGAAAAAAGTCTATATACATGTCAATAGATTATGATATGTACAAGAACAGAATATGAAATTCAATAATGTAAATAGAGTAAGGTTTGCTCTTTGTCTGCTGTATATTTGCTATGTATTAAGTGTACAAAGTGCAGTGTTTCTCTTTGAAGTCTAACACGTGTATTTTCTTTGTGTACAGAACGTGGTGCAGTGTGTGTTCGTGGCGATCAAAACCATCGGAAACATTTTAGTCGTCACGACGCTGCTGCAGTTCATGTTCGCGTGTATCGGAGTCCAGCTCTTCAAGGTACCTGCTGCTCACCTGTCAGCACTTTAATTATAGACTGTATCAGATAGACCTGTACAGTCTGATGCAATATAATACTGTTCTGACATATTTTGAAACAACAACTGAAAACGTATGCATTTAATTCATTATTTTTTACTGATTCTCTCTTTTAAGTAAGGGATAATGCGAGGCGGGCATTATGGGGAGAAGGGGCACATTATCCCGCGAGATCTGAGATATGACTCCCAATATTAATTGAAATGCTTTTTATAGATTTAGAAAATGTTTTTATTGATTTAAAAAATAGTAGGCTATTATTTTTTTTTAATGACATGCATCCGCTAAGAAAAATAGTCCGTTGTTACCGTTTGAACTACGTAGCAACGGCAGGAACTGCTTCGATAGCGTTTTTGCGGACATTTTTGATTACAGATTTGAAAACATCGTTGCTTGCTTTAAAAGTAGCACAATTAATTATGTCAAACCTTGGAGAGTATCTAGATATCCCTGCCCTAATGCCAAAGGAACTGGCAACTGAATATGTGTCGCCATCTGATGTCTATGTCTATAGATGAGTGAGAGTAACAAATGCGTCTCTTCCGGGCAAAAATAACGGCTCCGCCCACTTTTGGGGGAAAACAACGCTGTCAGTTGAACGGCGGTCAATACAAATTCTGAAGTTTTTGCCAATCCGATCAGAAATTTAAGAAAACCGGAGATTTTTGGATCTTCAAAGAGCCCGATTCCAATGGCCAGACGGGCAAACAATTGCATTAAGCCATTAGAAATCGACGATCGGGCTCGATATATGGTTAAATATAGCAGTAGGCTATCGATTTTCATAGATGAGAGTAACATCTACGTCACTTTACGGCCCCGCCCACTTTTTGGGGAAACAACGCTGTCATTTGAATGGCGATCGAGCCTGAAGCCACAGAGCTCTTCCTTTACTGTCCTTTCTTCTTAGAGGAAGTACAGAGACACGTAACTCTGGATTATTTTTAATGTTTGAGGAGCAATAAACGACACAGCAGCTTTTTGGTTTGTTAAAACTATTATGTTCCGCCTCGCTCATGAGAGTAACAGCTGGAGAAATTACAGCCTCGCCTACTGATTTTAATTTAACCATATATCAAGACCGATTATCGATTACCAATGATCGAATGTAATTGTTTGCCTGACTGGCCATCGTAATCGAGCTCTTTGAAGATCCAAAAATCCACGGTTTTCCAAAAAATTTGATCGGATTGGCAAAAACTTCAGAATTTGTATTGACCGCCATTCAAATGACAGCGTTGTTTTCCCCCAAAAGTGGGCGGGGCCGTAATTTTTGCCCGGAAGTGACGTAGGTGTTACTCTCATCTATGGGAAGAGACCGAGGGGTAGACCTAGGACCAGGTGGAGGGATTATATCTCTTCGCTGGCCTGGGAGCGCCTCGGGATCCCCCAGTCAGAGCTGGTTGATGAGGGGAAAGGAACGTTTGAGGCTCTCTGCTGGAACTGCTACCTCCGAGACCCGACCACGGATAAGCGGGAGAAGATGGATGGATGTCTATGTTTGGACCGTTGCGTAAAAAGAAGGGTTTCTGCCCCGTTACTTCTCCGCTGTTTTCTTGTCCCAGTTCGAAAAGCAAACTCATGCAGTTTGCTTTTCGGCCAAACTGCATACAGTTCAATCGACCGGACTTCTTTCTGCAGATATGAGCGTCCTTAACAACGGTCAATAAATCCTTGACAGCGGTCTGTCTGTTCTGGATTAACAACGTGTCACGTGTTCTGAATTGACCAATCAGAATCGAGTGTTCAACTAAGCCATGTAATAATGTTGTATTCTCTGTTGTTTTCTTACTTTTACTTCTTCATTATTTCAGTGTGTGAAATGTATTTGTCTCTAATATTCTGTCCATCTCATGTCTGCCAATGCAGAACACAACGAATAGAAACACCTTTAATTATGACATCAGCAAACATTATTACATATTTTCATTTAAACACTTCGAAACCTTTTGAGCTTCACAAACAAGTTGTATTGGACTGCATTATATTGTACAGTTTTTCCTCTGAGCTCAGTTATCTTGAGTGTTAGTGACTTTTTCTTTAATGTTTTGATCCTTCCTGTGTTGATCGTTACAGGGCAGATTCTACAGCTGCACAGATGAAGCCAAACACACTCCTGTTGAGTGCAGGTCAGTTTTATTTTTGACAAATTCCTCTACATAACATACTACGCAGAGTCGGGTATTGTAGGTACAACAATGCAAATAAAATACAGAGCCAGGGAAGGATATTCTGAGTCAAAACTCTGAGACTAAAGTGTTGGGATCAGTTTCATCCTACCTTAAAAATTGAAGCAGTTGTGTTACTTTTAGTAATTGTAACTTTTATTTAAGAGAATTTCTGATAAATTGTTTTCTGGCAAATGTAAGACCTTGTAATCTCTGAGAATATGACTTTTTTTTATTGTAAATTTGCAATTATTTTCATGTTAATAAACCACTTTAATCCATATTCTTTTCTCAATTATTTATTAATCAAATATCGTATTTTCTGTGCTTTTTCTTTCTGGAAATACTATCCCCCTTCTCTGGTTTCATAGCCTACAGTTTCCTTTATATACTGATAGTTGTACATGAATTCTTAACATGTGTTCACAGATGTTAAATGTGTGTTTATGTTTTCAGAGGGACGTTCGTGGTGTATAAAGACGGAGACATGAACCACCCGATGGTGAAGGAGAGGGTTTGGGAGAACAGTGACTTTAACTTTGACAACGTGCTGATGGGGATGCTGGCTCTGTTCACCGTGTCCACGTTTGAAGGCTGGCCACAGTGAGTACTAACTTAATAATGTTGTATAATGAAAAGGATAAGGCTGCTTTTTGACAATAAATAAATAAAAACTGAATATTTCTAGCCTTATCTTTTGAGTTAAGATGGCTGACGTGTCTCTAGATCCTCTCCAAGTTATGTATTGTTTTATGTTAGTGTTCCTGCATTAACTTGGTCCTTTAAAACTTTCTCTGCATTATTTAGCTTATTGTATTTCTTTTTTTCTGACATTTTAATAGTTTACTTCATCTGCATTACTCTTGTCTATTTGACTCTGTTTCTTGTAGCATTGTAGCTACTGTATATATCAGCGACCATCAACTGGTGGCCCGCGGGCCAAATCTGGCACGCCAGACATTCTCACCCGGCACGCGCTGTGGTGCTGGCGGAGTGGTTAGTGCGTTCCCCCCCACTCGTTTTTTTTTTACAACGTCTCCTGAGTAATATGCAGTACCGGAGTCCAACAGGGAGGCAGCAGCTGCGGGACAGTAGCCTGCGTACTGCGTAGCCTTCCCTGCCCTGAAGAAGAAGTGATCCTTCGTTAGCGTGAAGAGCCTGCTTTATGCGGCTCCGGCGAGTTGACAGTACATGAGCGTGCTCCACCAGCACCCCCTCCCCCGGTCAACAACTTCAGAATTCAGGGCTATATATATAAAAATCGCTGGCTCCCGAAAGTGTAGGACTCATTTTGGCCCTAGGACATGTGGTTGGTGATCCCTGGTATATATGATGATAAGCCTTTGAATCTTGAATCTTTGTACTTTAATTGTGTGTTTTTCCATTAAATGTGTCCAAACTGTTTTTGTGGTTTTCAAATAAAGGCTCCTTTACCGAGCGGTGGATGCCAACGCCATCAACCGAGGTCCGATCTACAACTACCGCGTGGAGATCTCCGTCTTCTTCATCATCTACATCATCATCATCGCTTTCTTCATGATGAACATCTTCGTGGGTTTCGTCATCATCACCTTCAGAGAGCAAGGAGAGGTCGAGTTCAAGAACTGTGAACTCAACAAAAACCAGGTAAATATTCTCCAAGACATTTGAAATGAATAATCCATGTGTGTTTCTAAACTAACGTGTGTGCCCTCTTCTTCTTCGCAGCGTCAGTGTGTGTACTACGCTCTGAAGGCTCAACCCATAAAGATTTATATTCCTAAAAATCCGTCGCAGCTCAAATTCTGGAAGATTGTCAACTCCAGCCAGTTTGAGTACATCATGTTTGCTCTGATTCTGGGGAACACACTCACTCTGGCCGTGCAGGTATTCACTCACCTATTAAATAAAGACATATCTATTTATTTAAGTGTTGGCCGTTAAACTCCTGAGCTCACTTTAAAGGGGACCTATCATGCAAAATGCACTCTTTGATGTCTTTTATACACAAACATGTGTCCCCGGCATGTCAGAAAATAAAACCCTCTCTCTTTTCCTCCGTACCCAAATCTCTAAAAACGGGGAACAACGGAGCTGATCCAGATTTGCGTCCGATATGACGTAATATCTGAAATGTGGACCCACGGCCCAATCAGAAACGTTGCTATCAGAAACAATGCCCGACTGTTTTGGACGTAATATGGTCGGTGTTTACATTAGCATCGCTAACACTCAGAGCTAACCTGTACTGGAGAGCATGTGTGTGAAGAAGCAGGAAGTAAAAAGGAACTCACCTTGTGGTATAACCGGCATGAGAGAAAGCCTTTGAGCTCCAAACTGTTTCAGAGAGAATCCTTGATAATCCATGATATGGAGTTTCATCACGGCAGCATTTAGTTTAGACAGTAGCTGCCGGGTCCCGCATGAGCTCAGACCCTAACTTTTTTTATTTTTTATAAATAAATGTAAAGCTTTATACCCAAAATCAGCACTTTTGAAACAGGAAGTGAAATAGAGGGATATAAGGCATGGCTCGAACATGGATGTATAATAAGAACTGGATACAGCGTGGGAGGCGGGGTCTCATTCTTTCCTATGAGAGCTGCTCATTGGCGCATGATTGATGATGAGAGCGAAACGTCACAGATTACCCATCATGCCTGGCTAGAGCATGCGCAGTTGAGTTGCCCCTTAAGCCCCGCCCCCCGAGCTCCCACTCTCGGCTCACTAGAATGAATGGAGAGAAAAAATAAATCTAGATTCGGCTTTTAGTGCATTTTACAACTTTAAGGACTTAATGTTTCTAATAAGGGCTATAAAATAGTTCGTACTGGGTAGTTTATTTAGTTAAAAAAAATCATCTGCTGATTTACAGACGTTTCTTTCCCCATGTTAGTCAATGGGAAAAAGGGTGACGTCACGGACTGATACGGAAGTTGCAGTACCGCCGTTTGGACACAACGAATATTCGGCACAGAGTCACTTCATTGTATATATTTGTATATATCTGAGACCTATGCTATTGCCTAAAAATACCATGATAGGTGACCTTTAAGTTTAAACACATTTACTTTTATATTATTACACTAAACTGTACATCTCGGTTTCATGTCATGCGACTTTATTATATATACTTATTGTTCTTTGTGTCTTAGTGTAAGTTAAAACCTGTGCAATACTCACATCACTTTATAATTGATTACCTATATCTGTATCCCACTATACATTCACAGCAATAATCTGGGTTTCATCATTTAATAATATGAATACACAAATTTATTTATTCTAACACACATTTTAACAGATTTATTTTGGTTATGTTGCGGTACAGCTTGCACATTTTTACCTTAACAAAAATGGTCTTTTATTATTATATATTTGTATTGCACATTTGTACATATACCTATTATTTTTATTTATTCTATTTTATTGATTTGTATCTTTTTGTTATGCAGATTTTAAACTTCAACATTTTTAATCTATTTATTTAATATTTTTACCGCCCATTTTTACTTGAACTTAATTATGTCTTATAAAATAAATAAAAAAAGGGGCGGTGTAAAAATGTATCTTCGGGGCGGTGGTGGCGAAGTCCTCAGGGAGTTGGCTTGGCAACTGGAAGGTCACCAGTTCAAGTCCCGGCAAGACCAAGTGCTACCGAGGTGTCCCTGAGCAAGGCACCGTTCCCCACACTGCTCCCCGGGCACTGTTCAAAATGGCAGCACACTGCTCCTAACACTAGGATGGGTCAAATGCAGAGAAACAATTTCCCCACGGGGATTAATAAAAGTCCATCTTATTTTATCTTATGTTTGGATAAATATTTGTATCCTATTCTTTATTATATGTTATACTTTTGTATTCTTATCTTTATGTCTCAGAATAAGTTAACCCTTCACAATCATACATATTTATTTTGGTTATGTTGAAGTACAGTTTGCACATTTTTACCTAAACTTATTGTGTTTGTATTCATATTTTAATATATATTTTAACTGTATTATATATGTTTTATTGCACATTTGTACATATATCTATTTAACAATTTTTTTATTTCATATTTGTTATGCACCTTTTTACTTACATTTAAAAAAAAATGTATGTATTTATTTCAGATTTGTATTGCCCATATTTAATTAAATGTGATTATGTTTCTACCTTTATCCTATTTTTCTTCTATTGTCTTCTTCTATGTGGAAACTGTTATACAGGACAATAACGTTTTTCTTTGTATGGTCTTTCCTCCGGCAGCACTACGAGCAGTCGAAGCTCTTCACCTCCATCATGGACATCCTGAACATGATCTTCACCGTCATCTTCACCTTCGAGATGATCATCAAGCTGCTGGCTCTGCGTGTTCATGTAACAAGTCGCTCTCTCACCCTTTTGAAATGAAAGGTCACCTATTATGCAAAATCCTCTTCGTCATGTCTCTTCTACATCAACATGTGTCCCCTCTTCTTCATGTCTCTTCTATATCAACATGTGTCCCCTCTTCTTCATGTCTCTTCTATATCAACATGTGTCCCCTCTTCTTCATGTCTCTTCTATATCAACATGTGTCCCCTCTTCTTCATGTCTCTTCTATATCAACATGTGTCCCCTCTTCTTCATGTCTCTTCTATATCAACATGTGTCCCCTCTTCTTCATGTCTCTTCTATATCAACATGTGTCCCCTCTTCTTCATGTCTCTTCTATATCAACATGTGTCCCCTCTTCTTCATGTCTCTTCTATATCAACATGTGTCCCCTCTTCTTCATGTCTCTTCTACATCAACATGTGTCCCCTATTCTTCATGTCTCTTCTATATCAACATGTGTCTCCTCCTCTTCATGTCTCTTCTATATCAACATGTGTCCCCTCTTCTTCATGTCTCTTCTACATCAACATGTGTCCCCTCTTCTTCATGTCTCTTCAACATCAACATGTGTCCCCTCTTCTTCATGTCTCTTCTACATCAACACGTGTCCCCTCCTCTTCATGTCTCTTCTATATCAACATGTGTCCCCTCTTCTTCATGTCTCTTCTACATCAACATGTGTCCCCTCTTCTCCATGTCTCTTCTACATCAACATGTGTCCCCTCTTCTCCATGTCTCTTCTACATCAACATGTGTCCCCTCTTCTTCATGTCTCTTCTATATCAACATGTGTCCCCTCTTCTTCATGTCTCTTCTATATCAACATGTGTCCCCTCTTCTTCATGTCTCTTCTACATCAACATGTGTCCCCTCTTCTTCATGTCTCTTCTATATCAACATGTGTCCCCTCTTCTTCATGTCTCTTCTATATCAACATGTGTCCCCTCTTCTTCATGTCTCTTCTATATCAACATGTGTCCCCTCTTCTCCATGTCTCTTCTACATCAACATGTGTCCCCTCTTCTTCATGTCTCTTCTATATCAACATGCGTCCCCTCTCTTCATGTCTCTTCTACATCAACATGTGTCCCCTCTTCTTCATGTCTCTTCTACATCAACATGTGTCCCCTCTTCTCCATGTCTCTTCTACATCAACATGTGTCCCCTCTTCTCCATGTCTCTTCTACATCAACATGTGTCCCCTCTTCTCCATGTCTCTTCTATATCAACATGTGTCCCCTCTTCTTCATGTCTCTTCTATATCAACATGTGTCCCCTCTTCTTCATGTCTCTTCTACATCAACATGTGTCCCCTCTTCTTCATGTCTCTTCTATATCAACATGTGTCCCCTCTTCTTCATGTCTCTTCTACATCAACATGTGTCCCCTCTTCTTCATGTCTCTTCTACATCAACATGTGTCCCCTCCTCTTCATGTTTCTTCTATATCAACATGTGTCCCCTCTTCTTCATGTCTCTTCTATATCAACATGTGTCCCCTCTTCTTCATGTCTCTTCTACATCAACATGTGTCCCCTCTTCTTCATGTCTCTTCTACATCAACACGTGTCCCCTCCTCTTCATGTCTCTTCTATATCAACACGTGTCCCCTCTTCTTCATGTCTCTTCTTCATCAACACGTGTCCCCTCTTCTTCATGTCTCTTCTTCATCAACATGTGTCCCCTCTTCTTCATGTCTCTTCTACATCAACATGTGTCCCCTCTTCTTCATGTCTCTTCTACATCAACATGTGTCCCCTCTTCTTCATGTCTCTTCTACATCAACATGTGTCCCCTCTTCTTCATGTCTCTTCTTCATCAACATGTGTCCCTCTTCTTCATGTCTCTTCTACATCAACATGTGTCCCCTCTTCTTCATGTCTCTTCTACATCAACATGTGTCCCCTCTTCTTCATGTCTCTTCTACATCAACATGTGTCCCCTCTTCTTCATGTCTCTTCTACATCAACATGTGTCCCCTCTTCTTCATGTCTCTTCTTCATCAACATGTGTCCCCTCTTCTTCATGTCTCTTCTTCATCAACATGTGTCCCTCTTCTTCATGTCTCTTCTACATCAACATGTGTCCCCTCTTCTTCATGTCTCTTCTACATCAACATGTGTCCCCTCTTCTTCATGTCTCTTCTACATCAACATGTGTCTCCTCTTCTTCATGTCTCTTCTACATCAACATGTGTCCCCCTCTTCTTCATGTCTCTTCTACATCAACATGTGTCCCCTCTTCTTCATGTCTCTTCTACATCAACATGTGTCCCCTCTTCTTCATGTCTCTTCTACATCAACATGTGTCCCCTCTTCTTCATGTCTCTTCTACATCAACATGTGTCCCCTCTTCTTCATGTCTCTTCTACATCAACACGTGTCCCCTCTCTTCATGTCTCTTCTACATCAACACGTGTCCCCTCTCTTCATGTCTCTTCTACATCAACACGTGTCCCTCTTCTTCATGTCTCTTCTACATCAACACGTGTCCCCTCTTCTTCATGTCTCTTCTACATCAACACGTGTCCTCCTCTTCTTCATGTCTCTTCTACATCAACACGTGTCTCCTCTTCTTCATGTCTCTTCTACATCAACACGTGTCCCCTCTTCTTCATGTCTCTTCTACATCAACACGTGTCCCCTCTTCTTCATGTCTCTTCTACATCAACACGTGTCCCCTCTTCCTCATGTCTCTTCTACATCAACACGTGTCCCCTCTTCTTCATGTCTCTTCTACATCAACACGTGTCCCCTCTTCTTCATGTCTCTTCTTCATCAACATGTGTCCCCTCTTCTTCATGTCTCTTCTTCATCAACATGTGTCCCCTCTTCTTCATGTCTCTTCTACATCAACATGTGTCCCCTCTTCTTCATGTCTCTTCTACATCAACATGTGTCCCCTCTTCTTCATGTCTCTTCTACATCAACATGTGTCCCCTCTTCTTCATGTCTCTTCTTCATCAACATGTGTCCCCTCTTCTTCATGTCTCTTCTACATCAACACGTGTCCCCTCTTCTTCATGTCTCTTCTACATCAACACGTGTCCCCTCTTCTTCATGTCTCTTCTACATCAACATGTGTCCCCTCTTCTTCATGTCTCTTCTACATCAACATGTGTCCCCCTCTTCTTCATGTCTCTTCTTCATCAACATGTGTCCCCTCTTCTTCATGTCTCTTCTACATCAACACGTGTCCCCTCTTCTTCATGTCTCTTCTACATCAACATGTGTCCCCTCTTCTTCATGTCTCTTCTACATCAACATGTGTCCCCTCTTCTTCATGTCTCTTCTTCATCAACATGTGTCCCCCTCTTCTTCATGTCTCTTCTACATCAACACGTGTCCCCTCTTCTTCATGTCTCTTCTACATCAACACGTGTCCCCTCTTCTTCATGTCTCTTCTACATCAACATGTGTCCCCTCTTCTTCATGTCTCTTCTACATCAACATGTGTCCCCTCTTCTTCACGTCTCTACTTCATCAACATGTGTCCCCTCTTCTTCATGTCTCTTCTACATCAACATGTGTCCCCTCTTCTTCATGTCTCTTCTACATCAACATGTGTCCCCTCTTCTTCATGTCTCTTCTTCATCAACATGTGTCCCCTCTTCTTCATGTCTCTTCTTCATCAACATGTGTCCCCTCTTCTTCATGTCTCTTCTACATCATCATGTGTCCCCTCTTCTTCATGTCTCTTCTACATCATCATGTGTCCCCTCTTCTTTCATGTCTCTTCTTCATCAACATGTGTCCCCTCTTCTTCATGTCTCTTCTTCATCAACATGTGTCCTCCTCTTCTTCATGTCTCTTCTTCATCAACATGTGTCCCCTCTCTCTTCATGTCTCTTCTACATCAACATGTGTCCCCTCTTCTTCATGTCTCTTCTACATCAACATGTGTCCCCTCTTCTTCATGTCTCTTCTTCATCAACATGTGTCCCCTCTTCTTCCATGTCTCTTCTACATCAACATGTGTCCCCTCTTCTCCATGTCTCTTCTACATCAACATGTGTCCCCTCTTCTTCATGTCTCTTCTACATCAACATGTGTCCCCTCTTCTTCATGTCTCTTTCTACATCAACATGTGTCCCCTCTTCTTCATGTCTCTTCTACATCAACATGTGTCCCCTCTTCTCATGTCTCTTCTACATCAACATGTGTCCCCTCTTCTTCATGTCTCTTCTACATCAACATGTGTCCCCTCTTCTTCATGTCTCTTCTACATCAAACATGTATCCCCTCTTCTTCATGTCTCTTCTACATCAACATGTGTCCCCTCTTCTTCATGTCTCTTCTACATCAACAGTGGTCCCCTCTTCTTCTGTCTTCTACATCAACATGTGTCCCCTCTGTGGAAAGAGACTCTGAAAGTTTCAGGAACAAAGATTCTCTCTCTTTTTGATCCATTTCTATAAAAACCTGTCTGAAAACGAGCTGATCAGATTTTGGCCACTTTATGATGTCATCACGATGTTTTGTCTTGTGTAACCATTAGCCAATCACCAACCAAGGTAACCCCCCCCCCCCACTTATCACCTGAATCTCCTCCTAGAGCACCATTGTGTTCTTTTAACCAAAATCTCTCTCAGAGGGGCGTGGGGAGGGGCTCCTTATTTTCATCTAAAGTAACATACAGAGAATCAGCACTTTGGAAACAGGGCTGAAACAGAGGGGATTATGGGTAATGCTGCAATGACCTGTTTGGTGTTTCAGCCAATCAGAGACATGTTTGTATATATCTGAGACCTATAATATATGGATGAAAAACAGTATAATAGGGGACCTTTAATATAACAATAATAACAAAACCTTATTTACCTGTCAACATGTGTCTCACTCTGCTTCTCCTCTCTCTCGCAGCATTACTTCATCGACCCCTGGAACTCATTCGATGCTCTGATTGTCGTCGGCAGCGTGTTGGATATCGCCGTCTCCGAGCTCAGCGTGAGTTTAATAATAATAATAATAAAATATCACATTTTTATTGCGCCTTTCAAGGGACCCAAGGCCGCTTCACATGGTGTAAGGATAGACAGAAAAGTGTGTTATCGTACTGACTTATTTTAAAATCTCTACATGAAAAAAGTGTATAATTATCGAGCTGAGAATTCAAGAAACATAGTATATTTTTCTTTTTACATCATGTCATATATTCCTACAAAAATAATGTATTGTTTACTTGACGTAACCCCTTGTGTCTGATCCTGATGGCTTTTTAATCTTTCTCCTGTACATGCGTTACCTGTTGTTCTTCATCTGAAACATGGATCCAGGGAGGAGGAGGCCACGGGGAGGTGAGAGCTGAAACACTTAGCTTGGTTTAGTTTATTTGTTTATAGTGTCGTGGACAGTCCCCATTGATCAACTGTCACAAAAAACAGTAAATGGAGCAGCTTTAGTGGATAATGGACACCTTTTTAAAATCACAATACATCAACAGCATTAGCTATACTGCAACTATCAATGTGTTGATGGACCTTATGATTCAATGGACAATCTTGCACTAATGTACATTCTCAAGATATTGAAGTGACTGTTATTTTGTATATATTGACTGTTGTGTTTTCATTTAGGTCTTAATGTGTGCACATGTAAAAATGTGTCTTTGATTCTGTGTATACATATTTGCACATATTTTTATATACATTTGTTTTTATATTCGGGATTGCGGGAAACGGTATTTCGACCTCTCTGTCTGTACACACAAACTAGAAGATTGACAATAAGGTTGACTTTGATATTGTGCAACAAACACTTATTTCTTCACCTGTGTTTGCCTCAACACCTGTGTCTTTGTGTTGTAGGGGAAAGGAGAAAGTGGGAAAGTGTCCATCACGTTCTTCCGGTTGTTCCGAGTGTTGAGGTTGGTGAAACTGCTGAGTAAAGGAGAGGGAATCCGGACGCTCCTCTGGACTTTCGTCAAGTCGCTGCAGGTCAGAGAATAATCCACATTGACGATTTACAAAACACTCGCTGCTATATAACATGATAATATCATTATTATTCATTATTAACAGTGGTGAACCGTGTCTATCACAACTGGACCCTCTGGAGACACACACACACCCCCCACGTTTTTTACACTACTAAATACTAGGGATGTAACGATATATCGAATATCGCGGTAAATAAACGTCTTAATACCGTCGTGAGACTGACTAAATTATCATCAATTTTTTTTTAAACCTTTATTTAACCAGATGGTCCCATTGAGATCATCGATCTCTTTTTCAAGGGAGACCTGTCCAACATGGCAGCAAGTAGGTTACAACATGAACATAAAACAACAGATAACACAAAAGGACATGTTATTTACAGGGCTACATGTACATACCTAGAGACATTGACAAGTACCAACAGTATATTTATATCTCTGTCAATAAGCCTCACCTTCTTGGCAAACACTGTATTGTTTTTGAAGTGGTGGAGAGACAATGCACAGTTTGACCCACTGCTGTTACCCAGGGCCAAAGCATATCTCTCTGTCTCAGCAACATCAGTACCAAGCAAGAGAGTTGTTTCCACAGCAGGGGATTTTGCAAACGCCCAAACATCCCAGCTTCTACCTGGAAATGTGGACATGCTCATATTCCTAACAGATAACCTTGATGCTGCTGAGTGAGAGAGTTAGAGTTGAGTTACTTGAACAACTAAAGTGAAACTTGATTTATTCTATTGCAGGGTCTGATTATTATATTGTTGACACTTTAAAATACTACTATCTACTAAAATGCTGTACAAATCAGATGTATTATTTAATAAAGAAAAGAAATTCAAGTAAAAAAAAAATAATTCACATTTTTTTTCTTTATTTTTTAATATCGCGATAGATATCGTACCGTGGACTTTTTACACGATATTATCGTACCGTGAGTTTTTGGTATCGTTACATCCCTACTAAATACTGTTAATATTTACTTAATTATGTGACCGTCTATGTTTCCTGTAGTTATTTAATTGCTGCACTTTTAGTGTACAGTTTTATTATTATTTTTATGCTGCTGTGTTTATTGTATTTTTGTAACTCTGGCACAACAATTTCCTTCGGGATAAATAAAGTCTTATCTTATCTTACTACAGTATTTTCTTATTAACCTTTGAAATCCTTTTTGTAATCTTGCCTTTGACTTTTTCCCCCTCAGGCTTTGCCGTACGTCGGTCTGCTCATCGCCATGATCTTTTTCATCTACGCTGTCATCGGCATGCAGGTGAGTCTCGCTTATATGTCAACCTTATTTAATCAGTAGGTCACATCAAAACATGTCTCATTAACAAGAGAGACCTGAGTCCGCAGAAAAATAAATACAATTCTAGTGTAAAATATATTTGGCATATGTTTAAAAAAGTTTTTTTATTGTATATATTGTTTATTTATTTTATTTTGTAATAGTGTAAACAGGAATCAGTAATATATACAATTATTTGTATGTTTTAGATTTCTTCTACATATTTCTTAATTATTTGTAATACTTTATAATGATATCTTATTTTCCTATTTAAATGTTTCTACGTGAGAACATACTTTGCATAAACTGAAATCCGATTCTGAGCCTAAAAAAAAGTCAATACAATTTTAAGCTTACTATGTTTAACAGTCGTAGCTGAAAATAATACCAAGTCCTTTTAATTCAATTAACGAATTCATGATAAACAAGACGGTATAAACCATCAACGACAGTCTGCCCCACTTATTTGTTATTATTAACTTTGACATTATGTTTTTGTTTCTAAACACATGCTCTGTTTCCTCCTTTCAGTCATTTGGGAAAGTGGCCATCGATGAGGAAACACACATCAACAGAAACTGTAACTTCCAGACGTTCTTCATGGCTGTTCTGGTGCTCTTCAGGTCAGATGATTAAACCAGGAAGAGACAGAAGTTAAAGGGGACCTATCATGCAAAATGCACTTTTTGATGTCTTTTATACATAAAGATGTGTCCCCGGTGTGTCAGGGAACTCACGCAGCGTCAGAAGATAAAACCCTCTCTCTTTTCCTCCGTACCCAAATCTCTAAAAACGGGGAACAACGGAGCTGATCCAGATTTGCGTCCGATATGACGTAATATCTGAAATGTGGACCCACGGGCCAATCAGAAACGTTGTTATCAGAAACAATGCCGGACTGTTTTGGACGTAATATGGTCGGTGTTTACGTTAGCATCGCTAACACTCAGAGCTAACCTGTACTGGAGAGCATGTGTGTGAAGAAGCAGGAAGTAAAAAGGAACTCACCTTGTGGTATAACCGGCAAGAGAGAAAGCCTTTGAGCTCCAGACTGTTTCAGAGATAATCCTTGATGATCCATGATATGGCGTTTCATCACGGCAGCATTTAGTTTAGACAGTAGCTGCCGGGTCCCGCATGAGCTCAGACCCTAACTTTTTTATTTTTATCAATTTATTTTATTTTGTAAAGCTTTATCCCCAAATCAGCACTTTTGAAACAGGAAGTGAAATAGAGGGATATGAGGCGTGGCTAGAATGGGTGATCTGTTTGGTATTTTGAACAAAACACTTCATAGACATGTTTTTTATATATTTTTATATATCTGAGACCTATGCTATTGCCTAAAAATAGCATGATGGGTGACCTTTAAAGCGATGGTTTGGTGAAAATGTTCCAAATAACGTTCACTAAAACAGATTTTTTAAGGTGTTTAAAATATGTGCAGGCCGGGGCATTATTAGCTTCCTGATGGTACTCCTGTCTGTTTCTACAAACTGTATCTAATGCTAGTCTAGTTGCAAGCAATGTGAACCCAGAAATGTTGAGTATACTCCGGTCTTTTGGGATTATTGAGGATGCTGTGACCATTTCTGATACTTTCAGGATCAAAAAGGGCAGTTTTAACCAGAAAAGGGCAACATTTGGACTCGTTGGGCTGGTTTGTATTACCATGAGTAGTGTTGCGTTTATTTGATATAGAGAGCACAAGATTACAATTACTATCTCTGTGGACAATTTTCTTTCAAATGAATAGGCAATCTTTTCAATCCAAATAATCCCCTAAATCTGCCAAATGGACCCAAAATGTATCAAAAAAGAGTACAAATATAGCCACTTCCTGGTTAAAACTGCATTTTCTTATCCTGAAATTGTCAGAAATGGATTCAGCATCCTGAAAACAACCAAAATCACTCAATAATTGTCCATATCTGCCTAGCAATTTTAATACTATTTTCAATATACAGTAAGCTATAATGCAATGTAATGCTAATTAACGCAACTTATGCTAATTGTGCAAACTGCCCAACATATGCAAGTTAGTATCCGGCAGTTTCTATGTGCTAAGGACCCGTACTATACATTTCTATCATAAAACTTTAGGGTGCTTGTTAGAAAAATCTCACTGGTCACCGGCTTGAGCTTCAATCTCAGGATCCATGTATGTCTGATCCTCTCCAGAAAGGAAGTAGTCATCACATACAGAGCATCAACTAGTTCCTGAACAGTGTCCTTCACATGCTGATATCCCAGAGAGGGAGTTACACAGTCACAAGATGGAGGAATAGAAAGCAGTATTCAATGTTTCCAGGTGCTGTCAACTAGACTAGGTAAACCCTGCCTGAGTTAAAGTAGCTCTTGCTGTGTGTCCTGCAGGTGTGCCACAGGTGAGCAGTGGCAGGAGATCATGCTGGCGGCGTTGCCCGGGCGACGCTGCGACCCCGACTCGGACACGGAGCCGGGGGAGGAGTTCAGCTGCGGCAGCAACCTGTCCTACATCTACTTCATCAGCTTCTTCATGCTCTGCGCATACCTGGTGAGTGTAGAGGAGGAGGAGGAGGAGGAGGAGGAGGAGGAGGAGGAGGAGGAGGAGGAGGAGGAGGAGGAGGAGGAGGAGGAGGAGGAGGAGGAGGAAGCATCTGCAGATATGTTAGATAGTGGTATTGTGATAAATCAAAACCTTTTAAAGGTCACCTATTATGCAAAATCCACTTCTACATCAACATGTGTCCCCTCTTCTCCATGTATCTTCTACATCAACATGTGTCCCCTCTTCTTCATGTCTCTTCTACATCAACATGTGTCCCCTCTTCTCAATGTATCTTCTACATCAACATGTGTCCCCTCTTCTTCATGTCTCTTCTACATCAACATGTGTCCCCTCTTCTCCATGTATCTTCTACATCAACATGTGTCCCCTCTTCTTCATGTCTCTTCTACATCAACATGTGTCCCCTCTTCTTCATGTCTCCTCTACATCAACATGTGTCTCTTCTTCATGTCTCTTCTACATCAACATGTGTCCCCTCTTCTCATGTCTCTTCTACATCAACATGTGTCCCCTCTTCTCATGTCTCTTCTACATCAACATGTGTCCCCTCTTCTCCATGTATCTTCTACATCAACATGTGTCCCTCTTCTCATGTCTCTTCTACATCAACATGTGTCCCCTCTTCTCCATGTCTCTTCTACATCAACATGTGTCCCTCTTCTTCATGTCTCTTCTACATCAACATGTGTCCCCTCTTCTTCATGTCTCTTCTACATCAACATGTGTCCCCTCTTCTCCATGTCTCTTCTACATCAACATGTGTCCCCTCTTCCTCATGTCTCTTCTACATCAACATGTGTCCCCTCTTCTTCATGTCTCTTCTACATCAACATGTGTCCTCTTCTCCATGTCTCTTCTACATCAACATGTGTCCCCTCTTCTTCATGTCTCTTCTACATCAACATGTGTCCCCTCTTCTCCATGTATCTTCTACATCAACATGTGTCCCCTCTTCTCCATGTCTCTTCTACATCAACATGTGTCTCCTCTTCTTCATGTCTCTTCTACATCAACATGTGTCCCCTCTTCTTCATGTCTCTTCTACACTCAACATGTGTCCCCCTCTTCTCCATAGTCTCCTTCTACATCAACATGTGTTCCCACCTCTTCTTCATGTCTTCTTCTACATCAACATGTGTCTCCTCTTCTTCATGTCTCTTCTACATCAACATGTGTCCCCTCTTCTTCATGTCTCTTCTACAATCAACATGTGTCCCCCCTCTTCTTCATGTCTCTTCTATATCAACATGTGTCCCCTCTTCTTCATGTCTCTTCTACTCAACATGTTGTCCCCTCTTCTTCATGTCTCTTCTACATCAACATGTGTCCCCTCTTCTTCATTTCTCTTCTACATCAACATGTGTCCCCTCTTCTTCATGTCCTCTTCTACATTCAACAGTGTCCCCTCTTCTCCATGTCTCTGTCTACATCAACATGTGTCCCCCTCTTCTTCATGTCTCTTCTACATCAACATGTGTCCCCTCTTCTTCATGTCTCTTCTACATCAACACTGTGTCTTCTCTCCATGTCTCTTCTACATCAACATGTGTCCCCTCTTCTTCATGTCTCTTCTACATCAACATGTGTCCCCTCTTCTTCATGTCTCTTCTACATCAACATGTGTCCCCTCTTCTTCATGTCTCTTCTACATCAACATGTGTCCCCTCTTCTTCATGTCTCTTCTACATCAACATGTGTCCCCTCTTCTTCATGTCTCTTCTACATCAACATGTGTCCCCTCTTCTTCATGTCTCTTCTACATCAACATGTGTCCCCTCTTCTTCATGTCTCTTCTACATCAACATGTGTCCCCTCTTCTTCATGTCTCTTCTACATCAACATGTGTCCCCTCTTCTTCATGTCTCTTCTACATCAACATGTGTCCCCTCTGTGGAAAGAGACTCTGAAAGTTTCAGGAACACAGATTCTCTCTCTTTTTGATCCATTTCTATAAAAACCTGTCTGAAATGAGCTGATCAGATTTTGGCCACTTTATGATGTCATAACGATGTGTTGTCTTGTGTAACCATTAGCCAATCAGCAACCAAGGTAACCCCCCCCCCCCCCCCCTTATCACCTGAATCTCCTCCTAGAGCACCATTGAGTTCTTTGTAACCAAATCTCTCTCAGAGGGGCGTGGGGAGGGGCTCCTTATTTTCATCTAAAGTAACAGACAGAGAATCAGCACTTTGGAAACAGGGCTGAAACAGAGGGGATTATGGGTAATGCTGCAATGATCTGTTTGGTGTTTCAGCCAATCAGAGACAGGTTCTGTATATATCTGAGACCTGTGATATATTGATGAAAAACAGTAGAATAGGGGAACTTTAAAACACAAGACTTAAAGAGGCCCTATTAAGTCTGCTGATTAGGTTATAGTGCATGTAAATGGTCTGCAGAGGCTAAAATCCATGTTCCCTCCAGATGGAGTTTCTCTGTTTTTAACGGTGTCTGGTGGAAAAGAGTTTCCTGACAGAAAGAGCTGTCTAACAACAAGGTCACGAGGTGAAATATTAATATTCTAGATATAACGTATATACACATTGATGTTTTCAGATGATTCTACAGCAGTACATTGCCTACCTGGTGAGGAGGATTAAAACAAATGAAATATAGATATTTTTAATCATTACAGGCTGTCAGGTAAGTTGGGATCAATGTCAGATGGGTGTAGCGAGGATATTATACAGACTGAGAATTAAAAAGCTCAGCCCGTTTTCTCCATCTGTGGATTTTGTTAATCCAAACAGAAAGAGACCAATGACAAAATCCTGATTTATAAAGACGGACATATTTTTGGTAGCATTTCCATGACATCAGTGCTATTTTAAGACAGGTCACATGGAGGTGAGTTTAATCCTGGAGACTGCTGTAGGATTCTGAGGGTCTCTAGTTCCCTTCAACAAAGTTCCCACATTAATTAAAAAAAGAAAATATGCACAAAGGCCAAAAATCCAAGCATGTGCAATATTGTGATTATCTTATTTTTGAAAAGCCCAACGTTTAACCTGCAACTCCTACAACTAAGCATTACGAATTCAAAGCCCTTTAATTAATTAATTTTGAAATATGCTCCTCAGTTTGAACATCTTTTAAGCTCTTTCTTTGTTAGCTTGAGGCAGATTTAGGACCACAGTTTGTTACATTGTTTCATTTTCCAGAAGGTTCGGTTTGCGTTCACACGGGCAAAACTCAAACGGACTATAAACTTTAAACACAAGTAGGGATGCATACCGATATCCGGTATTACCGAAATACCGGTTACTGGTGGCTACGGTATACCGTACCGAAATCAGATCCGGTTTCGATACTTTAAAAAAAAAAAAAAGTTTTACATTTTTTTTTTTTTTTTATACATTTGAAAAGTGAGTCTGTGGCCCGTGATGGCGGGTGTTATAAATTAGATTGCATAATCGTTTTTCTTCATATTTTATGTATCTTTCATTGTTTGTTCAATACTAGAAAGGTAAAAGTCCCACAAATGAACTGTGATGGGATTTGTTTTCTCTCACCAGTGAAGGTAAATGTTGATTTTAAAGATGAGATTTGTTTGTTTGTGCAATGCCGAGATCTCATGACCATTATTCTATTATGTATTTGTTCTCTAGTCAAATCTCAGGTTTAACATTAATTATAACGGTGCTATAACGGTCTGTTTGCATTGACAAGATGTGCTATTCACGCGGCACACCTGATGGCGGGTGTTATAAAAGATATTCCATAATCAGTTTTCTTCATATTTTGTATGTATCTTTCATTGTTTGTTCAGTACTAAAAGGTCCAAGAAGTCCCACAATTGAATTTAATATTCATTTGACATGTTAGCTATATCGTAAAGCGCTTCCTGGGAGTAATTGTGGGATGATACATTTTCAAAGTATCATGATATGTATCGGTTGAGTATCGGTATTGTTCAGTGGTATCGGTATCGGTATCGTAAAAAAGTCAACGATATGCATCCCTAAAAGTCATGTGCACGGAAATGCAGTTCAACCATTGGTCAGACATTAAGGGGGTAAAAACGCAAATCCCGGCAATTTCTACCGGAGCCTCCGCCATGGAGCATCGGCACTTTCGGCAGGTTATTCTCATGCTGCTGTTAATCTGGAGATCAACAGACACTAGCGGCCCGCGCATATGATTATATAATCAGAAAGAGTCTTTCGCTAAAGATGTTGAAGACATCCGTGTTCTTGTGACGCGTAAATACTACACTTCCTATGTTTTGGTGCGGACTGCGTTCACACCAGCGATGAACCGCTCCAGAGTTCACAAGCAAGCGCTCCGAGACCACCTCTTTGAGGCGGACCAGAGTCCGGTTGTTTAGTTCACTTCAGAGGTCTCGGACTGCGTTCACACCGACCCAAACGAACCGCACCAAGCAGACTATACAAGGCTGGTGTGAATGCGCCCTTACAGTCCCAGGGTCCAGGTTCATGTTTCTATATAATGACTTACAGTATAATGATGAATGATATCATATGACTTGACTCAACAACAAAAAACCTTAAAATAAGTAATCAAATCTTGTTTTCTGAGTGAAATGTTGGTCATAAGTTGTTCTGTTTCTGTCCTCTTCTCTGTAGATCATCAACTTGTTCATCGCCGTCATCATGGATAACTTTGAGTATCTGACCAGGGATTGGACGGTGCTCGGCACTCACCACCTGGACGAGTTCAAGAGGGTCTGGTCCGACTACGACCCCGAGGCCACGTGAGAAACTTTCCTCGTTAACCCCCCATGATCATCTGGAGACATTTTTAGAAGTTAAACAGTTATGTTCAAGATTAACGGTATGTTAAAATTGGATATAGTCGTTGAAAAAACTTGGTTTACTACATAATCTTTACACGATCGGCCATGTCAAGCAACAATCTTTTAATATTTGAAATAAACAATCCTGTTATCATATTTGTTTGTTGGCCGAAACACAGAGATGGCAAAAGTACACACATCCTTTACTCAAGTAGAAGTACAGATACTCGTGTTTCAAAATACTCTGGTCAAAGTAGAAGTACTGACTAAACTTCTTTACTCAAGTAAAAGTAAAGAGGCTTTGAAATGTACTTCAGTAAAAAGTACCCATAACTAGCAGCTGTTTTAAAGAGTACCTGACCTCCATTTATATCAATAGAACAATAATGTCATTGTTAGCTAATGAATGTTTCCATGCTGAACAACGGCAACATGACAACGTTTCCATTGGTCCCTCTTCTTTAGAGAAGACCAGGAAATGATGGATACACGGATCGTGTTCAAATCAATAGGCACGCAATGACTCTAAAGAATAATGATCACGCACCAAACACACATTCAGACTAAAGGAACCAGCTGTTTGGAAAATGAGAGAAGTAGAAAGTACAGGTATTTGTAGTTTCAACATGTAAGAAGTAGAAAGTACAGGTATTTGTGTTCAACATGTAAGAAGTAGAAAGTACAGGTATTTGAGTTCAACATGTAAGAAGTAGAAAGTACAGGTATTTGTGTTCAACATGTAAGAAGTAGAAAGTACAGGTATTTCAGTTCAACATGTAAGAAGTAGAAAGTACAGGTATTTGTGTTCAACATGTAAGAAGTAGAAAGTACAGGTATTTGGGTTCAACATGTAAGAAGTAGAAAGTACAGGTATTAGTGTTCAACATGTAAGAAGTAGAAAGTACAGGTATTTGGGTTCAACATGTAAGAAGTAGAAAGTACAGGTATTTGTGTTCAACATGCAAGAAGTAGAAAGTTCAGGTATTTGTGTTCAACATGTAAGAAGTAGAAAGTACAGGTATTTGAGTTCAACATGTAAGAAGTAGAAAGTACAGGTATTTGTGTTCAACATGTAAGAAGTAGAAAGTTCAGGTATTTGTGTTCAACATGTAAGAAGTAGAAAGTACAGGTATTTGAGTTCAACATGTAAGAAGTAGAAAGTACAGGTATTTGAGTTCAACATGTAGAAGTAGAAAGTACAGGTATTTGTGTTCAACATGTAAGAAGTAGAAAGTACAGGTATTTGTGTTCAACATGTAAGAAGTAGAAAGTACAGGTATTTGTGTTCAACATGTAAGAAGTAGAAAGTACAGGTATTTGTGTTCAACATGTAAGAAGTAGAAAGTACAGGTATTTGAGTTCAACATGTAAGAAGTAGAAAGTACAGGTATTTGTGTTCAACATGTAAGAAGTAGAAAGTACAGGTATTTGAGTTCAACATGTAAGAAGTAGAAAGTACAGGTATTTGAGTTCAACATGTAAGAAGTAGAAAGTACAGGTATTTGTGTTCAACATGTAAGAAGTAGAAAGTACAGGTATTTGTGTTCAACATGTAAGAAGTAGAAAGTACAGGTATTTAGTGTTCAACATGTAAGAAGTAGAAAGTACAGGTATTGTGTTCAACATGTAAGAAGTAGAAAGTACAGGTATTTGTGTTCAACATGTAAGAAGTAGAAAGTACAGGTATTTGTGTTCAACATGTAAGAAGTAGAAAGTACAGGTATTTGTGTTCAACATGTGAGAAGTAGAAAGTACAGGTATTTGTGTTCAACATGTAAGAAGTAGAAAGTTCAGGTATTTGAGTTCAACATGTAAGAAGTAGAAAGTACAGGTATTTGAGTTCAACATGTGAGAAGTAGAAAGTACAGTTATTTGAGTTCAACATGTAAGAAGTAGAAAGTACAGGTATTTGTGTTCAACATGTAAGAAGTAGAAAGTACAGGTATTTGGGTTCAACATGTAAGAAGTAGAAAGTACAGGTATTGTGTTCAACATGTAAGAAGTAGAAGTACAGGTATTTGTGTTCAACATGTAAGAAGTAGAAAGTACAGGTATTTGTGTTCAACATGTGAGAAGTAGAAAGTACAGGTATTTGTGTTCAACATGTAAGAAGTAGAAAGTTCAGGTATTTGAGTTCAACATGTGAGAAGTAGAAAGTACAGTTATTTGAGTTCAACATGTAAGAAGTAGAAAGTACAGGTATTTGTGTTCAACATGTGAGAAGTAGAAAGTACAGGTATTTGTGTTCAACATGTGAGAAGTAGAAAGTACAGGTATTTGAGTTCAACATGTGAGAAGTAGAAAGTACAGGTATTTGTGTTCAACATGTAAGAAGTAGAAAGTTCAGGTATTTGAGTTCAACATGTGAGAAGTAGAAAGTACAGTTATTTGAGTTCAACATGTAAGAAGTAGAAAGTACAGGTATTTGTGTTCAACATGTAAGAAGTAGAAAGTACAGGTATTTGGGTTCAACATGTAAGAAGTAGAAAGTACAGGTATTTGTGTTCAACATGTAAGAAGTAGAAAGTACAGGTATTTGTGTTCAACATGTGAGAAGTAGAAAGTAAAAAGTTGTCTGTAAAATAAGAAGTGGAGTAAAGTACTGATACCAGAAAAATGTACTTAAGTACAGTAACAAAGTATTTGTACTCCACTACTTCCCACCTCTGCCGAACCATAATAAGAAAGTAGAATAACTTAATTAGTTGCCATGAGCCCAAATATTGCTGTACTTGGTGTAGCAAGCATTAAATTAATCATGATCAAAATGAAATAATTGTTAGGGGTTCATAGAGTAAGGTGAGAATACAAGTTTGGTTTAGGCACATTTAAGGTGTTTGAATCTCTTAAAGCTCTAAATGACCTGCCTCTCATAGAGTAAATGTCTGTTGTGTGTTCCTGATGCAGCGGTCGTATAAAGCACAACGATGTCGTCACAATGCTGCGAAGGATTCAGCCTCCTCTTGGTTTTGGAAAACTGTGTCCTCATCGTGTGTGTTGCAGAGTGAGTACACGCAGATTTGGTAGAAAAGACTTGGTAGTACTTTCGAATACTGCAGGAGGTATTTACCAAAAGTATAAAATGTAAATAAACTACATTTTCTATTCAGTATTTCTATTCACAATGCAACAGCGCAACACGGCCGCCACTCAGCCGAAAACAGGAGGAAGAAGTGAAAACACAAGCCCATATTTCTCACTAAAATCTCAATGTTATTTATCGACATGATCAAATGTTTTTGCCATGAATTGAATAATGGATTCTAAACATTAAGCATTTTTTTTACAAGGCTGCAAGACACTGATTCTCTGTGCAGCCCTGCAATGTTCATCTTTATTTTTGCTACCACAAATGAGTTGCAATGATCCGGGGGAATACATGCAGTATTTCAAAGGGGGTGCAAGGTTTTAGAAAGACTGCGATAGATGTCCCTCTCCCTCTGCTCCTCTCAGAGACTGGTGGCCATGAACGTCCCGCTGCACTCTGACGGGACGGTCACCTTCAGCGCCACGCTGTTCGCTCTCGTCAGAACTTCACTGAAGATCAAGACTGAAGGTCAGATCTCATGCACATACATGCACATTCCACCCATGCATGGCACCTGTATAAGTCACTTAAACCTCTTTGTATCAGGTTGACGTTTCCTCTAAGCTTTCCTCCTTTCCTTCAGGCCCCATCGACCAGCAGAACGAGGAGCTGAAGCTGATCATTAAAAAGCTGTGGAAACGCACCAAACCAAAGCTCATCGATGAAGTTATTCCCCCACCTAGAGGTACAACAGAAACCTACAGCTGCCTGACATCATGAGCACACTTCACTACAAATGATATTACACTTTTTGGAGAATTAACACGCTTGCATTTGAGAATAATCAAAAACATATACTGTATGCCTTCCTCCTGGCCCTGCACATAATGAACTTGTTTCTCCTCAGGTGACGAGGTGACATGTGGGAAGTTTTACGCCAGCTTCCTGATTCAGGACTATTTCAAAAAGTTCCGTAAGAGAAAGGAGAGGGAGAGGAAAACCAAGAGGAAGGACAGGGCGGCTTCTCTGCAGGTGACTTTAAATATACTCCTTCACCTTCAGATTCCCCCACAGACATATCAAAGTATTCTACTTTTAATAATAATTTGCATGCAAGCCCTGAATCTTTCAATATGTCTGTGTGTGTGTCTCAAGCTTTGAAGTTTCACATAATGTCTAAGCTGCTAACTGGAACAAGATTAGCTGATTTCCACCTGATCCAAGAGGCTTTACAAATAGTTTATTTAACAGTCATTCAATTTGTTTGACCTAATAAAACGGTTGCAAAAGTTAGATTTAGATAAAATAAGAAAGCAGAGAAGTCAGTCAGAGTTGGGGGTGTGGGGGGGATGTGCGCCGCGTTTGCGCTTCAGATGAGGCTCCCTCCGCAAAATGAGGCTCCATCCGCGAAGGGTTTGCGTGATCTGCGGGTAGGGAGGGTATAACAACGTCATTTTAAATGCAGTCATTTAGCAACAGCTTGTGAGAGCAGTGCATTCATCGGTGTTCGTTTTAATGTTGCCAGTTTGTTGACGGCCTGTGTGTTGATGGGACTTCTCATGCTCCCTAAATGTTTCCCCTGTCTTTCGCCAGTTGTTAAACCCTGCTTTCACAAAACTCCCATCCCTGACAAGCTTATTTTCTATAGCAGAGCAACAGTAGAAGCACACTGCATTATCACTTTCTCTTATATAGTGAAGCTTTGTATAGACTGCTTACACTAAAATGCTAACTCAAAAATAGTAACTCAAAATAAAACTTTTGTATTGATTTGTTTAGTGAACTTTTTGGCGTTGCAGTTACGGGCCGTCCACACTACAGCTTCGACAGCTTCAAAAACGGTTTCCAACGCGTCTGCCCATTCACTTTGAATGGGGTGACGTCACGTTGCCTCGCTTTTCGCCGAACTGAATTGTGGGTAGCATAGCGGTCTGTCTCCGGCGTCAGAAGTTGAACAATGTTCAACTTCTGACGCCGGAGTAGCCAGCGCCAGCCAATCAAATCCCGTTTCTGAAAATCAGACAGCTCAAGCCATAGCCAATCAAACCGCGTTTAAGCTGGGAGAGATATCCCGCCGTTCATTTCTATATTTAAAAAAAAGATGGAGGAGAAACTAATTATCGCCGTAGCAAATCACCCAGTTTTGTATGAGCAGACCCTCTTCACCTACCGGGATACAAACCAGAGGAACCAGGCATGGAGGGAGGTGGCAGAGACAGTGGGTGAAACTGGTAGGTTTTCGCCTGTTTGAGGAGTTTATATATATATATATTGCTCTCATAAAATCCCCGGGGTTTTTTGCTTTGTATGTCGGGGGCGGGAGATTCATGTGATTGGTTGTTGGTCGCGTTGCTCGAATAAAATCCCCAAGCTTCAGACACGCCCAGCTCCAAGCTTTTTTTGAAGCTGTAGTGTGGACGCTCCGCCAACAGATGGGGGTGCTGCAGCCCCCTCAGCACCCTCCCTTCCCGCGTCCCTGTAAGAAAGATAACTTAAATGAATCCCCTATTAAAATAAATACTAGGCTTCACAGCATCAATAACAGTGAAACAAAGGATAAGGCAGGTAAGAGTTCACACAGGATGATATCAGAATAATAAGAATTCAAATTAGTAAAAACTGGTTTGCCATATTATATGTTTGTATGTGTATATGTTTTAAAATGTACGTCACAAAACCTACTGTCACCAGGATAAATACATTCTGGTAAATATAGAAATAAAAACAAAAATAAAACACTTTAGTGGAGTGTGGGATTTTCTCATGATAAATATCGAGGTCCTTTCAACCATTTTCAATATATTTTCCAAATTTGCTGAGAGGTAATTGCTTACACTGAGGGTGCATATTGTAAGTTCATATAAATATGTGTGGCCTTTTTGTTTATGTCTACGATGCTGTCGACTGGCAGCTTTAGACTATTCTCAGCAGTTGTCAATGTAATAACCAGCTTTTCTTTCTCTTTCTTGTACGTCATGTAAAGGTTTCGTGTACCTACTTACTGTATATTGTGTATGTCTTTGATTTATTGTAACTAAAAGAAAAATTCCAAATAAAGTATTGAAATATATGAATATATGTGTCTCAGATGGGGCTGCGCACGCTGCAGGATTTGGCTCCAGAGATTCGCCTGGCGATGTCGTGCGACCTGGAGGAGGAGGAGGGCGAGATGGGGCACGACGAGATCTTCCACAGCGAGCACGGGGACTCGGGGGCCTCCACGCCCCGCGACACGCCGCTGCCGCCCATCCACATGCTGGTGGAGCAGGTGACGGTGCTCATGGAGAGCGAGCCCAGGGAGGCGGTGGTGACGGAGCAGGTGACGGGGCTGCTGGAGCACCACAAGCCGGGGTCCGAGCTGGCAGGACTGGAGGTGGTGACGGAGCAGCCGCCCAGGTCCGAGCCCCTCTCCGTCAGGTGGGTCTATAATTATGTTAGAAAAATCTCACTGGTCCCCGGCTTGATCTTCAACCTCAGGATCCATGTATGTGTGATCCTCTCCAGAATGGAAGTAGTCATCACATACAGAGCATCAACTAGTTCCTGAGCAGTGTCCTTCACATGCTGATATCCAAGAGAGGGAGTTACACAGTCACAAGATGGAGGAATAGAAAGCAGTATTCAATGTTTACTTCAGATTAGCTCCACGTCAGAAATGAGCATGCTTGTCATATGTCTATCTCCATAGAGGCTGAATCATCATGTTAATCACATAGCTATCATATTCCTACAACAGTCCTGATGCTCTTCTAGGTAATCACACATCCTGTCATGTTCACAGCTACAGTTGGGATACCTTTGTTATCATGTTACTCTCATGTTGGAAGAGGACATTCAGTATTTTCCAAACATATGGTTTAGTTTAATTTATTTGTTTATAGTGTCGTGGACAGTCCCTATTGATCACAAAAACAGTAAATGGGGCAGCTTTAGCCAACATTGCTAATTTCCAGCTGTTGTCCCCGGCCAGATGATAGACACCGTTAAAATCACAACACATCAACAGCATTAGTATAGTATTCAGGTCCTTTTGTTACATTACATGTCACTTACATACTCAATACTGTGGACAATCCCCACAGGAGCAATTTGGGGTGAAGTGTCTCAGGGACACAACGACATGCTGACTGCAGTGGGGTTTGAACCTGTGCTTCCCTGATCCCAACACCAACACACTAGTCCACTGCGCCGGTCCTTTTGTGCAGTCAAAAGTAGAAAAATATGGTGTTGAAATACTCCGTTACAAGTAAAAGTCTTGAATTGGTCTGGTTAAGGAATGTTTTGTCTTAAGTAGGTCTTTGTGTTGGAACGTATTATGACAATTGAGAATCAAAAATGTTGAATATAAAAAAATAATATTTAAAAACACAATATTAACAAAGTACAGAAGTTTAATTAAAAAAGTAAATACTCAAGTGCAAGAAAAAAGTCCTACATTGAAAGAAATACTTGAGTAAATGTATTTACCTAAATAAAAGTATTGATTGTAAAGTAAAAGGTACTAAATATACTTAACTTAAAGTATTTGTTGTGCAGTAAAATGTAGTTAAAGATAACGTATAGTTTGTGCAGTGTTAGTAATCTGAACTAAAGAATTGTGCAGTAAAATGATATTTGATGTTTCTGAATTATTACTACTTCTGCATTATTGTTGCATGTAACTGCTGTAACTACTTGACTGCTGATGTGTTCTCCTCCTACTGTTGGCTAGTTTAATCTGCACTAATGCATCGTATTCTATAAGACCATCATGTGTTATTTAGATTTGTCCAGGGAGAACCATGTATCTCTAAAAAATGAACTTGTTAGGAGTTTCTCAGAAAAGCAGCCCTGTTTCCAGCTTTGTGACATACAGTACCTTAAATGTATATAAGATAAGATAAGAAGTACTTTATTGATCCCAATTTGGGAAATGTTTGTGTTTCCGCAGCATACAAAGAGATGGCATTGTACAATACAAAGGAAAGAAATAAACAAGAAAGTAGAAAATATACATGTTGAATTACAAATATTGAGTAAATTAGTGGAGTAAATGTATTTAGTTGCTCTCCCCCACTTATATATAGTCATAATTACATTACATTGCATTTAGCTGACGCTTTTATCCAAAGCGACTTACAATAAGTACATTCGACCAGGAAGACACAACCTTAAAGAAAACAGAATCATATAAGTACATCAGGTTTCATAGAGCCAAACATTTCAAGTGCTACTCAACTGGCTTTAGGTAAGCCAGTCCTTTATTAGTATAAAAGTGCTTCGTTAATAGTTCTAACGCTCGAAGTGGAGTCGAAAGAGATGAGTAATAATGAGTTTTTCCTTTCTGTTCAGGGTGGACATCATCACTGAGTATCCTCCTCCTGCTCTTCTTGGCTCTCCTCCTCCTCCTCCTCCTCCTCCTCTGGATTGTCCTCCTCCTGCAGAGATGCCTCCTGCAGAGATGCCTCCTGCAGAGATTCCTCCTGCAGAGATTCCTCCTGCAGAGATTCCTCCTGCAGAGATGCCTCCTGCAGAGATTCCTCCTCCAGAGATTCCTCCTGCAGAGATTCCTCCTGCAGAGATTCCTCCTGCAGAGATTCCTCCGGTGGCTGTAGTTGAGGAGCCGGTGGTGGTGGAAGCTCCGGCTGAAGTACCTGAGCAGGTTCCCGTCAGTGAAGGAGAGCCAGCAGCTCCAGCACCAGTAGAAGGGTAAGAAACAAGAGAGAGGGAGGAGATAAAAACATGTCATTAACTAATAAGTTCATGTATTCGCTTGCTTGCAAGCTTCACCCTAACCCTCTTAGTCTCCCTCATATTCTTACATGTCCTCTTCCAGTCTTTATGCTAAGCTAAGCTAAACTAACAGTTCCCTGACTTCAGCTTCATGCTTAACAGACAAGCATGAGCAGAAGCCCATCTCTTCATCTCACTCGTGGCAGAATAAGCTTATTCCCCAATATCTCAAACTGTTCCTTTGCACTGAAAAAACATGTTTATTTTGGAAAAGCGCTCTTCAGTCTTCTAAACTGTTATCTTACCTAAAAGAATAGCAAAATAGGAAAACATAAGTGAATCTTAGAAATCCATGGCTACTAACAAAAGATTGTTTAATCACTTCCTGCATGAGGCCGTTGATTTATTTCTCTATCAGGAGAAATCTTATCACAAGCCAATTATTTCAATCGTTATGCTAAGCTAACAGTTTGAGCGTTGACAAATATCGAGTTGTATCTAAATCTTATTATAATTTCGTTGTACCTGTACAATGACAAAATTAAAGATCTATATCTAACTCGGAATAAGTATATTTCCCCCAATGTATTTTTGAAAAAACGTAAGTTAACTCTTTTGTATTGTCTACAGTTACGTGTATCCAGAACCGGTCCCTCCAGCAGAACCTGAGCCCGTCTACAATGATCCGAGCCTGCAGAGAGTCGACAGCGTCGGGGAGACACCGTACAGCGTTCCTGATGCTAACGGCTACGCTAACACTGACCCTAACAACTATGCTAATACTGACCCTAACAACTACGCTAATACTGACCCTAACAACTACGCTAACACTGACCCTAACAACTACGCTAACACTGACCCTAACAACTACGCTAATACTGACCCTAACAACTACGCTAGCACTGATCCTAACAACTACGTTAGCACTGATCCTAACAACTACGTTAGCACTGATCCTAACAACTACGTTAGCACTGATCCTAACAACTACGTTAGCACTGACACTAACAACTACGCTAATACTGCTGCTAACGGTTACACTAACCCTGCTGCTAATGGTTACGCTAACCCTGCTGCTAGTGGTTACGCTAACCCTGCTGCTAGTGGTTACGCTAACCCTGCTGCTAGTGGTTACGCAAACCCTGCTGCTAATGGTTACGCTAACCCTGCTGCTAATGGTTACACTAACCCTGCTGCTAGTGGTTACGCTAACCCTGCTGCTAACGGTTACGCAAACCCTGCTGGTAATGGTTACGCTAACGGCTATGCTAACGGTGGTAACGGTTATATTGGCGCCAATATGAACAGAGAGGCTGTCACAGTGAGCCCCGCTTCCTACTCTTCTAACGGGTACAACGGGAACGGATACATCAGTGATAGCGTTAGCATTGTTAGCGCTAACGGTTCAGGAAGCACGATGAACGGCGCTGGAAACGGCAGCATGATCAGCGGGTTCACCGGAAACGGATTCCACGGAAAGGAGAACGCATCCTCGTTTATCAGGAGGCGCATTCTGCCTGCTCTACCAAAAGGTGATCCTTTAATTTGGGGCAGGGACCCAATTTTATTCAGGTAGATTAGTTCAGTTTTTATTTAATCTAATTTAGTTAAGTTTAATTAAGTTAAGTTTAATTTATTTTAGTTGAATTTGGTTCTTTTAGTTTGTTTATTTTAACGTCATTCAGGACATATTTTGACCCTCTAATGGCCAGTGTTTGTTTGCTATATTATATGAAGAAGAGTCATAGTCATGCATGCTGACATTTTCCCATAATCCCCTGCTTTCTGTTTCAGGCCGTAAACCTTCCTTTAACGTGCAGTGTCTGCAGCCGCAGAGCAGCATGGACGACGTCCCCATCCCGGGGTACCATGGCAACATAGGCCCCCCCAGAGCCCATATACAGGTACACACACACACACATGTACCATGTAAAAAAAAAACTCTCCACCTCTATGGTGCAGGGATGACCTATTTGTGTAGGCCGACCCCAGAAATAAACTGCGCATGGGTTTCCTCGACAAAAAAGCAATGGGATTTCTCCATAGGATTTTGGAAGATAGCTCGAAATAAGGTCTGTGGAAAACAAACCTGTTTGATAAATGCACGTTTTGTTCAGCCGGATAATCTCCACATGTCTACCCTACTGTTATTATTTTCGAATCATAAATCTAGTCGCCAGAAGCAAAATGCTAACGTTATGCTATAAAGGAACTACAGTCGAGTCCAGCAGCACGACTTCAACGTCACGCCTCGTCTCGATATTAAAACATACAGATTCTAAATGGAACAAGTTGAAGCGTTTGTTTGAACAGATTGCAGGAGGCAGGAACTTGCTTTCAAGCAGAACAGAAACTAACTTAGAGGAGTGTTTACGTGTTCGGCGTAATGACGTACAACGTCCTCGACAACTTCTGTAGTCCTATTCAGCCACTTGGTAACAACCATCGTTTCTCAGACACGTCAACTCTTCAGAAATCACCAGTGGGGTCACTGCTGATGGATTTAATGTCGTAGAACAAAACGTGATCCGTCTCTTCAATGTGTCTCAACCACAGACCTTATTTCCAGATATTTTCCTAAACCCTATGGAGAGATCCCATTGGCTCTGAGACGAGGGAACAGGAAGTGGTGAAATGCTAACTCACTTCCGGGTTTTAGGACTCGTTCCTGCACCGCTCTATTTGCTTGTATTTTAAGCATACTTCATTTAAAGATGAATGTGATTGATAGCATTTTATTTATTTACAGATATTGTGATAATATTGTTAATAACTTAGGCTTACTTTAATAACTTAAATAAACTTTTTTTCAAGATTCAAAGGCTTTATTTTGTAGTTTTATTTAGTTTAATTTAGTCTAGTTAACAATAAAAAAACTATATGAATATTGCAAGAAACAGAAATGTATATAAAATAGTGCATACTTCCTCCTCTCCCGTCCTCAGAGCGTTCACAGTTTGGAGCGGACCGGCGCCATGTCCTCAGCCTCCTGGGTGAACACGGCGACGGCGGGGCCCCCTCCCCACCCGGGGATGATCGCCCCTTCTGGACGCCGAGGGAAGCTCATCTACACCCCGATGCTCCGGATGGACCAGGCCTCCGGACGCAGCCAGCCGATGTGGAGCGACGGCAGCGCCAGCCTCCCCGCCGCCTCCCGGGCCGCCGCGGGCTGGTACCCCGGTCAGACCCGGACCCTCGGCAGCGTCAGGATGCCCCCCGTCAGCCAGAGCTACCTGGAGAAAGGGAGCGCAGACAGCCTGGTGGAGTCGGTGAGTAAAGGGGAAAATTGTTGATGAAATCTAAAGCAATATGTATATGCAATATCAATATGAACAACATATGAACTATTTCAAAATACTTGGAACTCTCTCATGGGTTGGGTGGGTTCAGAGTTTTCCTAGTTTATCTTTAAACAAGGACATTTGTATTAAAATGGCTGTAACTGTCATTTTTATAATAAAATGTGTCGCTTGTTTATCTGTGAAATATGTAATTATTTTTTAAGCAATAATTCTAGAAAAACAAAGAAGCTGCTGGAAGCTGGAACTTAAAAGGACTTTTGATAACAAATTATGTATAAAATGTAATGTTTGAATTTAGTAATACATACATATACTAAATTGGAATTACTGTAGCTCAATAATTACTGAACAAAACTAATTATTTTAGAAAGTAATGATAATACTTTCTCATTCTCCTCAGTCTGTAATTGCATATTATCATAAAATAAATAAAGGGGCAACATTTTGCATTTTAATTTGAGTGACTAACGCCATAGACGTGCATGTTTATGTTGGCATGGTACAGAGAATTATAACCTAATCCCCGCCTGACTCCGTCCTTCCTCTCTCTATCTCACATCAGATCCTGATCTCCGAGGGTCTCGGCGTCTACGCCCGGGACCCGAAGTTCGTGAACTTTGCGAAGCGTGAGATCGCGGAGGCGTGTCACCTGAGTCTGGACGACATGGAGAGCGCGGCGTCCGACCTCATCGCCCGCGGAGCCAGCCAGTCCATCTCTCGCTTCGAGGACGAGCTGGCCGACGAGATGAACTGCGTGATCTCTTACTGAGGTCCGGGAAAAAAATGCATTAACAGTGAGAGGAAGTAAGGAGAGAGGATTGTGAGGAAAGGAAGTGTTATTTAAAGAGAGGGAGAAACGTGTGCAAGACTGATGTGATTTTCTTTTTGTCTGAAGTTCAAATGTTGTGTTTTTTTTGTAAATGCCAAAACACACACTAACACACACCCTGATTTTAAGAGCAGTATGTGGCAGGACTGCGTTGTTTTGCCGCAGAAAACTGGACTTTTCTTTTTGCATTGTGTTCTCATTTTATACTGTACATGAACTGTTGTCCCTTTATACTCCTGTACAAACTGTAAAAATAGAAAATATGACAACAAAATGTTTATAATTTATTAAACGAATAACGATACGCGAGTGCCCAACAGCATTCGCTATTTTAGAGAAGTATTTAAATATATAAAACATATTGAATATCCTCTTTTAAGAAACATGAAAACTAATAGCAGCATTTTGGATTTTTGTGACTTTAAATAAAGCGTCATGTATTCTCAAATGATTGTTTTGTTTTGGATTTATTATTGTAACATGTCACTAAAAAAGATTGTTATTCGCCTCCAAAAATATAGTGAAGTGGATGTAGCATCAAAGGTCCCATGTCATGGCCACTTCTACTGATCATAGTTCCATTGTGAGGTCTACTAGAATAGATTTACATTGTTCAATGTTCCAAACTCACATTGGTTTCTCACACAGCATCTCTGTATAGTGTGTGTATTCACTCTCTGTCCTACACGGCTTGTTGGAGCTCCTCCCCCCCCTCCCTGTGAGCCCACTGGTCTCTGATTGGTCAGCTCGCCCACTCTGTTCTGATGAGTCCACCACCGTTACAGCGGAACATCAGTGATTATGTTTTACAATGGCGTTTGTTAGCAACCAGGAAATGACACCAGTAATGACAAACAGATCAGAATGCTGCGTGGGGTCTGGGTGCCGTGTTGGCGGGACGTTCAAATCAAATCAAGTTTTATTTATATAGCACATTTATAAACGATTTTTGGTCGAGCCAAAGTGCTGTACATATAATAAAAATAGCCTACAGTAGAGACACTACACAGCAAATACAACAACACAGATTGTTCAGAATATCAGTATGAGAAAAACGACACCCTCTGTCCTTAGACCCTCTGTCCTTAGACCCTCTGTCCTTAGACCCACACATCGTACAAGGAAAAACTTCCAGAGAAAACCCACAGTTTAAGACACTGATCTAACCCCTCCCAAAACACACACACACACACACACACACACACACACACACACACACACACACACACACACACACACACACCTCTCTGCATTAATAAGCCTCGGGGCAACCTCTCATTGCCCTTAGAATAAAGCTGCTTTCTCATTGGCTCTCATTTACTCCACGTCTGATGCTTCCTCTGACGTCACTACGCTTCACACGTCCTCGCCCAATTCGTGACGCAGTCTGCTCTTCCTCCTGGGTGTCTGCCTCCCCGCCATCACCCCCCCTCCCTGGCTGTTCCGGAGAGACGCCTCCCTCCCTCCGCCCCTCTGATCCTCTTATCAGCGAGTAAGCGGCCAAGATGGATGTTGTAAACCAGGTAAGGCTTTGCGGGGGGGAAATCATATATTTCATTACTGTTTTTTCTCTGTAGATGATTCTCATTCATTTCGCATTATTGTCCTCCACCCTGCGCTATAAGTAGGATGTTTTTTTGGCCAAAGATGCGCCGACCTTTACCGTTTTTCAGCGCAGAGCTCTCGATGAGTCGGAATTGTGATTTATGCATGTATGTCTGCACGACGGTGTCATTTATCCTCCTGTTAATCTGCAGATATAATAGATTAGCCTGTTCTCAGTAACACCACCACAAAAAAAATGTGTAGGATGTGCAGAGATTTCTGCAGCAATGACATTTCGCTTTTAGAGGATGTGGCCTCCACCGGGATTCATCCTGCTAATTGATTTAGGCTGTCTCGATGAGCATGCTGCTGCTTGGATAACAAACATGATTGATTTCTAAGGCAGACCATTATGTCGGTGTGTGTGTGTGTGTGTGTGTGTGTGTGTGTGTGTGTGTGTGTGTGTGTGTGTGTGTGTGTGTGTGTGTGTGTGTGTGTGCGCATGTGTGCGCGTGTGGGCTCGCATAGCCGCAGTATAGGCCGCACGACATAAGAGAAGCTCTGTGACAAAGAGGGGCTTCAGTGTGAGCGGAGAGGGGAGATGAAACATACATTTTGTGAGGATGCGTCATCTGTTCAATATGGATGCTGAAAGATGATGGAGAGTATAGAGAAACCATCATCACTGCTGCGGCCATTTATTGATACACACACACACACACACACACACACACACACACACACACACACACACACACACACACACACACACACACACGCCGCCTTCGTATTCTTCCTCCTCTTCTCCTTGTTTGCGGTGTCGCATCACCTGCGCAAAAATACATCCTCCTGTTTGTGGCAGATAACGCGAGAGCTGCAGGTAAAATGATATTTTTAAAAAAAAGGAGAAGGCTGCTGTGAAGTGTGCATCGTGAGAGCACCGAGAAAACAGGTTAATCAGCTTTAGTGTAACGGTAATGCTGCCAGGAGCTCACACACACACACACACACACACACACACACACACACACACACACACACAGACAGACAGACAGACAGACAGACAGACAGACAGACAGACAGACAGACAGAGCAGTGTCATAGAGGGGGACAGGGGCAACAATGCCCAATATGTAAATATATACACACATTTCTATACAACTTAATGCAACTATCCATGTCCTTTAAAAAGCCTCATATAGTATTTTTTTAATACATAATTGTGTGTACTATATGTACATTTTTATTTAGTGTTTTTGCTTTCTTTTTTTCCAAAGTCTTAAATTTGTGTCATTTTTAAATTAAATGTTATATATATTTTTATTTTCTTTAGATTAAGTTTGTGTTAATATGTTTTATTACATTTTTTATTAATTTGATGGATATTTCACTCCTGCACATTTTTTCTTTAATTAATTTTATTACATTTTTAAATATATTTCTTATTTTAACTACAAAATGGAGTCACAAAACCCAATTTCCCCGGTATAAATAAAATATTTCCTGTTTCTGATTCAAAGCATTTAAGCGTAAGCAATTTATGCACTAATTACAATTTGTTGTGCCCCTTCAAAGTTATGGCCAAATGTTAGTCTTTTATTGTTTCCTTGATGCTTGGACTCACATATTTGCGTTGTACCACGCAGCCTCAGGGCGTTATGAGTGTGAGGTAATTAGGTTCCTGATTTTAATCATCAACTTCACACAGAGAGAGAGAGCGAGAGGCAGCTGTGTGAAAAAGTTAAAATACATTTTAACTAACGGCTGTTTTGTGTGTGTTTTGGCAGCTGGTGGCCCAAGGGCAGTTCACTATACTCAAACAACCGCTGGGATTTATCAAAGTTCTACAATGGGTAAGTGCACTTCTTATTACTCCGTACATTCTACATTATAATAACAACGTAATCACAGAATAGGAAAATGTGTTTGTTGAATCTTTGTATTGAAATGCTCACACACACAATCCAACAGGAAACACATAGTTATCATAAATTATTGGATTCATTTCTTACATTTTTGCATTTAAGACCAAAGTGGTTGAATTTGACGCCTTTTTCAATTGAGAACCAAGCATGTCATATCTGTATTTCCTTTTGTATTTATTAGTCATGTTATTGTTTTGTTCTTATCTTACCAGGGTGTTATACTTTGATATGGCTTGTGTGCCATTTTGGGTTTGACCTTAGAGAAATGTATATGGAGAGTGAATGAATGAATGTATGATCTGATCTAGCTTTTTGAACACAAATATGGTTCTAATAACGGTCCAAATTGAAGTAAAATTGCATACTTTTTACAGAGAAAATGTACATTTTTGCAAGTATTGCATATCAAATATATGCATCTAGATCTTCCTCAGTGAAAACATGCTGATATATATATTTTTTAGTGAATAGTTTATGGCATGGTGGTTGAAAAGGGGTGAAGATGACTCAATCTGAAAATGCCACCAAGCTCTCTGGATTCATATGGAAACACACACACACACACACACACACACACACACACACACACACACACACACACACACACACACACACACACACAAACACACCCCCAAACACACACACACAAACACACACACAAACACACACAAACACACACACAAACACACACAAACACACACACACACAAACACACCCCCAAACACACAAACACACACACACACTAACACACACAAACACACACATTCAAACACACACAAACACACACACACACACACAGGCACACACATGCAAACACACACAAACACACACACACATACCATGTATACATCACTTCAGGGGACATTACATTGACTTACATGCATTTCCTGGAGACTTATCCTAACCTTAACCCTAACCCTAACCCTAACCCTAACCCTAACCCTAACCCTAACCCTAACCCTAACCCTAAACCTAATCCTAACCCTAAACCTAACCAAGTCTTCACCCTAAAATTAATGATTCCCCTTATGGGGACCTCCAATTTGTCCCCATAAGGGAGGCGAGTCCCCACACATGACTGTGTAAACAGATTTAGGTCCCCACAAGTATAGTAATGCTAGGCCATACATACACACACACACACACACACACACACACACACACACACACACACACACACACACACACACACACACACACACACACAGGAGGAGAGAGGAGCCTCCCTCCAGTGTTGTATTATGTTTTAAATGAATAATGACATGTTATACAAAAATATATCAGAAATTGAATTGATATTTATATCATTAGGGTTTTCATTATCCAAGGCTCATGAGCTCATGCCTGCCATTTTACTTTTCAGCTTTTTGTACACAGATAGACTTTCTCTGGGGAAACCCTCTGCTAAAAACGTGCCCTTAGTTCTCCACATACTTCGGGAAGCATTGTAAGTTATGTTCCTGGGGAGAGACCCTCACACCCATCACAATATGTGCATCTTAGTCTCACACAAACTTCAGCAACACAACCCAATGTTCATCCATGTGTGGTCCTAATAACAGAACCCCTCTCAAACCACCACAGGGGGGATGTCAGCTGGACTCTGTGCTGTTTGCAGTAAATAACCTTGCCTTTACTGACCGCTTGGTGACCTTCTGTCCCTCAGAGGTCATACAGCTGCAGGGATTACTGATGGAGGCGACTCCTGCACTCAGGGTTTAACGTGTCAGTTACTTTCAGCAGACCAGCAGCAGCTCCACCTCACAACGACTCTCCTGAGTGAAGTCCTGCTCTGAATGCTGAGTAGTGTCCTGAGGACAGGAAGCTCAGCAGGACATGTTGGAGGGTGTTAGAGGGGGGGAACCTCCTCCTCCTCCTCCTCCTCCTCCTCCTCCTCCTCCTCCTCCTCCTCCTCCTCCTCCTCCTCCTCCTCCTGAGAATACAGCCAGAAAACGATGCATGCAATACATTTTTTTAGCGACGGGAAGCTTCAACAGAATTAGAAAAATGTCCAATTGAGCTCAAATCAGTTCGGCATCTGAAATATATGTTTTTTAATAACACGTTTTGGTGAGATATTTAAAAAAGAAAAGGGGTGTCTTAAGGACATTAAGTAGCTAAGTTCTGCCTATAGTTAGACATATTTAAATGATAATGATCAATTCATCAATTTAGGGTATCAACAATAATGTCATCAGTTTGATTTGTTCCTTTCTGCACCAATCGAAGCGTACGCATGTTTGGACGCAATAGAAAGGCAACAACAGAAACAACAACATGGTTCAGCATGTGGAAGAAATCCCTAAAAACACACTTATCTAATAAATAAATAAGTAAGCGTAGGGCGTGAGCTGGGATGCATTTAAAAATCAATTACGCACTATTTTAGTAATTGATTTATTGTCATGTTTCCATCCAAGAGGAAGCTCCTGTGTCCAGCGTCTCCGATCTGAGGACTGTGTTCCTTTGTCTTAAACTCAAGCTGATTATCTTCGGTGTTTTGTTCTGCTGGCGCACGTTGTGGTGCCTGAACGTGGGCTGCAACCGGGAGGGGGATTTATTTGTACATATTATAGCAAAGGATCCATCAATTAAAACAACGTTATTATACCCTATTGTCAAATCAAGTCTGAACAGTTCAGTATCTCCAATTGCAACATCAAAAAGGACCAAATATTTAGGATACGAAAACAAGGAAACGTGCAATAAATAGAGCATAACATGACAATCAGATGAATGTCTATATGTGTTAGTTCTAGTTGTGTGTTGATTGAACAGAGTATGTAACGGCATTTTCAGATGAGCAGGATATGTTCCCACAGATATCCTCACCTCACACACAGCTAGTGAGGGCCTCTACATTTTGTCTTTGCTTTCATAATGTTAAACCCAGATGTGTTTTTATGGTCTTGTTCAGATTATGTTAACAGCTGACGGTTTGCATTATCAACATATAGAGCCAGATCATTTCTATTCATCATTTGAGTCATTTTTTCCAGCAAAAACACCCATTATTCTCTTTTTCTTGCTCCTCGGATGTGAGGATCTGATGCTTTCCGTTGTCATATATAATTCTTCACTAACTATCGTTGGGTTTTTGACTTGTGTTCTAACAAAACAAGCTATGTGGGGAAGTCACCTTGAGCTTTTTTTAGTTATTTTCTGACATTAAATCTACCTTTTGATCTGAAAAGTGAAGCCCATTCCTTGAACTTGTATTGTTTCCAATGGCCAGCAGGGGGCGACCCGCGCGGTTGATTGCATGGAAGTCTATGAGGAAATAGGCCTACTTCTCACTTGATTTATTACCTCAGAATACATTTCCCTGGTGGGTTTATGGTCTCAAACTCTAGTTGCAAGTCTTCTTCAGTACACCATGATGTTTGATGAGTGAATTATGGTTCAATTTGGAGTAAAAATAGACCATTAAAGCAGTGTGTGCTATAGGGCGTGGCTACGGTGAGGTCGCTAACACTTTGTTGTCTATGTTTGGTGTTTTCCTCTTGGCATCTCAAGTGTGTGTTCACTTGTAATAGATCATATAAATGTCTTAGTTAACTTTCAGTTGTACTTCGATAGCCAAAATGTAAAAAACTAATGCTTGACGTCATAATGAATGCTCCTGTATGGTCTGTGCATTTTATAGACAAAATAATATATAGATTAAGTAAATAATTGGAAAATGAGATGATTTAGCAGCCCTAATTATTCAAGACTCGAGGTGTCATGTGCAAAATAGCTACAGTATAGTTGTTGGCAAGAAACATCGTAAGTCCCGAGCTCCTCAACAAGATGCATAATACAATATACTTAAGACGTAAATACATTAAAAAGTGTAATAAATGAGCGCACATGACCTTATCGTGCAGGTCAAATGGAGGAATAAGTACACGAAAAGAATTAGATAAATCTGAATGACAATAAAATCCTTCATATTCTAAAATGATGAACTTAAAACATGTAATACTTACATGCAATGATATAAAGAAGACATTTTGGACGGAGAAATGAAAAGGAAATAGAGTAGGAGTAGCACATGGGTCCCATATCTGTTAGCTACACCCTTAACCAGTAGCATTTGACATATTGGTGCAAGTAAAAGGCAAGGTTAAACATTGTATTCATGCACATAATGAGATAAACTGAATTACAAGTTAGAATGAATCCTATACATGGATATAAACATTACATTCCTGCATGCAAAGTAATGAAGAATACATTTTGGGAGGTTAAAGGAATTTGGACCCTATAACTGTTAGCTGAAGCCCTGGTTGGCGTACAATGCAGGAGTAAACAGGGATATGTAAACTAAATGCACGTACAGTCGAATGAGATTTAAAAAATGTGAAATGTAATACCGTACAGTAGAATAAATCCTGACCTGTATATAGTAATAAAGTATACAGATTTAGACTTAATCAGGGTTCAAGGTTAGTTTATTTGTACAGCACATTTTAAGATACAGAGGCCATTCAAAGTGCTTCACATAGGCATTTAACACATAGTAATTCAAACTAAACAAACACAAAGTAATAACATTTTGGGAGGGTAGATTAGTAGGAATTTGAGTACGAGTGATCCCTTCCTGCAAATGGACCCCATAACTGTTAGCTAAAGCAATATGTGCACGTAGCACTACAGTCAAATGAGATTTCTGAAAATGTGAAATTAAATAACGTACAGTAGAATGTGTAGGCTGCAGCTCCACCACAGAGGCACGATGAGTGTGCTGCATGACTCTGAAGTCCTTCCCGGAGGCAGAGTGAGTGTGCAGCCCCTCGTCCAATCAGGAGGCTCGCTCCGGAGGCCGTGAATCATCTGCTGCCGTCAGACGGGAGGGGGAGCTGCTCCCTCTCTCTCTGGATTAATAATGGAAACACACACACACACACACACACACACACACGCACACACACACACATACACAC